CCCCCCGCGGTTTTTGCCATCCCTAAACCCGCCCGGAAAAGAAGAACAAGACAAGACTCTTGCTAAAAACTAGTTCTTCTGTGGGGTGATTAGATGCTGGCCGTTTTTTTCCTCTGGTTCGCCATGCGCCGCTTCGACCGCCATCGCCAGCACAGGTCCGGCGGGCTCATCGACGCGGCCGTCCTGGGCGCCGGGCTGGGTATTCGCTCGCTGTAGCACGTCTTCGCGGGATTCGGGTTGGGTTGGGTTGGGTAGGGATAAGGGCAAGGGTAAATTTGGGTAAGGTAGGGCAGGGACATGGGTGGTCTATATACGTGCGGGATTTTATGGGTTTATTAGCGGGCGACGGCGTTCTACGGTCGACGGTTCTACGGTCTACGGTCTACGGTCTACGGTCTACGGTCTACAGTCTACATATATGCGTGATGATTGATGTCAGTTACATGAAGCAACAGATGCCCTATTACATGGTACAACGATGCCAGATGCGTTGGGTACTTAGAAACACCACATACAGAGAAAGAAGATGTGTATTCCCAACATGCTGTCAATTTCGACATTGCTCCTCCGTTCGCCCAGCAAGACAATGTTGGTTACCCCATTTGCTGCCCAATCTCCTCTAACCAGGGGCTCCAATCAAGATCAGACCTCCATCCTCTCCTCCTCCTCCTACATAAGCCAATCTCGACACGTTTCTATGCTTGCACCCCTGCTGCTGCTCCTGCCCGGCTCCTCACCCCCTCGGCAGCAGCGCACTCGACCGCAAAGCCCACGCACCTGGCCACCCAACCGGGACCCCAATAACTCAACTCGATACAATGCGGCGCGCCCAGGACGACACCGCTCTCGACCCTGGGACTTTTCGTAAACTCCTTGGCAAAGTCGTGGACCGTGTCCCTCGAGGCCTTCCACAGGGCATCGTGTTCACCCATGCCATACATGACGGGCACTTGCACCCTCCTGGCATAATCCAACCAGTAGTCCGACCAGTGGAACGAGCCGTCTTCAAACTCGCCCAGGGACATGGACGTGTTCAATTGGTCCCCGATGGCGAGAATCTCGGGAGAGACTCTCCCCAAGGTTGGGTCGCCAAACATGGGACCGTCTTTCAGTTCCAGGGGCCAAAAGATCCGGCCATCCACGACCCCGTGCTCGACAATGTGTTGTGCACTTTCGCGAGGACGGCCGTGAACCGTGCCCCAGCCGGACATGATCAGCCCGGCAAGTGGGTACTGGTCCCTAGGTTCTTCTGCATGGAGAGCCGAGGCCACGATAGCCCCCGGAGATCCCAAAGAGTGCGCCAGGATGACCATGGTAGTTGCGCCCGAGCTCCTCCCAAACTCTTGCCATATCTTGGGCAGGATGAAGCGGTGGAGGTATTTGCCTTCTTCCTGCAGGAACGTCGATCCATGTGGCACGGGAGGCAGTCCTGTACTCTCTCTGTAACCGGGCCTGTCAATGGATACAAAAGGCACTCCGAGGATTTCTGCCAGTCTTAGCGCCGAGTTGGTTGTACCGCCGGCGTCAAAGTACCTCGAGAAATACGTCCCACCGTGTACCCCGACCATCAAGGGTTGATAGTGAGGCGTTGTGGAGGTTCGAGTCGGCAGCGAGAGAATGCCGGAAAGCTGAGCGCCATTTGCCAACGACAATGTAAAGGGCTTCATTATCGTTCTTGGTGCCTGTAATTGAGTTGCCGGGGCAAGATCAAGTGAATTGTCGGCTTCTGATGGGCTTCTGGAGAAATGCTGCGAAAGCCCTGGTGGATGCAACAGCCGTGTGATGTGGTATATATTATTTATTTCCCCATATCCATGTCCTGACTCACGATCCAAGTAAGACAAACAGAGCTTCCGTGGTCGCCATGCAGTCTCGTCCACTGACCCGTTCTTGCCCCGATTCATGGTGGAGCAATCGTGGAGACTCGCCGACATTCGTACCTATACTCGGTACCCCGCTAATCTCATATGCTGAACTCGTATATGCGGGGATGGTCGAGAGATCCTGTAGATAACAATGTAAGTCAAGTGCCTTCACTGGACCCGAATACAAAATCCCTATTTGAGCGAGAAGCGGGCCTACCTGAACAGAGACATCTATCTGCAATATCACACAGTTTCTGCTCGTTAGCCAACATATGGTCCGGAATAGACATTGCCCCGCCACATTTAAAAATGTATCATCCCAAAGATGACAAGGAGAGACTGAGCTGGGCTTCAAGACTTTTCGATTGGCAAGTGTAGAGTAACCCGCTAACGCCCTGGTGACAGGAATACTTCGTTGCAAAGCCTTTCCCAGAAGACTGTGTTCCTCCATGTGTCTCGGACGTTGCTTGCCGCGCGGAAAACCATATTGTAATGCTGCCATGTCGCGATTCCCCCAGTAACGTATAGACAGCGACGAACCAAACTTCCATAACGATTGTGGTATCTCAAAACTGCAAACACGTAGGAACTTGTACGAAAAATCTCGACTATTACCACGGAGTATGTTTGCGCAGATCGTGAGATGCATTTGTTCCAATTACTGACATAGAGAGCCATCCCTTAATTCGTCTCGTTTCGACAAGCGAGCTCTGTCCATGTGCCACCTCCCAGTCTTAACTTTCTTGTTGGACCACGTCGTGGTAGATCTTGGAATCCTCGTTGAGAGCTGGTGTCGCAGGGAACTCTCCTGGCACATGGAAGTCTCTGGTGGTCATATGCTTGCTGTAGATATCCGCCGGCTTGACGATATAATCCGTTGGTGCAGTCTTGGAGGTTCGAGGGCCAGTATAGACACCATTGGCATCGAACATGGTGTCACTCGTCGCGCCATGACCAGTGCTTGTAGGCACAGTTGACAAAGTTCCCGTCTCTGTTCCTGAAGATACGGTATTTGCCACGGCCGAGCTCGGCGCTGTGGTTGTTTCGCTCATTGCCCGCGGCCCAGACGGTGCGTCTACAGGCGCTGCAGTTGCCACGGGTATGGGGGCAGAAGATTCTCCATAGCGTGGTATTGCTGATTCGCCATCTAATTGTTGGGCAGCTGTTGCTGTCTGCTTCTCCTGCTGATGCTCGTTATGATGATGCATTGCGCCAGCGGCCAACGCCGCGCCTCCCGCACCTGCAGCGATGGGTGCCATCCATTCACCGTACTGGCTCGCGTCATCGTGGGGAGAGATAGGTTGACGATTGGGGAGTATATTCGGATGGTGGCCTGGAGCATACTGGCTTGTCGTGTTCATCTGCGAAGTCGGGCCATTGACTGGGTGAGCGTCCGTTTGTAGATCCGTATGCTTTTCTGTGGTATTGGCAAAAGGTACTCCGCTGCCTGGCAGAGCCCCTGCTGCTGCTATCACATCACGGTCTGGGTCAGAACTCTCTCCACTAGAGGGGGACAGCGGAGCTTGTAAGCCGCGCTGGACGTTGAGGTCAGATGGAAATCGCCCACCTGGTGCTGGTCGTTGTGGAGGACGCCACCCGGCTTCGGATCTGGTGTCCTCCATGTCGTCCAACCCAGCCGCACCGAGTCCACCGGCGCCAGCGGCGGCAGCAGCGGCGGTCGCGGCTCCATCAGCAGATGTCCCGCGAACAGCAGATGTTCCTCGAACGGACTGTTCACCGGAAAATGCAACGCGATCAGCCTCGTCGTCCTCCATTTCGCCCTCTGAGCTGATAATGCTCGCGGGTTTGACGCTATTTCCAGAAAGCGATCGAGCGTGCTGCCTGCGAACAAACTCATTGCGTTCCTCGCCTCGCTTTTCAGTAAGCTCTTTGATGTCGTTGAACCACGCTAACATAGTTTCGTGGGATTCAGCTCGAAATACCCAAGCGTGCCCGCGGTGCATTGAGCCGGTCTGTCGGCCCTTGAGCATGAATTTATGAGACGAAGACTCGCCCTCTGAATGAGCGCCCAATTTCTGCTCGGGCAAGTACAACGACATGACCGGCGACTGGAATGCGATTCGATCTGCCGACTTGAATTCGTGGAGATGTGTGGGAGACAGGACGTACCTGAAAGGCGCAGTTAGCAACAGTGGTCGCAGGATCAGTGCTACGCTCTACTCACCATCCAGGAGTGTAGTTCTTTAAATATTTGCTCTTCCGCTCGAGCATTCCGCTCCTCACTTCGATAGCTGCGGGATGGTCTTTTCCAGGATAGATAATGTGAGAAACTTGTCGAATCGGGGTCCTGGGGTCCACCATTTGACTGTTATTCTTGGTGAATTCGTCCCATTCATGATCCTTGACCATGGACAAAGGTCCGTCCTTAAGCTTCTCAGCTGTGTCATAGGCGTCGTCGGCTTCGCGGCGCAGGATGCCTGCAAGCACATTGTACGCTTTCTGGATTTCGCCGACCACGATAGATTCCAGCTCTCGGCCAGACGCTTCGAGGTTGAGATAGGCCTGTCCATGTTAGCCCAAGGAACTGCGCCGCAGCTCGGCGAACCATCCTACCCGATGCAAATAGTTCTCTTCATCAATCTGTTTCTCGATCTGCTTGTCGACGGCCATCTTGACCAGGAAAGGGTCACCCTTTCCTCCGGTCGTTGTTGCGTCGTGATCAACCATACCCAGCGACTCCTGGAGGGACTGGATCGCCCTTTTGCTAGCTTCCTTTTCCTTGTCTACTGAATTCTTAAAGTCACCAGACAAGCTTTTGATCTCCTTAATCTTCTGTTGAAGATCACTACGCAGACCCGTGAGTTGTATAATGACCTCGTTCTCGAGGTCTCGAGCCTTGTTGGCTTCGTTAAGTCCTTGTTTGTGAAAGTCTCGAAGAATGTATGCGGCATCGCCGATACCACCAGATGTCAAGAAGTTGGAAGGTATAGTGCTGTTGTTGATGACGTTGGAGGTCGACATGAGCGCCTTTGCCCGTGTCTCGTACGTCTTGTGCAGTTCGCGGAAGTAATTGATCAAATCCTTGAGGACCTTACGCCATGCTGCTCCAGAGATCAGTAGAGGAATCACCGGCTTGGTCAAAAGGAAGAGGGGATACCTTGAAATCGCGCTGCCAGGAGCTCTGTAGGATTTCCGGTAGTCGGGACTGGACAGTAGAAAACACTGTTGCTCTCTTCGGTTTCGGTGTACTTCTCCTTTTCGGCCACTGGCAGGCTTCGCACGGAACCAGCATAGCTGCTTCTTTTGCTAGCAGTCCTTTTCAGACTTGCGCTCTTGTGAAGAGAAGCCTTCTTCTTCAATGTCCCGCCTCTCGATGGCAAGAGAGTCTGCGACCCTGACATATGCGAATCGGTCCGAGGGAGCTCCGGAGACTCCTGGTTTTGCTGGACGACTTCATCATGCAGATCGGCGGCTTGCGCTACGGCGTCTGGATCCTGCAGTAAACCGGCTTGAGAGTGGTTTGGATGCGAGACGGTGTCAGTGCGCTGGGTGCCGGCATAGGATACGGGTCGAGAAGATAGTCTAGCACTCGGTGCTCGCGCGATGGAATGTATCGAAGCATCGGGGTGAGCGCTTTGGACGGGTGAAACAGGAGTGATAGGTCTTGAGGACATGATGACTAGGCCAAGATAGAGACGTGAAAGCTCGGTTGGAGAGCTATCTGCAGGTCATTGAAGTCTGGTTACACCGGCAAGTCTCGTATGAGAGCTATGTCGTGAGCGGCATCTTGGAACAGACAAAAGGGTTTCGAGTATTCAGCACACTTAGTCTGTGTGAAAGTCCGAAAGGTTTCAAACGGAATGGCAATCGAGCTGAGACGGGGAGCTCAGACGAGGGGAGTCGAGACCAGGGAAATGAAATGCGACAGGCTGCGACAAGCGGCACCAGGGCGCGAAAATGGATGACGTCGATTTCAAGAAAGAAGAGTCAAGAAGGTTGCGATGATGAGGGCAGTCGAGGGCGGGCGGGAGCGTCGACGTTGAGGTGGACAAGCCAAAGGCAATAAAAACGGTGAAGTCAGTGCCCGCTTGGGAAAGATTTGGGGCACTGGGTGGGTGCTTCTGTGGGTGCTTCTGGGAGGTGGAGGCGCGGATTGGGGCCTTCCTTGAAGTTGCTCAGTGCCACCGGCACGGCGGGAACAAGTCGTCGAATCGCAACAGGTGCTGGTGGCCTGTGGAGAGCCTGGAACGAGAGGGGGGAAGGTCCGCCCAAGGGTGGTGGATTAGGCGGTTGGCTAGCTGGCAGCTGGCCAAGGACTATGGGAAGAAGTGCTAACTGGGGGCCCCCTCGGCGGTTGGCGGCGTGGGCGGTTGGCGCGCGGAGCTGCTGATGAGCTCGAACTGCTCGAGATTGAGTGCTGAGCATCGAGTAGCAGTGGAGTGACGAGGGTTTCTCCTGACTGCAAACCCAAGCGTCACCAGCCACCACAAGCGTCAGACAATTGTGATGTAATTGCTCTCATTATTCGCTTTGTCTTCATTGCCTTGTCCTGCTACAACCACCTGATACCTTGTTACAGAGGTGCTTGCGAGAGCACGACAGGATGGACAGGATAACCCGGTCTTTCTTTCTGGATCGCCGGTTGAGCATTGCCGAGGGTTGTCTTGCAGGATCAACCAAGTCGACAGCTCTCGTGGTAGCTAGCTGGTCCGCAGTTGCGTCGCTAGCCACATGAACTATTTGAGGGAACCACTCACCCCGCCAAAGACTGGGCACCATGAACAGCTGAATCTCTTAGGCGCGGCTGGCTCCCGAGCCTGGACGACCTTCTTAACCCAAACCAGAAGGGAGCTATCTAAGCAATGAGCAATGAGCACTGCTATCAAGGGCGTGCAGGATACCACGGGAAGACTCGCAGCAGGAGGAAACTTGCTCCGATGGATACTGAGGATACTGAGGATACTGCCGGGGGTATTGGGAGGGTACCTAGGTATACCTGGGTAAATCTTCGCCTTGCTCATTGCGGTGGCTGGACCAGTGGCATTGTCTGATGATTCATGTGAAATGGCTCCATGGTCCAGCTGCCCACCCAAAAGGCAAAAGCTCAGAAAATCGGCACATCAGTCATCATTCTTTCATCTTTGCGTTTCGTGACTCTCGATCCACCAGTGCGCTGGTCCGTTGCAGCATCGTATGGAGTCCTCTAGTCAGCTATTAGCAAGCTCTTCGTTGATTAGCCCTGTTTGAGAAGTTCAATCGAGCAGAACAACCGCCGCTGGATGCCCTAGAAGAGATCTGAACAACGACAGAGTACTCGACCCTCGTGTTTCGATGGAGGTTTGGGCACATTCCTGTGTGTTTTGAGGTTTGGTGTGAGGTACAAAAGTGTGGCGTGATTGCTGGCAACCCGCGGATCAGCGTCATTCCAAGGCATGCTTTCACCACCACTACCGAGTAGAACCTGCTGGTATAGCAATAGCAACCGCCCAAGCCATTTTGTCTGGGGCAGCTAGACATAAGATCCCAGATTAGGCCACCGCTTTTTTGCATGCTCCTAATCCCTCCATGTAGAGAGATTTTGGTCCGGCTTTGGTTAGACTTGCTTACTGACGCACATGCGTTTGCTGGGCTCATCCATCCCCTTGTATCTAATCAGTCTGGTCATCATTCGGTAGCGGTAGTTTGTTGCTTTTCCCAAAGAGTGATGAATGGCAGGTCTAACTGAGCCACATGATGATGCACATGCAGCTATGGTTCACCAAGTCTCAGGGAGAAGCTGCCTTGGTAGCCTCATCTTTCGAGTTTCAAGACGAATGTAAGCGTATGCTTTCGAACATCTTGGTATAATTCGGTTATGTACAAATGATTTCGTGCCCGTCGAGCCGATCCTTCAAAAGCAGCCCTGCGAATGGTGTAACAAGCCTGCCTGCGATCCTTTTCTTGAGCAGTTTAAACCAACACTCTGTAGCCTTGTTCGCTAGCACGATCGCCCGGGCATAAGGTTCGGAGATCTGGACCCAGTTGTATCTTTTGGGCAAGGAAGGGTCGCGGTTCATATCCCAGGTGCTGACTTGCCCTCGTAATAAGGCGGTTGGACATCGAAACCGTATCTTTCCTTAATTCTCTGCTTCCGTCGTTCCTCATACCCTGGTCCGTAAATGCCTGAAACCATGTGAATCAGCCGCCTGCGAAGGTTATCTTGTCGAGTGACCTTACCTCGTCCTTCTCCCAGTTCGTTGATTGTTTCATTGAGGGGCCTTCTGAACCGAGTCCTGGCCTCCTCTTTATGTGTCAACCGGTCATCGAAGGCCTTGTCTGAAGCTGATTCGAACATTGAGCGGCCAGTGTAGCTGATCACGCCCATTGCGGTGCCAAGGGCTAAAGCACTACCCAGCGTCGATGTCATTGACCGTTCTGCTGCCAGTTAGCAATGCCCCTTGTCATCTGGTTTTAAGTTCCATACTCCAGAGGCCGTTCAAAGAGCCAGCAATGGTACCACCAATCACATGGTTAATGTAATCGTTCTTTTCTCGTAGGTTTGCGGAAGCCGTGCTCGCGAACTGGAATGTTCCTCCCATTGCCGCTGAAAACGATCAGAATCTATTTTGCCTCAATTGTCATGGAAAGATCCCATTCATACTGAGTAGACCAATTGTCCTCCCAAACCGTGTAAACACCCCAAAGGCACCGATTTGTTCCTTCGCGACAGTGTTCTGGACAGAGGCAATGAAAAGACCCGCAGCACCAGTTAATGCAGCTGAGCGCGCTGAAATGCCCAGAGCATCCTGAGCTTGATACACGGGTTCGTCGACATCGTAATTCGGCTGCGGGTCCACCAAGTCCCCCATGGCTGCGATTCTGGATGTCGGAGAAGAGGGCAACCAGGTTCAAGTCATCCGAAGCTGGGTCAGGACGATATCGACAAGGTGGAAGCGGAGAAAGGGATAGCAGGCGAGCTGTAGATGGGAAGTTGACTTGATCTGAGTATTATGCGGATCGGCCTCAATGCTGAAGCTCGCAGTCAAGGCAGGATCCTCGCTCGCCTCGAATCCAGCGCATTGGCGGCAAGTTTGCCGAGGAGATTTCCCAAACCAAACCATAGCTGCGCCGCCTTACGCGCCCCCGGATTTGGAATCTACGGCTTCTCGAGTCGCATATGCATTTCGCCATTCGCAGGCTGCTACGAATACACGCTTCTCCCCGGTTATGGTAGAACTTCCTGGACTCTTCTGGCACCTAGCATATTGACTGCACATATGATTTGGACTGTCTGACGCTTCTTCTGTCACTGCTCGACAGAAGACTGCGGAGGTGACGGTCTTGGGGAAGATCCAGTTCAGTTCTCTGCTCCGTTGCTCGAATCCCAGTTTCAACCATCTATTACAGTAGTCACCCGGTTCCGAATCTCCCTCGCCCGCATGAGCCTAGATCATCCGTATTCCGCTCTGTCTAGATCCGGCGACAGGCCATTTGCACGCCTGCCCTCATTGCTGGCTCGGAGAGCTGGTCAATCGCTTTCGAACCGACTTGCATGGCCGGCGTGCAAGGCAACATCCGGTCCTTCATTGCGCCGATCAGAGGGTCTGGTGCGTAGACAAGAAACAGAGCCAAAGAGATACTGTATAGTAACGAGATCCCACAGGTCGAACTGCCCCAGCATTCCTTGAGGATTTAACACTCTACGAGCCATGGCGGGACTCCGAGGACCTCCCAAACCTGCTGGCTGATTCTCCTCTCAAGTTCATTCATGTCCCCTATTTGGCCGACCTCCTACCTCTTCAGGGCTGCAGACACAAATTTGGTCTGAAGCCGAGACAGTCTGAACCTCCCGCATTGGACGAGAGGCCCGGTCCGCAGTCAATATGGAGCATTGCAGCTTTCTGTCAAGTGTGCCGCGTGCATCTTCATGTCAAGGTCGATTACACCATCAGATTCAACAACGGCCCCTGTCCGAGCGTTGAGCATCCTCTCCATCACCTGGTGAGATCAGATTTTCAAGAGCCGCTGGAAAAGAATGCGTGGGAGCGCAGGAATCCGGACTCTCAAGATGAAATATACTCCTACCGATGTTCTTCCCGTACCTGCTCCGCCACCGTTACCGTACGTTACAGCCCACCGGTGCTGCGTCCTAGCGACATTCATACCCTGACCGATCATTCGCTGCTTCGTCAGAGAACAGAGGACGCTTTCCGCGAGCGAGAAGGACATACAGAGGGGATGCGGCACCCTGGGCCAATGGACGTCCTGCATGACCTTCGAGCATATCTGAGGAACTCCTGGCGTGCAAGAGATGATCCAAAGTATAGATCAATCAACCTGTCAAATCGGAGATTCATCGTTCGATTTGGACCAGAGGGCAGTGCTTGTAAGGATGTCCTGGAGCACCTAGGGTTCCAGCTTGTGGTAGGTGGAGAAGTTGCGGATCTTGATATATGTATATTGACTCCATGTCTATCAGCCCGGGGATTGCTGGATGGTCCCAGAACCAAATTTCGAGGAGAACCTACCGTACCAGAGTCCCGTCAACCTCTGGTTAGACAATGCCGAACACGAGTTGACGGCTCTTCTTTTGTCGCGTCCCTATGAAGAGCGACAGCAACTGCAAGATGTCACCCCTCCTGTGCCCGCTGAAAGGGAACTTTCACGGGCCCTAGGGTGTCAGGACTGTGAGTCGCCTGCCCGCGTCGGGTTGAAATGCGCTAATGTATCGCAGATGACACGCATCCAGGCAGCAGGACTGCTAAAATCGCTCCTGAAATGAAAACTTCGTACAGGCGACCCCCTTCCCTTGTTATCGTGGAGCAAGCTAACGTGGACGTAGTCCTTTCACTGCTCTTGGTTGTCCGATGGATTTGTCTGACCAACTTGTTGCGAAAGCGTACCATTGGCAGGTGCAAACAGATCCTCCAAATGCACATTTGTATCTCACCAACCTCAAGTACATTGGGAATCAACGTCAGAGTGAAGCTTTAGAGACTGAAGCTGTATTAGAGACCTCACGGGGCCGGTTTGATACAGAAATGTTGGATGAAGCATATAAAGCCTTTCATTTGACCGGCCTTGGAGGTCCGGTCAGCGACGAGGACATCATCGGCTCATTTACAGCTCAACTGGCAGACTCACCGGGCCACGAACATCAACTGAGAGATTATCTCCGCATTATAGGAGTTCATCGTGACAGTAAACGCATCACAGACACTGCGATGAACAGTGAGTCGGCGCTCATCGTTCGGTTGAGATTCAATTACTCACATAGTTACCACAGTTATTGACAGCTACGAGTCAGCACTTGCCTTCCTAGATGCCGATCCCACAATCGAAGACGAGCACATTCAAGCTTTGTTTGCTGTCAAGGTTTGTCGCGTACTTATTTGTGGCTTGATCCGCGCTGATATGTGTTTCAGACAAACGAAAACAAAGCCCTAGAGGAGCAAGCCATTCAAGCCGTTCGCCTAATTGCCCAGCACCGCAAAAGTCGCTTTCTATCCAACTGGATTGACTCCGGATTTTCCAACGAAATGCAGAGCCACATGGAGCCTGCTGAAGGCTACCAAGCCCTTCAGATTGACAACCGTGAGATTGACGATGAAATGATCCTCTATCAGTACAATATAGCCGTCGACGAAAATCCCGGCAGTGTGGACTACTACAACAGAGCGCTTGCCGCTATCGCCAAAGGCCGGAATAGCTCGATTTTGTTGGATCACTTACACAGCAGGGCCCCCCAAGAACCCCAGGGCAAGCCGGAGGAACCTGTTGGACTCGAAAATATTGGGAATACCTGCTATTTGAACAGCTTGTTGCAGTTCCTGTTTACAATGAACCAGGTGCGACAGTTGGTTCTCAACTTTGATGAATACAAGATGCCCTTGGACGAGAAGAGCATGGAGCAAAAGCGCGTTGGACAGCGAAAGGTTAGCGTCAAAGAGGTCCAAACTGCGCAGAGATTTGTCGACAGCCTGGCGTCTCTGTTCCGCGGCATGATACAGACACCCCGTTCATCCATCAAGCCGGAGCAGGAGCTGGCCCGATTGACCCTGGAGACCGAAAGTGTCAAAGAAAAGATGCGTCGAAGGTCAACACTCAAATCGAATGAGCGGCCCAGCTTAGGCTCAATCGGTACGCTACCTGCTTCAGGTCTTGCGCCAGTAGTTGACTCTGAGGCAAATGGGATAACGGATACTACAATTATCCAGTCTCCAACCGACACTATGGCCGCCAACGTTGACATGACACAAGATGCCAACACGTCGAAGGTGGATACAAGAGAGGACGCAGGTACCGAGGTCCAGTATGTCGACAATCTCGCAGCCAACGACAGTGGCAGTGAAGCCACTTTGGTATCAACGCCTGACGACGACCGGAATATGCTCGTGGAGACAGACGAACATATGTCAATTTCGGACAACAAGGAGAATGTGTCACCTTTTAAGCCTACGACAACATCGGTGGCCCTGTCTCCTTGGACGGGGCAGCCTCTTACAACAGCAGCGCCAATGATTTCAAGTGCTCAATCAGAAGCAGTGTCGGGAAATACCGATGAAAAGGCTTCCGGTATAGATCCGGCATTGTTGAAATACGCCCCACCCCCTGGAAAGCCACCGCCAGTGCCTCCACGGAAACCCGTCCAGAATACTACAACCACGCTGGAAGAGTATGCACGTCAACAAGATGTAACCGAAGTCATGAATCACTGCATCATCCAGCTGTCTTACGCCATGCGGCCTACAGGGTTTGACAAGTCGGGAGAGCAACGCGACGAAGTGCACGATCTATTCTTCGGGCAACAGGTGGTCCATAGCCAACCTGAAAAAAAAGCACCCCAGGCCCTACCGTTTCTCAATATCATCACGCGTGTGTTCCATCAGCCCGTTGATGTATATGCTGCGATTGACAATGAGTTCGATCTCCAAGATGCGCAAGATGGCGCAAAAGCCTATACCTCAATCGTCAGTCTGCCGCCGGTCTTGAGCATAGCCTTGGACCGAGTGTCATGGAACAACGAGATAAAACGTCAAGAGAAGCTGAATTATCACGTCGATGTTCCAGAAACCATCTACATGGATAGATACCTTGAGACTTCGGCTGGCTCTGACCTAATGCAAAGACGACAGCAGACGTGGGAGATTAAGAAGGAGTTAGCATCACTTGTCGCACGGAGAGACGAGCTTGAGGAAAAATATGTTAGATTATAAGGCCCTCCGTTGATGGATTGAAAATTTGCAAGCTAACATCATGCGCAGGGCAAATCTGCAGATATCCCGGGTCTTCTCGAAGATGCAAAGCTTGTCTTGGAATATCTGGCAGAAGTACCTGGAGACCAAATATCAGGCGAACTCGACATCAGTCCAAACGCCATCGCTACTCTCGGTATCTTAGCTGAAAATGCTCGTTCTGAGCTCGAAGGTAAAGATTTCCTTTCCTTCTATCTCCACCTGACGATGAAGTCTTAACCTCTCGTCCACAGAAATCCGTGCCCGCGTATCCCACCTCTCCCAACAAATCAAAGAATCCTTCGTCGACATGCGCAAGCACCCTTACCGCCTGCACGCGGCGTTCTTCCACCGCGGCTCCGCCGGTGGAGGCCACTACTGGGTGTACATATACGACCACAAAAAAGAGGTATGGCGGAAATACAATGACGATCGCGTCTCCACTGTCACAAATCTGAACGAGATTTTTGGAAACCCATACGCACAAACCCAAACCCAAGGTCAACAACAGCCAGCCAGCGCGAGTAGCTTGAACCCGCCTCCGAACCCGTACCTCTTGATCTACCTGGATGCAGATCGGATCGATGACCTGGCGGAGACGGTCAAACGGGAGATTGTGAATCCGCCCCATGATGCGGCCCCTACCGTCCCGGAACGTACAGACCAGCCTCAAAGCCAGATGACAGCTATGCCACCCACTCTGAAATTAAGCAACGGCGGGGATGTGACAATGCTGGAGTATGCCAACGGTGGTGAGCAGGCCCAATCATCCTCGCAATCAGAACCTTCCTCCGCCGCCCTCGACAGCTCCTCCCAACCAAGGGACGACCCGAGCGTGCGGAAGGAAGGGCATTGGGATAACAGCCAGCTGATGATGGATAGGAAGATTGACTGGTAAAGAGACAGCCGGTGGCCAAGGAGACGCTTGGTGGAATCTACAGCCGCTGTTATGAGAGAGAGAAACACTTGGTGCACTGCAAGTCTTTGGCCATCCCCCGCTCGCTGTAAGAGCAACAAACCAAATCAATCACTTGCCAGCATTGTGGTCTCAGCAAGGTTGAGAGGGAAAGAAAGTGCTTGTCAAGACATGGCTAGATCTCCAACGCAAAAAGAGGGAGGAGGGCTCTGTAACTAATGTATGTAAACTCGAACCGGCGTCAATGAGAACCATTTAACACTCGTGTGTACTTTCGCATGGTAATCTTCACCGGTTGAGTCCGGTCTCTGTGTTTGAAGTTTTAAGCACCCAGAAAGTAGAGACGCAAAAAATTTTCCAGGAGTCTTTGCTTTGTGTGGTTCCTAAGCTCGCTGTGTCTGTGGGTTGCAAGCTCGAAAGCTCATTGTTATGCCCTGCATTTTGATTCCGTCGCATCCTGCCTGCGCATGAAAAGGGTATCTTGTCTAGGTATCTATCCTAGACTCCACGCCAACCCAGCACTAATAAATAACGTAATACGCTTGCCACTGCAAATGCCCATGCTGGCTCCTGCACTGCCCCGGTTTGTGCTCTGAGTGTGTAAGGCACACACTACATGCTCGTCATGGCCAACGGCACATGTTACGCGGCGTCAGTTCTTCCTACTGCTCTTTGCACCCCTGGGCCTGGTCTCCCTCGCGGAAATTCCCATGCTGGTTCATGCTCTGAGTGTGTAACGCACGTGTCTGTCAGTTGCTCGTCATGTTCCACGGCACACGTTATGCGTCGTCGGCTCTCCCTGCTGCTGCTGCTCTTTGCACCTGGGACCTGGTCGGATATCGGTGCTCAGTGGCTGCTTGATGTTGTTGTTGGTTTGAGGATGGCCTTCCGCTGAACCAAGTGGAGAAGGTGCGGTTGGAATTCGCTGAAGCAGCTTGTCGCGGTGCTGGTCTGAAGGCCATGTCTCGGTGAACGCCTGCTGTTTCCTAAACAAGATATGCGTCGCTCGGATGTCGTGACCTAATAGGTAGGACACCTGCGTCAGCCTGTGGATTTTTATTATTGGGATTGATTCAACGTTACCTCGACCAGTTCTGGATCACCTCGATCTGCCTCGCATTGCCGTTGATTACCCTCGAGTTTTGTGGATCTCCACGGTCTATGAACGATATTTGGCTGAAGGAATAAATCAGCGACAAGTGTAACCGTACTCACGTACTCAAGTCGCACTTCAAAAAAAAAGGAGGGGGGATGGGATGGGGGGATGGGACCTTACCCGCGGTCGCCGTAAACCAGCTCAAACCGCCCTCTGCCAGCCTGCCTTTGGTTGTTTACCGCGTTGAGGAAATCCGTAAGCACCACCTTCTTCGGTTTCGCGCTAGGTAACACGCTCCCATTCGATGTCTGCGTTGCGATCGTAAAATTGCCACGCTTTGTTCCACGGTCCTGAACTCGTGGTTTGAGGAACTGCTCGTCGCTGTCGGAGTTGTCTATTTGCTGTCTGCCACTGGGGCTGCGCGCACTGTGAAGGGCGGCACGACCTCTAATCTTGAGCCCTGCTGGCCGTAAACCATGGTTGGCCGTTTCTTTTTCTCTCTGCTTTGTACCCGGCTCGAGACTTAGATTGATAATCTGTTCCGGAGCATATGACTTTAACGACCATCTCGCCGCTGCGGCTTGGTTGGCCCGGGGACAGTCACCCACGAGATGGGATTTACTTGCGCAGATGCAGCAAGAGATCCAGAGCTTGGTAGGACCAATGTGAGGCGTCCCGAAAGATGGTAAGAATCGCTGAGGACATGTCGGTTCCACATGGCCCGGGGTACCACAGATGTCACAAGATCCCGTAGTGACTTTCAAGCCTGTGGGGCAAGACTCAGCAGCGTGTCCACGCTCACGGCATTTCGAGCACCTCTGGAGCAGAGGGCAAAAGCGGCTAGAGTGGCTGGCTGAGCAGTGAATGCATGTCAATTCGGGACAATCTCGCTCGGCGTGGCCGGCTTGGAGACAGCTCAGGCACACAGCAGGCTGATTGAGGTCGATATCGCGGCGACTGACGTGGAAGAAGGCGTACTTCAGCTGAAGCTCCAGCTCTTCCGGGCTCAGATCTGCAAGGTACGGGCCCGATTGTACTTGAGCCGGGGTCGCTGTGGGATGCGTGGGAAGTTGACCGGAGACGGTGCGGGAAAATCTCTCGAGGTCGCCCTGTAATTGGTCGTGAGCATCCCACTCGGCAGAAGAGAGGGGTTGTCTCTCCTCTCTTGTAGACGACTGGGACTCTGTATCTCCCTCTGAATATGTTTCTCCTTCTTCTTCCCCTTCGTCGTCTTCTTCCCCCTCCTCCTCCTCCTCCTCTTCTCCATCCTTTGTTTCCATCTCGTCGTAATCGAGAACCATGTCATCAGAGAACGAATGATGTTGGGTACGGTCAATGTTAATGACCATGCCGCCATCATCGGACTCATCTTGCTCGTTGTCAGAAATCTCGATTGCATCGTCCATAGAATCTCCTGACGGTATCGCAGGGTCCAATTGGCCGTCACTTTCGCTGATACCGGGCTGCGGCTCGTCAGGAGCAGGTGGAAGGGGCGCAGCGCGGAAGCCTGTAGCGAGTCTGTTGTTTCCAAAGCCTGTGGAGGTAGAGGTCATTGTGCCGACAGCATCGCCAGTCAACGGCGCAGTGTCTTCTAGACGCTCTTGGTCTGGAGTTCCTGCCACCGGAGCCGCCTGCTGCGAGGCTGCATTGCCCATGAGGGAAGATTGAGACGAGATTGAAGAATCAGTTGAAAGAAAAGGTGCAGAGTTGACTTGACCTTTTTGTCTCGCTTCACGCTTCACGCCAAGAGCGGCGGTTCTCGACTCACTCTCATCATCAGAGGTTGCGAGCCGGGCCATCTGAGGTGGGGAAGACGTCATTTAGAGAGGCAGAACCGCGTCCGCAGCACAAGGGATCGCGTTTTTCCAAATCCTGGAGGCCGCCGTTCACTGCCAGACTGGCGTCCGCAGCCTCGAGATATAGAATCGCAATCGAGAAAAGAAGGTATGACGAGACGCTAGTCAGGAACGGACTAGTGTATTCTTGACGAGTTATCGACCCCTTTCGCATTACAGCCTCAGCCTTTCTATCAAACACTTTTGAATTGTCTACCTCTAAGCTCATTTTGTCCTTCTATCTTTGAATATCCTTCACGTTTTGAGTAAGACCAGTCAGGAACAAGCCAAGAGACTGATCGTGCTCGTACAAAGTCGGAATTAATCGTACATGAAATCCCATGAAGCATCTGGAAACGCTGCAGTGCACCATAGCACTCTTTCAGACCAACATCCATTTTTCCCACCTATGCGCTTATGCCCACATTGCCTTGAACTTCTGATTGAACTCTTCTTGAAGCATGGTGAACGCCTTCAGAACCATCAACAAGTTTCCACCTTCAATATCGGCCACTTCCTCCTCCGCGATCGGCTCGTTCGTCGATTCTTTCGCACGTCTTGCACCCATCGTAAGACGCTTCTTTTCCAATTTAGCAGCCTTGACCGCCTCGTTCATGGTTTCTGGAATGGCGCCATTGATTTCCGCCACATCGCCGTCGTCACTCGATTCGTCGTCCCAGCTGTCAGCCAACTTCTTCTTCCCAAGGCCGGATCCCGCTTTAGTAACAATTGATTCCTGCTTCGTCGGCATCTCTCGACTTGGCAACACCCGAGCACTGGGTGTACCCTTGTCGTCTGAACCGGCTTCCAGGACTTTGTCGTCAAGTTGCGTCTCGTGCATATCACCGAACCCCATAATGTCCCCCATCTCGGTTCCGGTCGGCAGAGAAAGCTTGAGAAAATTCTGGAAACTGGTCACGATGGTCGCAAGGACCAGCGAGAAATCATTGAGGACAAACCAGATCTCCCCCTTGCGAATACCGTTCTCCTTCTCGAGAGCCTCCACGTTGCCATGTTTGAAGAAGTCGTAAAGATAAGCATTTAAGAGAGCGGTGCTCTCATTCGGGTAGGTGCCTACATACGGGACTACGGCCTCCTCTAGCCAGACACCACTGCGAACCATCTTACACAACTCAGAGACGCTCTTCCACTCATCTCGATGGCCTGAGAGAGCGACAAAAGCCGAATTGATACGGGCCGGGGGAAGAGCAGATACAGACACGCCGATCTCATCAATTGACTTGTCTCCGCCGCATTTTAGTCCAGTGAGTGGCAGGTAGTGGTCAGGCTCTTTGACGTGCTGATCGATGTAGGTTGACACATAAGCGGCATATACGTCCAATGTTTGATCATTGTGAGCCAGCAGGGTGCTCGCTGCCTCTTTTGGTAGAGGTGGGAGCACGACGACCGATGACGACCACCGTGATTCCGCGTGGCGCGACTCCAATACAGATTGTCTCAGGTATCGACGCCCGAAGAGGTGTGACATGACGAGCATCAAGGTGAGCAAAACGTGGTTGGGTCTGACAAGAATATCCACACAAAGCTTGCTGAAATACCCGCTTTTGAGCAACGCGTGGAAGGCAAAACTTGCATTCTCGGTGTAATACAGGTGAGAGACACAACCAGTGAAGTTGAGAGGAGCACCAGAGACGTCCAACAGGTGGTTGCGGCGAAGATATTCGATCGAAAACCGGAGATGGTGCAAGACGGTGTGTTTCGACTCTGGACCACCCAGGTAGATGCGCGGGCATGAGAGGATTGAATTAATCGCCTTGACGGCATACTCTGCATGTTTTGATTCATGCAGCAGGATGAAGAGGCGCAACACCAGGCTGGTAGTGATGGGAAAGTGACCGTTGAGATCTGGGAGCCTCGAGCTCAGCAGGCGGCAGACTTTTGAATATGGGACTCCTTGGAAGACCACATTGCCTAGGACATCAAATCCTCGGCGCCCCGCTCGACCGGCTGCTTGTCGAAAGTTGAGGGCCGTCAGGAAGATCGAGTCTCCCGAGAAAACGACGGTCTTGCAGGGCATATTGATACCCAGGGCCAGTGTGCCGGTGGCTATCACCACGCGCAAATACCCTTTGCGGAACAACATCTCACACACTTGGCGATATTTGCGGTTCATGCCTGCGTGATGGACACCGATGCCTCGCCTCAGGGCGTCGATCAGCCAGTCCGGCACAAAACGCTCCCGGAGCTCAGTGGCATATTGCTGAAACTCTGAGCGACTGAGGCTTTGCATGTTTGCTAGGTGGAATCCATCGACTGGATCATTGGGATTGAACAGTTCCAGCATGTTTGACTCTTCCGAGCCTGCCTCCCGCATCCGCTCGGCCCGTGTTGATGGTTCGTCGTCGGCATTCCCTTTCTTTGACTTCTTGGGCGGCTTCTTCTTGTTCTGTTTCTCCTGGTTGAGCTTCCAAGTTTCCCAGTTATTGATCTGAGTCTTCCAGGTTTTGCTAACTTCCTTCCAGCGAGCTTCTGCCCATTCTAATTCTCGGAGCAGACGCTGACATATGAGTTCACACGCGTTGCGGTCGTAGTTGAAAAACAGTGCGGGAAGAGCTCCTTCGTCATGGAGCGAACAGACAAGAGGCAGCGTGGTGTCTAGGAAGTCAGTCTCCTGGACCGGATGAGGTCTGTTGTCTTCATTTACTTTCCCCAAGGATATCTGGATCTCTGGCCGTTGTGCGTTCCTTACGGGCTGCTCCAGTTCTCTCAGCACCGCCTCAAAGGGAGACTTGCGATCCTCTACCCATGCCTTCAGGAGCGCCTTGAGTTTAGCCTCCCATTCAATCACGTCAACCTTGCGCACGATCTGTGGCAAGCAATTTGAAGGGTCTAGTGACTCGTCAACGGGGAATGCCTGTGTCTGGTGCTTTTTCATGGAGTTGAACAGCAACCAGCAATCCCGCGGTTCTAGAGTTAAGTCGTCGGGTATTCCTCTCGTCCGGTCGACCAAGCTTGCGACGGGATGCATGAAACTCATTCCATTTGCGTTGTCAACCCCAATAGAGGGCAGTTGTGAACGGACTGAAAAGCCATTGAAGAGAAATCTTTGTGGTGGACTGTAGACATACTTCCGTAGATCCGAGTAGCGGTGATGGTGCTCTATCATCTCGAGCTGGATACCGTTGGTCTCCTGAGCCTTGCTCAGCCAGTGGCTGAATTCTTGTGGGTTTCCCACAGTGGCTGAGAGTGCAATGATAGGGCACGGAGCTAGAAGGAGTAGCTGCTCCCACACAACTCCGTCGTCAGCTTGGCCAATGCAGTGGATTTCGTCGAATATGATCCGCCTGACCCGAGAAGACCACGTCTTCGCATTGGACGGAGCAAGAAGCATGATCTGAAGCATATGAGGAACCGTCACCAAGATCTGACACCCGGTCGGGTTGTTGACCCGGTGGTCGCGCGTGTGTATGGCCCAGACTGACTTCCCAGGATACTGGAACTTTTTCGAGAATCGAGCCTGCACCTCGGCGGCAATCTGGTTCACCAGCGCTTTGGTTGGAGCTACGTAGACCAGCACCCCGTCATCGTCCGCTTCGAGGACTTGCTTCATGGCGTAGAACGAAATAAACGTCTTTCCGGCACTGGTCGGAGCAACCACGAAGACGCTCTTCTTCGCATCAATCTGGTCCAGGACGTCTCGCTGCCATTTATCTGGCTCAAAATCACGCACCCGATGATCCGGCTCGGAGCCCATGTCTCGATCAAAGAATGGTCCTGCGTGAACGAGCTGGAATTCCAGAGGCGATAGTTGAGTACCGAGGGCCTCTTGCTTGGGGCTGTACAAGCTCATTGACGAGCTCGCGCTGTACGGTTCTTGTACTTGAAGCGATCCCAAGGCTGGCAAACGAAAGGCCTGGATAGTTTTGGCGACGTATGCTGCAATGTCGGTGGTGATGCCCTGTTTCAATCTTTTGATGTGAAGAATCTGGCTCCAAATGAATCCCATGATCGGCATCGCGTGAAATCGGTCTTCAGCCGTACAATTCTTTGTCCACATCTCGACCAAAATACTGAGCAAGTATACCGACACTTCAGCTTCCACTGCCGCTCGCTTGTTCTTCGGCACACCATTCAGGTAGTTCTTGACCTTGAGGAATCTGGATGTGAGGTTTGGCTCTTTGGCAAACTCGGTTCTCATGGAACTCCATGCTTGCTCCAGCCTAGTAGCATCCTTACTCTGCTTCTCCCGGACCCTTGCTGGGGGAAGGTCTTTGACGTTGGCTCTAGCGCCCGGTTTCTTGTCACCGTTGACTGAGGTTTGCAGAGACTTGGATCTGCTGGAGCTTCCCAATTTCTTCCCCGGTCCGGTTTTTGACTTGGCTACAATGATAATCTCAGGATCGAAAACACCTCCGATCGCATTAGTCAGGCTGGCGGCGTAGTCCCTAGTTTCGGTCATGAAGAGCTGATTTCGCCGGTTAGCACGCGTCTTTTGCCACTCTGTTACTGCCTGAGCGGCCTTATGGTCGATGGGTTGCTGATGATTGTGCCAATGGCTGAGCTCTTTGAAGATTCGTGATGTGCCCGCTTTGCTGACAGACACATCAACGGCAAGTTGGATAGGACTGAGGTGGTTGTCGAATACCGGGTTGCTGAAAGGGAGTACTGTCGTCCGAACTTTACATCCATTTGTGAGGATGGTCAAGTCTCTGTTCTCGCTCCAGGGTTCTGTTGGGTTGAAGCGAAAGTCTTGTTGTTCAATAGTGATCTGAGACTGAGTTTCTGAGATCCATGACTCAAACTGCAAATTGATACCGCAGGCGTCATTCAGGACAGACGTGAGTTCTTTAAATGACGAGAACATTGAGGGACAGGGAGCGATTTGACCACCAGACCTCTGAAACGCGGACACAATGTTGATAAATAGCCTTCCATCAAGCAAATCAGCTAGGTCACATGGTAGTTTTTGACGAAGGACACTGTCTCGCCAGGCGGCTGACATGAGAATGTTGCGGGATGTGTCGACAAAGTCCGTCAAGAACCGCGTATTTGTACCAGAGCTTCTGGCATCCAACGCTCGATCACAAAGGCGACAGTCCCGGATCACGATCGCATGCAGGAGCATTGCACATGCTTCTAGTACGAAAGTGGCACCGTTTTTGCCAGATCTGACCATGAGACTTAGGGTTGCGACTATTAGCAAGTCCCGTTGCGTCAGAGGTGGCTCCAGCATGCGATCTAGAATCCCCAAAGCCTCTGCCAGGGCTTCTGCTCGTGACATGTGGGCGTCCTCTTCGTTTGAATTCAAGTCCTGCACTGCGATGGGGACAGCATCCATCTGAGATGTGTTGCTTAAGTGGCTTTGTGTACACTTCAGCTGGTTCACTCGCATTCTGGAGCCTTCCATAATCATTGCCATGACCTGATGTCGTTGTGAGATATTTCTTGACAAAATAACAGCAAGGAGCGGGGAGACAGCTTACCTTTGTGTCTCGAAATTCCACGGTTGTGACGAGAGCAACATTGTAACCATGACCAACGAACCAGTGGATCATCAGCCGCAATACGACCTTCCGAGCATGATCAAGCTGACTTTCTTTGACATTTCCTTTGCCAGGTCTTCCTCCACCGTGTCCGGAAAGGTCGGTTGTATCAAAGCTGGCTTGTGTCTCGAAAGGAGCAGGGGATTCTTTGCCATCGTCGTCATCATCTTCTGAAGACTCCTCGAATTTATCTTGAATGTCCGCACGTGGAAAAGAGCCGTCATGGCACATGAAGAAGTATGCTCCTGTTGATGCCAAATACTCGTCAAAGTCGTGGGTCGAATAGGAGTCGAAGGTTTTCACTTCTATTGATGGGACGCTGAGAGGAAGGTTGGAGCTGAGGTGTTGAATCATGGCCTCTCGAGCAAGGAGATACCTTGAGTGAAGGTGCCCGGGGATATTCTGAGGGATGCACATGCACGCATGTTTGCTGAAGAACACGACATGGAATTTGCATTTTCGCTGGTGAAGGGCACGCAGGAAGTTTTCCACGACGTAGGTCGCATGAAGCAGTTGCAAGCCTGGCGAGAAGTCGATTTTCTCGTCTGAAAAGGAATGGAGAAGCAAGGAGTCTCCTTCGATGATAAAAAGTTCATCACCCGCATAGTCGCCAACGAGGTCAACAGTACGCGAGTATAGGTCATCGTACCTATGGCAAATTAGCAGGCGGCTGAGAAGCTGACGGAGTCTGAGTACGTACCAGTCGAGCAGATCCCGATAATCGGCCATCTTGGAGCCGTGGGAGGGTGATGGAGTCAATAGTAGTGGGAAAGTGGTTTCCTGTGAAAATCGCGAATGAGCTATGCAGTGAAGAAAGAAGGATCTCTTGCTGGCTGCGGGGCAACGCGTATCCTCTCAACATCGCACCCGGTAGCGTTACGTACCTGAATCTCATCGGACCTGTCGTGAATCGTGACATCTTGGAAAAGAAGTGCTAGGTCAAACTCGACAAGCGTCGCTACCGCCCATAAGAGGAGCTCTATTTCCGTGGGATGAATGTCGCGCAGGCTCCAACAAGATCAGGCTGGCGGCAGATTGCTTGCGAGAGGAAAACTGTTTCAGCCTCATCGACCTGAGTAGCTTCATATTGGGAGTTCATATACTTCTTGGCGCGGATGCCTTACTATTCCAGCCCTCCAATCATATGACGAGAGGCTGTATACGAATGTTAAGGCTTGGCTAGAGCCTGGAGCCGGGCCGGTGCGTGCCCTCTTGGTCGTCGTAGTTAGTAGTACGGCTCGACGGGACGAGGAGTACGTCTTTCAGTACCGAAACATCTGATAGTAGCGAATATGCGCTTGCGTACCCAACATGTGCCTTAGCAAGATCAGACTCAATAGACTGGTTGGTCCCAAACCATTCCAGAATCGTATCCCCCTTGTGCGAGACAGGAACACCGCTCCGACCTCAGCTTTCCAGTCAGGTGCAGAGAGAAAAGATGAGGCGGAAACAGGCAGCTAGAGTGGACATACCGCTTTCAAGACCTTGTGAAGATAGTCCGGATTGCTGGATTGCTGCGGCATTTGAGACTGGAACATGCGCAAAAGTGGACCGGGCCTTTCAACAAGCCTGTCTGGTCGACGCTTGTGCAGGTCTCCGTCGTGGCCAGCTGCATTATCTTGGCCAGTACTATGCGAAGGTTGCGCACCGCACAAGCATGCCAGCCACTCGCATGGTCTCATACATGCTAGCTTTCTGTAACCTGTTGAGAAGCTGCAGGCTGGCTCACACTGGGTTGCTGCATTAGCACAGGCTGCAGAAGGCGGGGTGCTCGCTCGTAAGTGGGTTACTGTGAACTGTCCAGAGTCATTCGTTCTTGCCAGGCGGCCAATCTCAGACTTTTAAACCATGTGAGAAGCAAATAGTAGGGGGCTCGTACTGAACCTAGTCACTGGCCTTGCTTGCTGAGCCAGAAGATGCCCTAGATTAGCTCACTTAACGTGGTTCAAGTCACAAAGGACCGTCAAGACAGGGGTGCGCATTGAGCATGACCCGGCCACGAAACATACCTGTGAATGAGTTTCATGATTTAGAACGAGACCGGTGTGTATGTCGTCGTGCTTCTCTTGCCTGACTGCTTTACCTTCTCACCTGCGTTCTTTATATCTCGCAGCGAAAGACATCTAAACATCCTTTTTATCCCACTTTCAATATGAACAGCAAGGCTGGCAGAGTCTGTTTCAATTATATCGATACTGGGACTTGCCGCTTTGAATCGACATGCGAGTTCGCTCATGTCGAGCCAGATACAGAGGGTCGTCCTAGAGTGCGTTAGTACATACTCCCTTTTCGTCAGCATCTCTTCTCAGCCATCGTTTCGTTCTTTGCTAAGTCAAACGTCCAATAGTCCTTCGGTCAAAACCGACGAGGCGGGAGGCCGTGCAGAGGTTCAAATCAACAATGGTGCTGCATTTCAACGACCTCTATGGTACAGACGGGGACGATCTAGACGCTTGGCAGGGTTTGTGTCGTATCTTGAAAATCGTCCCTATACCTACCGAAATGGAGGAATGCCGGAAGGTGAGCCACGTATTGTTCCACCCCCAGAATATCCATTGCCCATGTGGGATGGCGCCGTTGACCACTTGCAGCGGGCTCGAAGGACGCATGTAAACCTCGTGGACCTAGTGGACGCACCACGAACAGGCGCCCAAGTGAAGGTATTCGCAAATCTGAAAAGGTTTCGAGCTTACACAAACGGGACTGGAAAGTACTTCCCGAAGGAGGATGCATATGTTGGGGGCTTGCTCAAATTCTTACTACGGGATATTCTTGCGAGGCCCGGGGGAGATAGGCAACGTACTCGATATTCCTGACAGAAGGTCAAGATGACGGCTCTGGGTGCCATGGGTTCCAGGGACAAGCCCTGGGGAGTTCAGAGCCAGGAATGCGAATTCGTTGAACGCATACTGATGATCTTGTGACATATGTGAAGCTCCATCAAATCGACGAATTGTTCTGAGGCTGGTGGCTGTGGTGAGAGCAACACTGTCATCGAGGCCTTGAAGGGGAAAGCTCGATAATCTTGCAGCGTTCGACGTATGCAATCCCAATTATTTCGTTATGGAGGGCGGATTCTACCAATTCAAGCGATGTAGTTGGTAGAAATGAGGGCAAATGAAGCTACTTCGTAAGTGTTGGACGCCCAGCGAGCTACGTTGATCCAGGCCTTGCTGGGTGCCAAGAGGTCTGACGTTGCTGAGAAAGCCGTCCACTAATAATAATTGGGCCAGACGGATGGGGGCATTCCGAAGGGGGTCGTGTGAGCTTGCCGGGCCTGGAGAGCCTCACTGGCCTATCGGCTGGGCTGTGCATTTAGTCGTAGGTGCCTTTGTGCCCTCTGTCTGGTGGCATTTGGTGGCATATGGTGGCCTTCTTTAACCAAAGGCCGATCCCTCTATTTAGATCCCCCTTCTAATACCACTTCCCAACCGTTCTTGGTACCGCCGTCACCAATTCCCCATCCGCCGAGCCACCTTCCCTCATTCACATCCGATCTGAGACCTCATCGATTCGGAACACCGTGCGCGTCTCACTACATACACCTTCTGTCTTTGTGTCCCCGGATCTTATATACCCTGTGCACACCCCGTCCGCAGCCTCCCAACTTGATCTGAATATCTTCTGTCATTTATTTCACTTCATGACCACGGAATCCGGTCTGCTGTCGAGCTTCTCACCCCGAACGCGATCGATCCCGCTACAAACCCCTCGGGGCGACTTCAGGTACGGACGGACCTTACGCCACTCTCCTCCCACGGAGGAAATCACCTCGCATTGCTGACCACATGCTGGCTTTCTTCAGCTCACACCTCGCACTATTTCGCTCATAACTCGTCATCTACACCTCCCAAGATACCATCCTCTCGTTGCAACACCCGCAATATTCGATGACCTCTCAAACCACCCTCCACCGCTCCATCTCCTTCGAAGCCAATGCCAGACTGGCCCCTCCCGTGTCGTCCTACAATCCAGCCATGAGCACGACCAAGAGTGGTCGGCGGAGGAGATCGAGCAGTATCATATATCAAGAACCTCCAGAGTCCTTAGAGCAGATCAGCGACCAGTCAGCTCTTCCCAACCTCAACTCCCAGTGGGTTAATGCAAAAGGTGCGCGACAATGAGATAGCCACAGCCTGATATTAGCAAGAGCGTGAGGGACTAATTTGACATCCTTTGTAGGAGCCTGGACGATACACCCTGTCCTGATAATCGGCCTCAAGATCCTGTTCGACATAATTCCCGGCGTCACTCAAGAGATATCGTGGACACTCACAAACATAACCTACATGGCTGGGTCATATCTAATGTTTCACTGGGTTAGAGGCGTGCCTTTTGAATTCAACGCCGGAGCGTACGACAACCTGAACATGTGGGAGCAGATTGACAACGGTGATCAGTACACACCCGCCAAAAAGTTCCTTCTCACCGTACCCATCGTCCTGTTTCTGTTAAGTACGCACTATACGCACTACGACTTCACGTACTTTACCATCAACTTCATGGCCCTCATGGCTGTCGTGATACCGAAATTGCCGCAATTCCATCGCGTGAGGATCGGGCTATTTTCAGAGCCCCCGGAAGAGTGAAGGACTCTATGTTTGACACATTCTCCAGGTTGGTGGGTTCCTTCTGGTAAATCGAGGGACGGGGCCGATGGGTGACTCAAGAAGGTTTTGCTCCGTTATCTTTTATGGTGGTTTTCTTCTCACTTGTCTTCAACTGTCTTTTTTGGGAAATCACAAAACAAGGGATACCATGGGCTTTGTCTGAGCAGGAGGGTTCATGCTATCAACTAAAGGCCCCCAATCACCAACAGAGAGAGGAAGGGAGAGGGAGAGAGAACGGATAGCGGATAGGGCGACTGGTCATGGGCAAGGGATGGAGGAAATGGCAGCCAAATGTTGTATCAGGCCAAGGTCTGAGGCGAGGAAAGGCATGGGTGACCGAGCAAACAGAAAATCTTGCCCGTGCTTCGTGCTATCGTGCTTCAGATGCCTTCACAGACTTGAGTGCAACAGAGATGGATGGGATCAGGAAAATCAATCTCACGCTACTTGTCCCCAAAATGGAATGATATCCGCCTTTTTCAGTCCAAGTCACGGCGTTGATTTTCCCTTTTTTCATCCTCGCTAATCCTCCTCTGTTTCATTGCTATTAACCGATATACGTATAACAAATCCAGTCTTGGACACGGGGGGTTTTTACCATTTTCCCCAGGACATTCCCTCGCTACGTAGACGGTAGATATAACTTTCGTCTCGATAAGCGGGCGGAGCACATGTCGGTTTCCCAAGTCCCGTCCTATCCTCCAAACTATCAATCTATCTATTCCCTGGGTGTCCCCTGATAGTCGGACGGCCTTTGTCTCTCTTTCACTGTTTCATGGTCCTCGTTAGCTCAAACACACGACTGGGCTATTCTCTTCGATGGACGCCCCGTTCCGTTTTGCCGCAAGACCCCGATACCGATCCCTTCGAAATGGATCGCGGAAGTGCCTGCCTGTGAACTTGGTGGGAAGAAAGCTGTCAAGATGACGCTCCTTTCTGTCGGCTTCAGGTCGGAGCTTTTCCTCGTCGCTCTCTTCCTCTCCGAGACCCTTCTTCACAAGCGACTCCCTGGTCATCGGTCTGGTTTTTCATGCCCCTGCGCTCTGGACGACTGTGCCAGGTTTTTGACCATCTGGAAGGGCCAAGGATAGTGGCTTTTGGCGTGTGACATTTTCTCAGAACCTTGTGATTTTGGTGCAGAAGCAGTCCGAGCTGGAAGGAGACAAGGGACGGTGGGAAAAGTGTTGGATGAGAGGAAAGATCATGGTCGAGAACCGGGGATCAACAATAACTTGCGAAATGTGCGCTTTCAAGAGAAGTACTGTCGCACCCCCTGTACTGGACCAATATATATTTCGAGCAGTCTTCACTACCGCGTACATACCTCCCCCCATTACCCTGGGCGAATTCGTTCCCACACAACCCCCCAAAAACATCTCGGGCCGCCGAGTGACCCAGAAAAACACCAAAAAAGAGTCAACAGCCATGATTCGGAGCTGAAGTCCTTTTCCTTCGTTCAAAATAGCAAAAGGGCATCCATCTGACAGCCCTAACTCGGTAGGTTAGAGGTGCCTGAATGCTGAAAACCCGTATTGGCCCGGTTGCCATCCCGCTACAGTGGGTTTCCTTCGTTCGAGGAACTGGTACACATCACTCGTGAGCACGTTCGAGAATACGTGTGGTCTCACTCTCTGATAGCAACAGGCCCCCCGTGAGCCCGCGCAGATAGGAAATGTCTTCCGCTCAATGCAACGAACACCTGGCGACGGCTCTGCTTATCGCGGTTTTCTGGTGGTGTACAAAGAGAGTCTCCGGGCACAGAGGGCCCACCAACCCGACCGCTCAATGTTTCCTTCCCATAGCACTGACCCCACTCTCAGACACAGAGCAGGAGAAAATGGATATAACAGTGCATTTTGTGCATCGATGCTGCCCAAACACGTAGCTGCACAGCTAGCTCATCATAACAGGGGGAAAGAAACTTGAAGATTGAGCACAGCAATCAACAAGGATGATATAAGGTTAAGCTGCCAAGGCACTTTGCCCAATACGTCAGCGTTTGCTCCGTGGCCACCGCGCCGTCCAGCTACATTCAACATCATGAACCCCCATGCGTCCTAGGCTGAGGACGAATCCTTCTTATGGCAGAATGGTCCAGACAAGTGGAGAAACTAGGTGGGAAATGCAAGGAAGGGTAAACATATCCATTTGTATACACAATGCACGGTGGTTCGGAACTTGTACACCTGTTTTGCCGCCGCCATCTTCGAACGGCTTAAATGGGCCGTCAAGTTATATCCACTGGTGCGGTATCACAGGACTGGAGGTCTTGGGTACCTGAGGCAGGCCAAAGTCAAATGAACGCGGGCTTGGAATCGCCTTGTCATGCTCGAGACGCCGAAGGGCTTGGTCTCTTTCTTCCTTGACGGATTGCAGCTCGTTTGACTGCTCTTCTTGGTCAATCTTTTGCACTTTCCGCTTGAAGGTTATTTTGCGCTTTCTCCTACAACACCAAATGAGAAGGGTAACAATCAGAGCCAGGCCGGCCATAGAGCCAATGACGCTTCCAGCAATCGTCGCTGGAGGCGTAGGCGTAGGCTTTGTCGTTACGGATGCAGTCGGTTTTGGACATTTGCTGGATGTAGCGCTGGCGGTTGCATTGGCACTTGAGCTGGGAGTTGCGGAGGCCAGGCTGATGGTCAAGGTGGTGCCTGGTGCCACGGTTGTCAAGGTGGGATTGGCAATCGATATTGGGATAAAAGGAAAAGGAATAGAGGATGCCTGTGCACTGACTGACGCTGAGGAAGTACCAATGGCACTGGGCCCGAGACTGCTTGGGTCTGTGGATGTCTCACCCGCCTCACCTGTTGCCATATTTAAGTAGCTTGTCGGAGTGTTGACAGTACTGGTTGCAGCTCCCTGGAGAACCGTTTGGGTCACAGTCACAGTAACACCTGCTCCACATGAGTCTGAGTTGGAATCAGAAGGGATGTCTTCGCAAACGCCAGCACTGCAAGGATCGTGGGTGCAACAGCCTGAGTATGAAACTGAGGAACAGTGATAATAATTCTGGTTTTCGGGACACGTCAAGACATCTCTGTGCCAGAAAGGAAACATCATGGTATATGGCAGAGATGAGAACCTCAATGGAATGGAGAGACGCGCGCGGTGGTGGTCCTGGGGAAAGAAACAAGGGCCGATTTTGCTGTTCGGATAGGGTCTATGTTGAACTGGTAAAAGGGGAGTGCCCATTGATATCCCAAAGGCCAGGATCGAGACAGTCATGGCTTTCTTTGTTGTCGCGACCCAAGTAAAAAATACCACTCTATAACAATTGATCACAAAGAAACTCCAAATATAGCAGACAACTGAAATAACTCAACTTGCACACTTTTCAATGCACCAAACAATGAAAGCTTTATCCTGTCATTTTGAGAACCACGAAAGAAATGGTGCAGCGTCAAATCTGTCTCCAAGAACACCATGCCTCAATGTCGGAAGGCCTGCCTTGGAGACACCGGCCAGTGTTTCGCACGCATATGAGCATACGAAGCTTTTTCTCTTTTCGTTCTCGGCTTGAGAAGTTGGGTGTAACCCCCTTAGACTCGATCCTCAAGGCCGTATCCCTCGCATACCAGAAGGGTTCGAAAGGTAAAAGAGAGTTTGGTTTCAGAAACACATCTGTCTGCAAGGGGTAGACCACCGCTGCGAGATACCAGAACAGACACGTGGGTTGGATCAGAGATGCTCCGCGTGGGAGGGAAGCTGTTACCAACTCGTGGCTCCAGCGTTAGGACCCCTGCCCCACGGTTGTACGGTGTCGCCACCTAATGCGCACGCGAACAGCGAAGACGAGCATTTCGGGATGATATTCAAGCCGTCAAACCAGCTTTGGGGCCAAATCTGCTCCCTTCTCAGGGTGAATCAGCCAGCATCGATATGGATTCGCAGAGTGGAGCGCATTGTGACAGAGATCTGGCCCCAAAACCACACTAGCTGGAGAAGGCAAAAGGAAAAGTTCAAAGAAGGACCTGCCCAAAGGGAGTGAACCTGGAGCAAACTGTGTTCGCCGCTAAGTTTGCTGGGGGCTGAGATTTGAGCCATCTCTCTTGCCTACCTACCTACGAAAACCCCCTGAGTTCAAAGTTGGAAAGGTGTTGGGTGGGGGTGGGTGTGCAATCCGATTCTGCCTACGGTAGGCAGTTGGTGCGTCCGGGGTTCAGTGGAGTGCAAAATCGGAAACGGCAAAGCTTTAGCGAGAGTTAGATTGATCACTGGCCTTTGGTGCCCTGGCCGTAGTGGCAACTCGACGAGAGTCGCAATCGCCCAACGCCGATGGACACCCAGAGTCCCCGCCGATTAGCAACTGGTCCACATGGGAAATCAAGAACATGGCTCCCCCTTCAAAAGTTTCTCAGAGCAGTGCCTGACTAAATCATTCAAGGCGGTTGTCGCCTTCACCCTTGAACGGAAGACATGGGCTAGTATGATAACCTACCAAAAGGAGTTGAGCGAACCGGAAGGACTGCCTGCACCTCGGCGAGCGGGTCGAGGCCAACTCGCCATGTCAAAATGACACCCGATGTACGAGAAGGATTGATAGACGAGCTTGAATGGAGTAATGAGAGGCCAAGAGGCTGCCTGTTCTTCGAAACTTATGAGTGGCCTTCAGCTCCAGACCGCAATCTGAAGTCGATAAGGACATTTCTAAGCTATGCGCACAGAAAAGAAGATGCGTTTCGCCTGAAATCGATGACTTGGGGCTGCAGACTGGCAATCCGATATCGAGGTGCAAGTTTTGTTCGGATGAGTTAGCTACCCGGCATTTTAATGGGCAACCCGGTAGGCATGAGCCGACGCTATTTGGTTAAAGAACAGTGTGACAAGTGCGACCTTTGCATATCAGCTATGCCGGAAAGGGCATTTCGAGGTGCCAGCCACCTGCAGTTTTGACATGTTACACAAAGGAAATTCTGGGCAAGCTGAAGACGTGGGGGGCAAGATGGATGATCGAGGGGCATTGATGGAAGTTGGTCGAGAAAACGTTGAGCAACGGCCTGAATAATATTGAACGGATACAAGATTCCAGGTTGTTTCTAGACAGCCCAGGTGGCCCAGGGACTTCGAAATAAGCTGTAATCGATGCGTAGGGCAAAGGTGGCAACCAACAAAAGACCGGTCCGATGATAGGGCATCGCTGTTTTGGTCGGAAGGAAGAGAAAGGTTTGGCCCACTCGCCTATCTCGGTCCCACTTTACCAAAACCCACCATGGGCTGGAAATGGCCACGCACGTATGTCGGTATCCAATTCGGGCTACCGGCGTTTGCATCTGCCAGGCGACCGTGTGACGGAGAAAATCAACAGCCCATAATTCAGTCTGCCTGTTCCTGCCAGTATTTGAGTTCAACCTGGAAATGGAACATTGCAACCATTCGCTCAGCCAGCCCAGGGGAATCGGATACGAGAAGTCACTGCTAGCGCATTGGCTGCCCACAGAATGCAAGTGCAACAAGTGGCTTGGGGTCTGTGGGGAAATCGACACGGTGCCTGTCGACATGTGGATTCACTGGATTGGAATCCGACACCTCGACCAGGGTTGTAGGGTGTCCACTGTCAATGAGCTCGGCCACTGAATACCTGCAGGTGGTAACCACGGGCGGCAGGGGAAGAGCTGGCCCAAGCTTTCTCGCCCTCTCAGCCCAGAGAGGACAACACCCACCTCTTGCCCCGTTGACAGGCACTGACAGGTCACAATTGGCACTTCTCCCAGGGACGATGTAGGAGTCCGAGGAGCTCTGGAGCCACCAGTTGAGTGACACATGGTGGCGATCGGCGTTGGCACACGCAGTTGAGGCTTTGGGGAATGGCCACGGACCTCCGACCCCTGCTTGCGTTCAGAGGGGGTTTTGACAAGCCTTGACTACTAGCATGCGATTGAGAGCGACATTGAGAGAGAAGTGAAAAGTACGAGGTAGTGAAAGAGAGCAAGACAGAAGGTTATGACGCAGTGGAGTCGGTCAAGACGCCACTTGACGTGAAGACAATATGACATGATTGGCTGTCGTGCTTTTGGTGGCGTCGACTAGCTGCACTAGCTTAGCGAGCGGAGCCTCGATGCCGATTGCAATCGAGCCGATCATTGCCTGATTGTCTCTAAGCTGGCGGTGGAGTCACTGGAGAGGCTCACACATGGAGTCATGGACTTTGATTCCCCTCGCCTTCGCCGATCCGAACTTTGCCAGCCCATTCCCGTACGCCGCATTGGGATCTTTTCCATCCATTAGAGAGCCAGAGAGCCAGAGAACCAGAGACTCAGAACAAACACACGACAGGGCAAAAGCCCCTTGCACCTTTGCTTTCCTTCCCCTTGCTCAACGGGCACCCGCACCAACCTTCTCATGCAGCCCACTTCGGAAGAAAAAAAAGGCTCCCTTGCTGCTGCTGCTACCGCCGCTATTTCCAAAACATCCCTGACCATGACCACGGTCACCACGCTCTGGGTCGACTTTCCTGGGACACGAAGCTGTACAGCATGTCTTTGTCCGCCATGGCACCCTGTCTCCCGGATGCTCATTCGCCAGTACCTTGTTGGTACCTGGTCAGCCACTCTGGGCTTTCCAAATGCAGCTTCTGTTGGCAGGTATGACACGTAGAACATAAACCTGCCTCGTGCCCGCGGGTCTCAGTCCACTCTGTCTGTTGTGGCAGGAACGACCAGAGACTTTCTTCTGTCTTTGCAGAGCACGACGTCGACTTCGCTTGAGGCCATTTCCTTCAGACTGCGCACTGTCCAGTTGATCCAAAGCAACTGCTCTGCCTCTGGCTCTCCCTCTGTCCACTTTCCCTCATTGTCAATTTCAATAACCCCCACAAAAGCCCGTTGACTCCCTCTTGAAAGCCCTCGGACGCCTCTGCCAGAAGTTTGCAAAGCATACCTGGGGCAACCGTTACCTCCTATTCTCCCACGTGTGATTGACCCTCAGTCACGGTATATCCTGTGCCACCTCCTCAGATATCACCTGGGTCTCCATCCTTGAAGACTTGTGCATCGTCGCGTGTCAGAACACACCACTGATCTCAACCAAGATGGTTCTCTCACTCTCATACCGCCGTCCGGCTTATGTGACGTCCTCCCGCGATTCCCTGGAGTCTGAGTCGGATGGCCGAGTCGAGTCCATCAATTCCGGCTCCAGCTGCCCCTATGGTATTCCAGACGCCCTCTCCTTCGATCGAATCATCAGCGGCGGTACATGTCCTGTAAGTCGCGACCTCGGATCCAACAGAGGGTGGTAGCATAGTTCTTTAGCTGATTCGTCCTTGCTGCAGCCTGTGACCACGCGTGAATTCATGGACTTCCTGCGTTACATTGAGTATGACGCCGAGAACCTCCAGTTCTATCTGTGGTATCATGACTATTGCAAGCGCTTCGACGAGCTACCCGACAGCGAGAAGAAGCTTGCTCCCGAATGGACTGCAGATCAGGCATTGGCGGAGAAGGCTCATGCTGAAAAGGACAAGCTCCCGAGAAAAGTGGCAACTGCTGCTGCTGCAGTGTTGAAAGGCACCGATTTTGATCCCCATGCCAAACCATCTGCGCTAGAAGCTCCTCCAAATCCGTTCAATACCCCTCCTAGGACGCCCTCAGCCTCCGCTACAGACGCGGGCAGCCTCGTTCCGTCGACTGTCGGCTACAGTGAGGATGCCACGACCCTTAGAACTGGATCGACCGAGCACGGAAAGCGAGCTGAGGCGGCATTCGAAGAGGCGGGAACCCTTCAGCCATGTACGTTGTCTGTATTCCTCGTTTGCTTCTTTGTGCTGATCGCAACCCAGTCACCATCCAACCTTTCCGTGAGGAAATCTCACGTATCATCGCCATCTACATAGCTGATGGTGGGTCGAGATTGCTCAACCTGTCGGCCAAGGAGAAAGCCGGCTTGCTGAAGGCGCTATCCGCCACCACTCACCCTTCAGCGTTTCGCGATGTTATTGCCACGGTCGAGTGGACTCTTCGTCATCAAGCCCATCCCAACTTCATCCGCTGGACGATTTGCAATGGCAACAAGCCGAGACAAGCCTTTGCACGGTTCCTGGGCGTAGCTGGAATCGTTGGGGGCATCGTCTACGGGATTGTCATCACACTCAGTTCAGCCAATCGAGGCTGGAGGGCTTTGGCCTTCCTCGGTCTCTTTATCGGCATTGCAACCCTCTTTGCCGCCTGGAAGGGCATGTGCGTGGTAAGTCATGCTGAACACCTCTCACTTTCGAGGCACGAATCTAACGTAACAGGTTCTGCATGGCATGCATCATCGACATCTTCGACCATGGGAACTTTTCGGCGACGAAGACGAAGCTTCCTCTGAAAAGAAAACTTCATTCGACAGCTTGGGCTCATCCAACAGCTATGAAGACGAGCCTTGGGTGGCCAAATATGAAAAGCGCAACCTCATACGCAAGATCTTCGATCGCGAAGTCTGGATCCAGGAGCCTGCGCTGCGGCAGATCCAAGATACCATCTTCGTCCAGGCTCTCATCACTGCGTTTGTGATCGGAGCGATTACGACTGCTATATTCCTTGCGGTAGGAGAAGACCTTTCCAGTGATGGTGTGCTTCTTTCTAACTTGGGTCATTAGGTTCCTCGCGGTAACTTTTACTGATGATTCTGGTAGTCGAGGTCAGTTGGTGTTATGGGTTGGGGGGAGTTACCGTGCGAGAAAGAATGTTGCGGGCAGCTATCAACGTGTCTAGTTACATCGGTAAAAGGAGTGGGGTGGCTGTGTATATGGAAAAGGTGGAAGGCCTTTGTTTGTATGCGATAAATACATGTCGGCCAGATAACAGGAGTTTTGCACGGTAAGAAGACACGAATCCTGCTTGAGTATCTGGACTGGCAAGATGACTCGTGGATAAGGCGGTCGGAGTCTGGCCTGTATCTCGTCAAGCTGAAGATGTACTCTGTATAATGTGAGACATTCCTTGAATTCAAAGTTGCGAAAGTCTTGATACTGCACTGCTGGCACCCGCTGGATGATTCAAATCGTAAGGGTTGCTAACGCCTAGTAATCGACTGCCTTCGGTCGAGAAGCTAGTGCTACTAGTACTAGTAATACGGTGAGTTCATACCTCGTACATTTCTTGGCAACCTTCCAGGCTGCCAGTCACATGGATCGCGTCACACCCGCGCGCAGTCGCGTCTGTAAAGAGACTGGTGCAGGGAGCCTTCGCAACGTTCTGCGGTCTCCTCATGCACGCCCAACATCCTGAGTCGAAGTCGAAACAACACCCCCGATGGCTCCACGACGTTCAAGGCCTCCTGAGTCTGACGACGAAGAACTACGGCCGAACACCCCTTCCTCCGCCGCCCCTCATGATCGCAAACGCATCCGAAGACGTGTGAACACCGTCGAGGATGAGAACGAGTCGCCTGCAGAGCAAGTCTCTGCCCCCCGCAATTCGCGCAAACCGCAGGTGATGCGGGTGAGTGATTGCAGCAGCGACGACGATGACGACCCCAAGACAGGCCACCAGCCTGGTGCCATTGTCCGTGTCAAACTTACAAATTTTGTCACCTACACGTCTGCTGAGTTCTTTCCCGGGCCAAATCTGAACATGGTCATCGGGCCGAATGGCACTGGAAAAAGTACGCTCGTCTGCGCCATTTGCCTTGGGCTCGGGTGGCCACCTAGCGTGAGTTGAGCACCGAGTACTGTGTCTGACCGGTTCACTCATGCATTCTAGTTTCTCGGACGTGCAAAAGAACCTGCAGAATTCGTCAAGCATGGATCCAGCGAGGCCACGATCGAGATTGAGCTGCAGCGACCGCTCAAGCTTAACAGAAATATTGTCATCAAACGAGTGATAGAAAGAGAAGGCAACAAATCTAAATTCTTCTTGAATGGGGGTGCATCTTCAGGTCCCGCTATCAAGTTGTTGGCGGGCTCACTCAACATCCAGATCGACAATCTGTGCCAATTTCTCCCCCAGGACAAAGTCGTAGAGTTTGCCCAAATGAGTCCCATTGAACTTCTCACCAGCACGCAACGAGCCGTGGCCGGATCAGAAATGATCAAATGGCACGAGGATTTGAAGAAGCTTCGCAACCACCAGACCGACGTCATGACGGATGATCGGGATGCGCGAGAGCAACTCACAAATCTGGAGAACAGACAAGCAATGCAACACGCAGAGGTGGAGCGGATGAGGGAGAGGGCCACGGTCAAAAAGAGACTTGTGGGCTTGGAGAAGTTTCGGCCGCTGGTTCATTACCACAAAGCCAAGGAAAATTTTCTGGTCGCGAAACAGAGGATGGCGGACTTGTCAGAAGAGATCAAACGCCTCAGGACCGCAGCAGCTCCCGTCCTCCGAAGTCTTGACGCCAAAAAAGATTACGAAGTCAAGGCGCGGGCATTCAAAGCAGCCTGCGAGAAGGAGCTAGCCGCAAGCGTCAAAGATTGCGAACGCAAATCGAGAGTGGTCGAGGAGAGACAAGGCGCCATAAACGACCTGAACAACGAGATCCAGGCAGAGAAGAAGGGCGTCCCCGAAAACAGGGCAAAACTACAGCGGGAACAGATGAAGCTACAAGAGCTCAAGCGAAAGAAAGCAGAGGTTCCTGAAGCCTTCGACTCTCGGGCTATGAATGGCGAAATTCAGGAGCTCCGGACCCGTCTGCGAGCATTGGACGATCAAAAAAGTGAGCTGGAGTCACGTAGGACAGAATTGGCAGACCGTGGCGACAGATCAGTCAGACAGTTCCAGGTACTCAAAGGACAACTCGCAGGACTCGAGACGCAAGTCGGTCAACAAGAAGGTAAACTGGAGAACCTATCTCGCGACACCTTGAAAGCTTGGAAGTGGATTCAAGATCACCGCAATGAATTTACCGCCCATGTGTACGGACCGCCGATTGTGGAATGCTCGCTCAAAGACCCACGCATGGCCGATGTGGTCGAGTCTTTCCTGCAAACCAGCGACTTCAAGTTCATCACGGTCCAGAACAAAGCTGATTTCGCCCTCCTCCAACGCCAGTTATTCCAGGGCCTCAAGCTCCACGACGTCAGCCTCCGTGAGTGCTCCACCGACAGCCTGGAGCAATTCCGTCCACCTTTGACGGACGAACAAATGGAGCGATTCGGGTTGAGCAGCTGGGCATTAGATCATTTGCAGGGCCCGCCGACCGTCCTGGCTCAACTCTGCCATGAACGAGCCCTTCACAGGTGTGCGATCAGCTCCAGAGAGCTTAGTCAACAACAGCATGATGAGGTGGCGAAAACACACATACAAAGTTACGCTGCAGGGAGAAAGACCTACCACTTCATACGACGTGCGGAGTACGGTGCAGCGGGTACGTCTGCCAGAGTCCAGGATATGCGTCAAGCCAGGATGTGGACAGAACAGCCGGTGGATATGGGAAGAAAAGCTGCTTTGCAACGACAGATGAGTGAAGTGAAAGACGAGCACGCAATGTTCAAGTCTGAATCCAAGAACATTGACAAGGAGCTGGGGCAAGTCGAGGAGAATCGAATGCTCGTTCAGAAAGAGATTGAGGCCAAGCAGGAAGAAAAGGCTGCCAAACAACAGGCCCTCTCCGAATGGAATGCTCTAGACCCCAAGATCCAAAGTCACGAAGATAAAATCCGGACTTTGAGTCAAGCGCTGGGCGGAGTCAGGACTCGGTTGAATGAGCTCAATGACCGGTATGATGCCGCTCTCCTGGACAAAACTGAGGCCGTCCTCGACTTGATACCTGCCACGAGGGATGTCAAGTCGAAGACTGCTCGCATGCTCGAAGCAGAGATCTTCTACCTGGAGGCCAAATCGGATTTCGAGGTGCTCAAAGCGCACAATGATCACATACTCCGGAGCATAGGTGAGAGAGAGGCCGAGCGGAATACCGCGAACGAAATCTTCACCGAGGAGCGTGATCGAGCCAAGAATCTTCGCACGGTCGCTCTACAACTGAGGGCAGAAAGTGAAAAAATTGCAGAGGAAGGCGATAGCAGCCTGGTCGACCTCATGGATCATATCGTCCAAACGGTCAAAACGGAAGAGAATCTGGAGGCCGAGATCGACGCCGAGAAGGCTAAGCTGGAGTTGACTGAGGGAGGCAATGCTGGCATCATCGCAGAATTCGAGGAACGAGCCAAGACAATTGAAAGGTTGAGGAACAAAGTCCGAGCGGCCACCCAGCGTCGGGAGGAGTTCAGACACGCGATTGGAGAGATTCGGGGCAAATGGGAACCCCGACTGGAGGACATTGTGGCCAAGATCAACGACGCCTTCTCCGACTCGTTTGCGCGAATTGGGTGTGCTGGGCAGGTTGCCGTCCACAAGGCATCATCTGATAATCCCGCGGACTGCACCGAGGAGGACGGTGGGACGGAGAATGGCCTCGACTTCGCCAACTGGGCCATCCACATCAGCGTCAAGTTCCGCGAGCAAGAGCCCCTGAGTCTTCTCGACAGTCACCGACAGTCCGGCGGTGAGAGAGCCGTCAGCACCATCTTCTACCTGATGGCTCTTCAGAGTCTAAGTCGGGCGCCATTCCGGGTGGTCGACGAGATCAATCAGGGCATGGACCCACGAAATGAACGCATGGTGCACGGCAGGATGGTCGACATTGCCGCGGACGACGGTGGTAGTCAATACTTCCTCATCACCCCCAAATTGCTGAGCGGTTTGAAGTACAGACGTGGGATGACAGTGCTGTGCATCGTCAGTGGCGAAAACATGCCTGCTGCCCGAGAACGTGACGAGGCAGGCAATTGGCATGACGGACCGAAAGTTGATTTCCGTTTGTTTGTGAAAAGGGCCAAGCAGATGGATATGGGCCGCTTTGCCGAGGGAAGGATGATCGACTCCGGTGTCGGTATAAATGGGAGCTTTGACAGCACGGGCCAGTCAACAGTCGTTGGGGCGTGAAAGAGCAAGTCCATCGTCCAGCTGGACTCTAGGATGCAACTTGACCGACAGCATGATGGATACCTATCGAGTATGTAGGCAGAATCGGCTGGCAGTTGAACCGCTGCTTTGCCGAGGTCTGAGAAGTTATTTGCACATTCGTTCTCCGCATCCAACAACCTCACATTGTGCCAGCGGTGCCCATTGACCCGGCAATCATGGCCGAGATAGCCGGTCGCACATCTCTTTTTGCTCTCTTGGATCTTCTCTGATTTACGCTCCTATGTTCTTGTTCCATGGTGTATGGGAGTTGGCATTGCGAGTCGCTGGTGTGTATGAACCATGGTGCTGTTTAAGTCTCCTCATCCGCGGGTAGAGAGTAAGTTAAAGTCACCTGCCACCCTGCCCCTACATCTACACTTCTCTTCACTCGAAACAGCACCCACCTGCCTTTCCCTATGTAGCCCGGCTACCGGGGTTGCGATCATATGCTGAATTGCAGTGACATTGGCACAGTCCCGGAAGACATCACAACGTGGGAATGGGTGTTTGAGACCAAGGAGTTCTCCCCGCTGTACAAGACGCCCCGAGAGCCGCTGGCAGGGTATGTCAATGCAGTTACCAAGGAACGCCTGGATTGGGCGGCTGTCAAGACCGCGGCCACGCAACTGAGCACCGCGCTGGTTAAGGACTATGCATTCCAGCCCGGCGAGACCATTTCGCTGTTCAGCACCAATACCATCTGGTACCCGGTGGCCATGTGGGCTGTCATCCGAGCAGGTACGTTGTTGGTCATGCATTCCTCGGACTGGGATATTTGACCCATCTTCCCGTTTTGAGATCCAGAATGGATCGTGGGGGAGACGGCCCAAGGGTCCGGATGGGCTGACTTTTTTATTTTTGACGACGATGTAGGTGGAAGGGTTAACGGCGCGTCTCCTGCCTACACGGCCGAGGAAATGACCTACGCCCTGAAGATCGCAAAGTCTCGGTTCCTTATAACGCTGCCGACGTCGTTGGATGTGGCCTTGGCTGCGGCTCGCAATGCTGGCATCCCGCGCCACCATGTTTTCCTGCTGGAAGGTCAGGCGGACGGCTGCGTCAGCATCCAGGATCTCATGAAGCGCGGCGAGAGATATACCCCCGATCCGCCATACCGAGTCCCACACGGCAAGACGAACAAGGACGTCTGTGGGTATTTGAATTTCAGCAGTGGGACGACGGGGTTGCCAAAGGCTGTCAGTAGCAACACCATCTGGTCGGGTGTAGATCTGCTCGGGATCAATGGCTGACCAGAGAGGCGGCGAACAGGTTATGCTCTCGCACCACAATATTATCGCACAGTGCCACCAGCTCAGACAGATCCAGGCGCCCGGGCGGTACAAGATCCTGGCCGTGATGCCGCTGTTCCACAGTACGTGTTGACCCTCCATTACAGGGAAGTTAAATGTGTTAAGAACTAACCGGCGGCTCTGGATGAGTTCAGTTACCGGCCTGGTGAGATTCTGCACGTACCCAATTTTCATGAACGGAGACAGCGTCATGCTCCCGGCCTTTACCATGGAGTCCATGCTCCGCGCCATCTGCGAGTTCAAGATCCAAGAACTCATCCTTGTCCCGCCCATCATCATCCGCCTCGTGCGCGACAAGATCGTCGACAACTACGATCTCCGCCACGTCGACAGATGGTCGTCCGGCTCGGCACCCATCTCGCCGGAGATCATAGCCTTGCTGCAGAAAAAGTTCCCCTGGACGGGATTCCGACAGGGTTACGGGGCTACAGAGTCGACAGCGTGCATTTCGGCACACCCACCTTCGCATTACGACTACAAGTATGCGACCACGGGGGGGATGTTGGTCGCCAATACTGAAGCGAAAGTGATTGATCTGACGACAGGCAAGGAACTGGGGCCGGGTGAGACGGGGGAGATTCTCGCGAGAGGACCCCAGATCGCCATGGGTTACCTGGACAACCCGGCGGCTTCGGCCGAGACGTTCGACCAGGAGGGCTACTTCCACACCGGCGACGTGGGCCATTTTGACGCCGAGGGACTGGTCCACATCGAAGACCGCATCAAGGAGATGATCAAGGTCAAGGGCCTCCAGGTGCCGCCGGCCGAGTTGGAGGACCTGCTCCTCGGACACCCCGAGGTCGAGGACTGCGCCGTGCTGGGCATCCCCGACGAGTATTCGGGCGAGAGACCCAAAGCCTACGTCGTGCTGAAGAACGGCGTGCGCGAGAGCGACGACGTCGGCAGGCGGCTGCTGCAGTTCGTCAAGGAGCGCAAGGTGCGCTACAAGTGGATCGTCGAGATCGAGTTCACGACCCAGGTGCCCAAGAGTCCCACGGGCAAGTTGCTGCGTCGCATCCTGAAGGTCAAGGACAAGGAAGGCAAGGACCGAGGCCTGAGGGTAAGGGACGAGCCGGAGAGGGCGAGGCTGTGATGGAGCAAGCCATGTAGGCAGCGTCCTGTTCCGCGTGGCACATCTGCCTCCTCACCATCAGTGCTGTTCTCTTCCATAGGCAAAGGTGTTGGGACGGGAGATACTTTTGTGTTCCGGATATGGGCGAGGTAGAGAGATAGAATAGATGTTCGTAGAATATACCAGTCTCCAAAAACAATGGCTTTGGCCTCGTCTAGTTCGATGACGTGTCCGAGTTGTCTGAGGCTGTGTTTCGTGCCGCATTCTCGCGAACTGAGAGACGGTCTCGAAAGGCTGGACACCTCCTGAATGGCGGGGATGTATATATATGTATATACCTACCTGGGTAGTAGGATGCTTTCGATAGCGCTATATTTAGCTGTCCGGAAACGGCACTTCCCTTCGCTCCTTATTCTGTGCCATGACGTCGCTGCTGCAGGGGCGGCACAGAGAAATTCTCTTCTTGTTTGTGCGACTTTTGTATACCGGATAAGTGAAGACGTTCTCGAATGGCCGCATCGGCCGTGAAACCATGGAGGTCGCACCGAATTACCCAGCGGATGAAATGCCGCATGTGCCTGTCTCTTCCAGAGAGCTACGCGTATCTCACCCTCAGCTGATTTCGCTTGTCAATAAACGAACCAAACTTGTACCATTTCGGGCACAGCTTGCAGGGCCGTTTACCGCGACTCCGGATCTCTGGCTCGCCTCACTTCTCGGCTCCTAGCTGCTTCGGACAGACTGGAATCGACATCTCTCTCTCCAGCAAAATGGTGTTGCGCCCCAATGGCGTCTTCCACTCGCAAATCTGTCATTAAGAGGGAACTGGTGCCTATTGAACCCAAGCCCACCGTCCCGCCGCCGGATAAGCCCCGAGATGGACCAAACAAGGAGGAGAAAGAACCTCAACCCAAAAACTTCAAGGACCTGACGCGCGAGGAGAAGCTGCTGGCCATCGTGCGCCACAGCGTCCGACCGTTTTCAGACCGCCTGGACCCCTTCGCTGCCTTGCCGGTGAATCTGGACCGCTTCCAGGAGCACCTCATCAGCTTCTACCTGCTCTATTACCCCAAAGCCACGTACGGGTTCAGTCCACGGCTTCGCCCTCACCCGGTTGCCAGCAACTTCTCCATCGCCCTGACTACCCCGGCCTGTTTTCAGGTCATCATGGCGCGATCAGCTCTGTACCGGATAGGGCTGAACAAATACGCCACCGACACGGAGAAGAGGTCGCTCGAGCTGGCCGTGATGCGGCACAAGGGCGAGGCCCTGAAGATGGTCCGTCAGTTAAGCACAAGGTCCAACCCGAATCGCAAGGATGACCTCCTTGCGTCCATCATCAGCCTGGGGACATTTGATCGGCGATCCGGGTCCCAGGAAGCGGCGGGGATGCATTACCAGGCGGTTAGAAAGATCCTGAAGACCACCGGTGGTCCTCTGGCGGTCAACTCGGTGCTCTTGTCGCGGGTCATGTGTTTCTTCGAATGCATCTACGGGACAAGCCCGGAAAGCTACATCTGGGACAATTCGGATCTCAAGCGGCTGGTGCGCAGCCTGAACGCGTTCCTGGAGAAGCTGTGGGAGTTCTGGCAGTCGCTGTCGACCATCAGTGCCCTGACCGCGCCGACCCCTCGAGAAGATGACGCAGAGGCTGGTGAAAGACGGATACACTCTTTCGACCTCCAGGAGGGGTCGACGCTGCTTGGGCTCGTATCCAGGCAGCCTCCGCCAGACGCTGAACTCACTCAACCCCGCCGCCTCGAGCTCATATTCCAACTCACTTGCCTCCTGACGCTCGCCATGATCACCATGGACCTAGCCAGCGACTTCCGGTCGTTGCAGACATACATGGACACCTTGCATCAGAGCATCGAGGACCTTCGGCTCGCGGGGCAAAGCTGCAATAACGCCATGTGGCAGATTCAAGTCAACGACCACAGCGAAGCCCACAGCCGGCGGATATGGCGGGCAGCGAGTTTCGCGTGGGTGATGAAGCATTGTTCGTACAAGGTGCAGTTGTCGCTGAAGGAATGGCTGTTGGCATTTTTCACCGGCAAGCCTGTTGAGCAACCGTACCAGCTGGCCTCATTCCATTTCAGCTACGCGACTTGAGTGCAGTCTACGAGGTACCTGTGGGGAGCGGCACTAAACCAGAATGTCCTTGACCCGATCCTTGACCGGATCCAGAGACCGAAACACGCGGGAGACGTGTCTGAGACGAGACTGGTGTTTCCGCAAGTGTCGGGGGATATCTTTTAGCTATCGATAGCCCAAGATACGCCATTCGCGTGAAATCGATAATGGCGCACGCTTTTGGTCCACCATGGTCCGTCACAGACTCACCACCTACAGGAATGTTGGCAAAAGAGACAGATGGGGGGTGACGGGCAGCTGGCAGCTGGTGGCAATCTTCCAATTAAAGACGCGCCTTGAATGGAATTGGGCTAGCTCTAATTCTCAAAATCTGCTGGTGCCTAGGTAGCTAGGTGCCTAGGTAGGCATGCCGGTTCTGTGGCTGGGGGCAGTGGCGGCACCCGTAGCACCCACCTGGGCACTAAAAGGGCCCCGATGCGAGCGACACAGTCCCCATTTGGGGGAAGGACGCGGTAACACGGTCAACCACGTCCGCTGCGCGTTACCGTTCTGATTAGCCCGCATCATGCGGGCGTTGGGAGGGCTGAAGCTTGGTACCTTTGACTCGCCCACTAGCCTCCACTACGCACACCATTTAGGTACCGAATACCTTGGGCGCGTACCTGGCGATCTTCAAGTACCTCGTAGATATGTAGCATCCTGCTCTTGGGTAGCACTCAGCTGCACCTCGTACCTGTGGTGCCGGTGCCCGGTGCTTTGTAAAAGAATGTCATGCTGACACCTGGCGACAGCTGAAAAGAAAAAGACACAGAAGGCTGTGCGTAGCCATGTGCCACCCTCCCCTCGGCGCTCGCATCACTAGCACTTAATTCTTCCCTAGCGAGGAATTTCGTAGGGGTTGAGCATTGCCCATTCCTGTCCCCCTTGCAATTTCCAAATGACGCCTTGACGCCCCGATGCTTCCCGCCAACCAGTGCAACCACTGACTGCAGATGAAGAGTAGCTCCACCATCCCTTCGCCCTCGCCTCGACCCTCTCAGCTCTCTGGGCATTGCTGACTCTCACCCCATTATTACTACCATTCCAGTTCCACAACCACACCACCACTCTTTCTCGAAACATGTCTTGTTGACCATCATCTAATACCAACCACACCCCTCAAGGCACAGACCTCTCTGTGCCTCCGAGGGCTGCCTCTCACTTACACGCATGATCACCATAATGAAATCCATCATCCCTTGCGTTACCTGCTTTTGAGCTCCCATCCACCCATGGTCACTCCTTAAAGATTCACCACCCTTGCGGTTGTCACTCGTTCACTCGACCAACAAAGTCACTCGTTACCTGCTACCTCTAATTCTCTGTTGTGTTATTTCTTCGACATACTATCAGCTTCGGATACCCACTCTATCTCTCTGCAAAGGCCAAAATGACGACCAAAGGTACGTCAATTCGCTGGCAGGCTGCGACTACGCACATGTATACTGACAACCCACTACAGATGGTGTCTCGACCATCCATGGCATCCCTACGAAATACGTCTCCCTCCTCACCCTCGTGGTCCAAAACTCCTCCCTCGTCCTTGTTATGCGATATTCTCGAATCCTGCCTGGTCCGAGGTACCTGAGCTCAACGGCGGTCGTGCTATCCGAAGTCCTTAAATGCCTAATATGCTTCTGCGTCCATCTCAGCGAGCAGCGGCACCATTACCGATCCTCCCGTCTTCCAACCCTCTCAGATGACGCACCTTCGCACTTAAATCCAGCCAGCTATGGTCTGAAGCAGCTATGGGCCGATGTCTTCAGTGTCAAAAGTGGTTTCTTCAAGCTCCTGGTCCCTGCCGTTCTATACACCCTCCAGAACAATCTTCAGTTTGTCGCTGCCACCAATCTGGATGCCGCCACGTTCCAGGTCACCTATCAATGCAAGATCCTGACGACAGCTAGCTTTGCCGTGTTGATGCTCGGCCAGAGCCTGTCGGCTAAAAAATGGTTATCCCTAGTCATCCTCACGGCCGGAGTTGCTTGTGTTCAGATCCCTTCCTCGACGGCCTCGGCGAATCCCCAGCAAGGCAATTATCCGGTTGGCATCATTGCTGTCGCGATTGCCTGCATTTGCTCGGGTTTCGCTGGTGTCTATTTCGAAAAGGTCCTGAAGAACGGTCAAAACTCGTCCATCTGGGTCCGCAATATCCAGCTGAGCATCGGCTGTCTGGCCATTGCGCTCACCGGGGCTTTGGTGTGGGACGGCCAGGCGATCCGGGAGAATGGCTTTTTCCAGGGTTATAATTCCATCGTCTTTGCAACAGTCTGCATTCAGGCGGCTGGCGGCCTTATTGTGGCAATGGTCATCAAGTATGCCGACAATATCCTCAAGGGCTTCGCCACCTCCCTCTCGATCATCTTGTCAACTATTGCCTCGATCTTCATCTTCAACTTTGTTCCCACGATATATTTTCTCTTCGGCTCAATCTTGGTGTTCTTGGCTACGTATTTGTATAGCGTGCCCGAGGCCCCAAAAGCTATTGAGGCCGCTGCGGCCGACCCTTCTGAGAAGAACCCGATCCTCGTGGTGGAAGACTATGACCTGGAGGGCGGAGTTAGCTCAAGGGCCATTCAGAAGCCCTTTCGGGATGATAGCGACCCTGAGTCGGGCGACGAAGCAAGTCGCGACAGTATCAGCATCTACGATCCGGATGATGGCAACTATTCTCGGAATTTCTCCCCCTCATTGATCCAGAATTCGACCATGGAAAAGCAAGTGCTCCCCGAGCTGGGTCATGTGGCATGATAGCCTCGAATGGTTGGACGAGCTTTCAGCGGAAGGGCGCTTGCATATTTCAAGTTTGTTTTCACCGCGATCTATGTGGTTTGAGTACGAAGAGCTTGCAGTTGTCTTGTGGCTTTACAAGGCGAGAACCTGCGCCAGCAAAGAGACGCTGGCAAACACACACAAAAACAGTTGGAAATGTGAAACGACTTTGTATACCACTCCCCACTTGGAGTGGGAGGAAGGGCGTTATTAGAAACGATGGATAAACCAAGATAAACTAGAAATGAAGACGATTTCGAAAGCGGGCAAAGCAGTCATTGAACCTACGATATTCATCTGGATATTTTCTGAATTATCTTTTCTGAGCTCACGTCTCTGCTGCAGGAAGAAAGTCTGGTCGTTTCAGATGTGCGACGTTCGCGTGCTTCGCGGTGTTTCTAAACCATACATAGTTCGGAGTGCGGAGGACGAGGATCCATGTCCATCGCCCTAATGAAGATCTTCTACATAAAGCACAGTACCCAAGAGCGCAGCATGGAGTAGCGGTAATAATAGTGGTAGTCATGAAGCGAGCTCGTACGGAGGAGTCAACGTGTACCTAAGACCCCGTACCTACCTAGGTAGGTAATCAAGTTTACATGAGAATAGGTAGGAAACTTAAGCCGTCTCTAGAGATCCCTACCTTCTGTGCCGTGAGGTCGAGTCGAGTCGAGGGAGGCTTTCTCATCTGTCCCCACGTCCGCACGCACTCGGAGGGATGGGAAGGTTGGACCAAGAGCTGAGGTTCTGATCTACATATTATTATATTGTGCCGCCGTGGCTGCAACACTAGTCAAGGTAACAAGTTGCGTCGGTATGAGCATTGTATCCCGGAGGTCTTTTTCGTCTTCTGGTCTAGCGAGACATTGGGCACTACGATTCCCCTTTGTGGGAATAATTTACGCCGGAAAATACATTGTAAATTACGAGGCTGTGATAGTCCACCCATTTTTGTATATACTACGGTGAAAGGGAGACTTGCATAAGTTGATACCCTCCTCAACTTAAGCAATTCCCATAATTATTTCTGAAGTCCACCCCAAGTCAAAACTCCAACGCGTAATGGCAGTTACGTCTCAGTCGTGGACTGAAAATATCATCATAGCGAGCTCGACGTCGCAACTTCTGCGGCCAGAGTTTCCGTTCGACGCAAGGCTCAGAAATCCCGGCGTTACACAGGGCGAATGGGGCTTATTCACGACAGAATTGGTTCATTGTATGCGTCTCGCTCGTGCAAGTCGGCACTCCGCCCTCGGTTCCGGGATATTGGTTGGGGCGACCTTATCCGCCATCGGGGGTCCCTTGGGGCCTCTGATGGGGGTGTGTACTTGGCGATTTGCCAGGCGAGCACTCGAGCAAGAGAATGTCCTTCAAAACACACTTCTCGCGAGGGTGCTTGACAGTACACTGGAGCACTGGAACTCGGAGCTCTTCCTGTCCCACGGCCTCATTGTGAGGCTGGAGTTTCCCGACGGCCGCAGGGCAACACAAGAGAGGGATGATGATGAATACCCGGAGTATTTCGCGCGGCAAAAGAGCTCGTCTCGCTCTGAGAGCAGAAAAGTCACCAAGGAGTACGGACGGAATTTGTACTGGGTCAGCGGTCTAGACAAACCGCGGCTGGTGCTGACGCACCTCGATGCTGGCTGCGACCACCAAGAGCCACCTCCAGTGCTTTAAGCTCCCCCAATCAAGACCATATCGTGGTATCCTGCTCTTGTCATTTCTATCTGCAGCAAACAAAAGGCAAGCAAGACATGAGCCTGCTTCACAGTTATTTCCCAAAAGAAAAACAAGGCAGTTTGGAAGAGCCACGGGAAAGCGGCCAGGCCGGCCAAAGGAGGACTCTTGGAAGGGATTCTTGAATACGCGCAAATATGCGTACGACAAGGAGTCAAGGATTTATGGTCCAGCACCATTCCGGGAGGAATAGAAAATGCTTTTTGGGTCGTACCGACGTTTTGATTTTGTTCACCTGTGGCGGATACAGCATCATCTGATGGCTCACATGTGGTGTTGAGACAGATATCTTTTGCCTGAAATCGACTCAACTAAACTCCAACATCCAAACGTCGTCAAGTCGTTCATTTGACGCCGCGAGCCCACCTTGAATTATAACACTCGAGTCGGCGACCACGTCGGCGGCGAACCACCCACGCGGCAGAGGTTTGTCTTGTCCTTCCCAGGAGCGGACCTCTTGCCAGTGTCCAGAGTCAATGTCAAAAACCCATATATCTCCCAGCATTCTGCCAGCACCTTGGTGTCCCAAATTACTTGGATCACTCTCTCCGAACATGGTCAAGAGACTCTCACGGCCACGTATTTTCAATGCCAGCAAGCAGCAAACGCTCCTCGGCCCAGGTCCCTCCTGGTCGTCTGCAGCAAACGAAATCGTGTTCCAGTTACCATCCCTAGGGTCAAAGACGTCGAGAGTTCCACCTTGCTCCTTTGTTCCGTCAAATCCATTCATGCGCCACAGCTTCTCCCGCGCAAAAGCGATCGATGTGCCGCCTCTGGCTGGATCCGGAGCTGCAGCATGCTGCAGCCATTTCCGTTGAGACACACTAAACGACCACAAATCGCTGAGTCTGTCCTTCTCTAGGCAGCCAGCATGCAGATATATTGTGTCATTGCCATCGTTTGTGAGAGCATGATAGCTCCGACCGGGAGGGAATGGTGACTGAGGGTCTCGCGGTATGATTTCAGACCAGGATTGAGTGGCAGGGTCAAAACTCCAGAAAGCACCGTGTTCTTCGATCGGTGCCATGGCTGTGCCACCGCGTCCCGAGAAGACGTAGACTCTGCCTTTCAGAGCCGTGGAAGCCGAGCCAACGCGAGACTGTGGCGCCCGTGGCACCATAACAGCAGAGACTCGGCGTCCTGGAGAAGATGAGTCTGTTTGGAGAAGTACATTAGTATTCAAAGCGGCAGATGTTTGTGCTACTTAATGCTAAGATCGCGGGAGGCGCCCACCTTGACCAATCGAGCAAGCGTAGACGCCTGGGTCGACAGGCTCACGAGGGCGCAGCTCGCCTCCATAGATATAAGCAGTCTTCTCTATGACTGCCAGTGTTTGCGACGATCGGCGAATCAGAGAGCTCGACGCATACTTTTTCCAGGTTCCAAGGACCATTTTGGCGACGCACCTTGCGTCAAGTTCGGGCGGAGAAGGCACTGGAATGCTTCGGAGCCATGTTGCCTTTTATGTACGCTCGTGCTACGAACAAAATATAGGTGGTGGAGTCACGTTTCATAGAGCTCCTGATCATGTGGGGAACGGTTCGGAGAATGTCATCAATGGACTCGAGGCGTAAAATATTGCCTGAAAAGTCGAGGCAGATTGAGTCGTCCGTTCCTAGCATCTCGGTGACGAGGCTTGTAAGGTCTTGGTCTTTGAGATAGTCTCCGGCCAGGCACTGGCGGGCAGACAAACGCTACAACGCCCGCTGCCTATTGGCAAACGATGTTAGGCCCTGTCAGTCACGACCCACCTAGGTAGCCTGCTCGCCTGCACCTATATCAACCACTGTCAGACACTTACACCTTTACCTAGCGAGCTAGGTACCATCTACCACGCCTCCTATACCACAGCATTACAATACAGTACTACTTGTCAGATACCACAATGAGCGCCTTAACTTCCAAGGTTCAATCTGGGACAGGACATTTCGCCCAGTGGCGCAATTCGCATCGAAAAGTGGCCGTTTCAATACCGGGGCGTAAAATTATGCCTCATTCGGACATGCTGTTGAAACATTTCCATTTCAATATCATCACCCACCTGTCTGTTCCTCCTTATTCTACTACCATTTCGCCAAAGCTATGGCAGCTGCAAGAGCATTTGCCGTCAGATCGCGCTCTGGTAAGATCCGCCGTGGCCACACCGGGTGCAAGGCATGCCGTCGCAGGGGAAAGCTGGTGAGTTCCACCTTTAGTGTCCATGGTCCGTCCTTTGACTACTCCCATAGTGTGACGAGACAAAGCCAGTATGTCGGGCGTGCCACAGGCTCTCATTAGCTTGCGAATATGGATTGGACATCTCATTTCGTCAATATGATGCCGGTCAGGTTCAAGCACTTGGTCCCAGGAAGACGCCGACACCTCGATCAATGGATCGGACCATGTCCCAAACCAAAAGGACGCCTTCGTCGTACGGTCTAAGCTTTGTAAGAACAAGATCAACGGCGATCCCTCTCATGGCTCCACTTAGCGAAGAAGACACGGGCGGGATTTATTTCAAACACTTCGACAGTCATGTTCGCCACGTGTTACCAGGACCTTCCAAGGGGTTTCTCGACTTCATACTGTCCTCGGCTCCGTTTCGCCATGCTGTTCTCTGCCTGTCGGCTTCTAATTTGGCCATGCTCGATGTACGCATTCAGTCGCGTCAGATTAGCGAGGATTATAGAAGATCAGTCTTCAGCCCAATAGTGAATAGAGAACACCACGACCAGGCACGAAAATATCACGACCTAGCGGTTACATATTGCGACACCCGAAAGACTGGCAATGATCCAGCTGACTGTGCTGTGGCGCTGGCTACTAAGGTTCTTCTCGCCATTTACCATCACGCATCGACAGACCACCGAAGGTTTCGGCTGGCTGTAGAGGATGCTCATCAGTTCGCTCATCAGCATAGGACTGCCTTCCTGCAGTCGCCAGACGGGCACGAAGCACTGCAAATGTGGCACCGCCTCTCCATCTCCCATCGGACCTCGCGGCGTCCTACTCTCCTGATTGAAGGTGAGAGCGACGAGTACTTCCAAGCGAAATTCGCCTCGCCAAATACCATCGAGCACCTGTACCTCACCTGCATCTTGGGTATGAGTTCGGATGACTTGATATACGACATCCTGATCAAAACCATCGAGCTTCGAAAGAGAGCGGTAGTATTTCGCACGGTTGCGCGCATTCACAATGTCTCGGATCAATCGCAGGACCTCGGACGCCTTGCCCATGAACATCTGGACACGCTGCTTGACAGGCGGAGCACGGCAGAAGAGTACGAAGAAGCGCAAACGGGCTTTGTCCGGGGTCCACATCTGATAGGTCTCCTGCAGACTCAGCAAGACAGACTGTCAGTGTGGAAGTCCAGGCTCGATGTAGCTCAGCTACCGCCGGAGCCATGCGATTGCCAAAGCTCCCCACATGACGACAGTTCAGTCACGTCCTGTACTGACTTCCCGACCTTTTCGAGTCATCGTGATGCAATGAACGCTCTGTATTACCTTCTGTGTCGAGTCATGATTGCGACACTGCAAGGAGATGAGCCCCAGCAGGACTCGCCGACGCCGCTGTGTCACTCAGACGTCGGCCGCGCCCAGAGGATGGTGCAGCTTATGCTACTCATTCTTGACACTCTGAATTTCTCCACGTCTCATACCTCTGACGTGTATACGTTCAGTGTGGGTGAGGCCTTGTTGCAACTCACTCTGGCCTGGCATTCCATCTCTACATTCCAGCAGATACTGGACGTCACCTGGCCTCGACTAGAGGCTGGAGGACGCGGCTTTGAACATTCTCACTGTCCGACTCACTTGGTGAAGCGCATCATCGCCCTGCTAGCCGAGCAGTGGTCCCAAGGGCGAGCTATCACATACGTGTCCTTGGCGGTCGAGGAGAACATTCCCAAATTACACTTACTCGCCATCGGCCTACCGGTTGACCTTGTGGTGTGTGGTTACTGCATGGACGGAACATACTTCATGAAGAGGATGCCGTTGCCCTAATCTTGTTTTTTCCGAGGAGCGCGTCATAAAAAAGCCGTTGAGCTTTGGGGCTTTCATTCCCGGTATTAATATGTTCTGTGAAGAGTCCCGGCGAGAGACGGGAAAAGGAGCGGCAAATGCAAATCCAAGAATAATCATCATCAAGAGTGCTATCTCCCCGCTGACAATCTATATATAGATCTTGGTGTGTTGTGCGCAAATTTCTGTCCATGTAAATCTGTCTGTCTATTCATACAACAACAACAAGCCTTGGGATCATACAGCAGTGGCGGCGCGAACAAACGTCCCATTCCCCTCCCACAGCGCCGGCGGTGTAAAATCGCCGTACCACTCCCCACCAGCGAATTCCACCCTTTTCACGTACGCGAATCTGAAGAACTCGGGCTCGTGGGGCACACGGCGCGTCCACTGGAATGTCATGGGGTCGTTGGGTGGGAAGGAGAGGAAGCGGAGGACGTCATTGACCAGCACGCTGATCCCATCCCATGACGATGATTCGGAGGACATGGCGAGGTCGAACGTGATGTTATCCTCTCCCACCATGACCGGCGGGTTAGCTAGAGACGGTACAACGCTACCCAGGGCGGCGCCGTCTTGGAGCAATTGGCCCGGTGTCTGGAGGATGCTATCAAAACCCCACCGCGCGACACCGTTGAGGAACAGTCCCAGCAGGATGCCCTGGTACAGCAGACTGGGGCGGGTCTGGAGAGACGTGCCGGGAAGCAGGATCAGGGCCAGGATGTAGTGGTGGATCCGGAGTTGCAGGTGCATGCTGGGGAATATCAGGACGAGAGCGGTCAACAACATGGCCACGACGGCGTAGAAGAGCAGGTACCGCGCCATGCGACCCTCGGTTCGGAAGCACCATGCCTGTCCGATCGCGACGATCAGAATGATGCCGATGATCAACGACAGCGCCAGCATAGCGCCGGGTTGCTGCTGAAGGTCGTGCGGAGTCAGTCGCGATATCGGTATGCGGTCGAAGGTGACGTTGTTCAACGCCCCAACCCAACACCCGCCAAGCCAAAGCACAGCCCTCTCGAGGGGGGCTTTGAGATTGGACAAGGTGCGGCAGACGCAGTATTGATAGATGACATGCCCCACAAATGCGGCGGGGAGAAATCGTCGAATCGCGAGTGAGACCACTTCGGCGTAGTCTTGGTAGTATGGTGGATCGGATATTAGGGCGACGTGGAAGAACATGCCGATGTAGATTGACCAGAACAACGTCACCGGGGAGGTGACGAAGACGGATAAAATGGAAGTAATCAGGACCGATGTGCCCAGGAACATCCACCGAGAATCCCTGCACGCGGCGGGCGCTGCCAAGCTGCTGGACGACGAGTTGAAGGTAAAGGAGAGCGGAAAGTTGGAGGGGAATCCAATGCTCTGGATCCCGTGGGCTTCGACGCTGGGGAAGTTGGACCGCTCCCCGGTGCGCAACAGCACTCCACAGCCTCCGCGGGAGTTGGTCGTGACTCCGGCATGGATGGCGGCGGCGCAGATGAACGAATCGCCGCGGTAGATGGCAGACCCAGAGTCCTGAAGACGTCGTGGTCCTCCGACAATGAGGCTTCGGTAGTTGACTTGCTGAGATCCGATGAAGTGAGGCTCGAGCACCATGGCGTCTCTACAACCAGCCGGACAGACGAAGGCGAAATGGTGGTCCTCGAAAGGGCGGCACTCCTGGCCGTCCAACCCGCAGGCGGTGCTGTTGGGCCTGCATATGCTGGTTAGTGACGGGCCCCGTCTATCGCCATCCGGGCAACGTACCATAGACGAGATGTACAGTCCAGCCTGATCGGCCGACCATAGACGGGGTCAGTGCTCGAGATCACCCATTTTGGCAGCGCCAAAAGGAACATGCCACTCCACAAAACATAGAGAGCAAGCAGAGCCACCAATTTGAGCCATCTGCCAGGCAAAACCCTGTCGAGAAGCCGGTCGCACGCATTCTGAAGCCATTTGGAGGATTGAATGTGGTAGATCCGAGGAGGCTGGGGACCTTTGATCCACTGCAAAACAGCTTGGAAAGTGGACTTGGACTTATATAGTCGGTTCTGGCGTGTCCAAGTGAGCCGGTCACCATCAGTTGACCGCTCCAACAATTCCCGAGGAGGGATTAGAATGCTTGCTTCTTCTGGGTCATAGTCATCAGGTTCGGCAGGTTCAAGGAGACTTTCGCAGCTGGGGTCGTCCCTTGTAGCTTCGACGCCCTGCAGGTCGTGTAGAGGATGGCCTTCGTTCAGGTCCCCAGAATGGTATGACGGTGAAGAGATGGCGGAAAATTCTGGAGAGCGCAGCAATGCTCCGTCCGACATCATCTGTACAGCCTTTCACTTCTTTACTACCTTCCCCTGGGTTTCGCCCAGAGATGCCTCGTTGTTCGGCTTGCAGAGCTCTATCCAAGTTGGGGTGAGGTCAAGTGCAATGCAACAGAATGTAGCTCAACGAGGGTACCAGATCGCCAAAAAAAGAGCTGCCGGGGTTACCGACTGGCAACATGGTGCGTGATTCAAGGGGGTTTCAACAGAGTGTATGGGCAATGTTCAAATCACAATATTGACGCCATGAAGCATGTCGACGTCTCCTGGTCAGCTCTTCGTGCGCAAGGCCGTTGCAGTAAGTGACAAGGCTGGAAGATGTGCAGAAGCATTGGAGCAGCACAGCCTCGTCGCAATACGAGAATCGAGGCAAGTCTGCCGAATACGCGTATCGCTTCCCCGTGTGGAGCCTCGTCCCTTATGCGCGTATTCCCGACGTCAAACAAATCTCCCCCCCATTCACACAGCCACGGCCTGGCCTCGTCTCGTACACCTTACCTAGGTACTTACCATGCACGCCATGCTAGACTCGATACATCGACAAATCCGACGTGTTCAATCCGCGCTCTTTCTGATGGTTCCACTCTTCGTAAATATAGAGATGCATATCAACATCAATCTCCAGGTAAGGTGTCCCAGGCAGCAGGCAAAGATAAAAGAGGAATGAAGAGTTGGGTACGATGCATACATATATTGAGGTTTGAGAATCTCGAGGTGTTTTGTTTCCCCTCCCCAAGAGTCCTCCATCTCATTTCAGTGGCCCCCTTTTCAACGAGCATTTCGTTCTTTGCTCTACCCATTTCCCCTTTGCACTGTTGCCCTGTTGTTTCTTCGCCCGTCCACACTGCCTAAACGGACTCTTGTCTAAACCACCCCCCAACATCGACCACTATGGCACAAGACTCGGGCTTTAAACTCTACCGCTACGACCCCTCCCTAGCCGCGGCCGTGATCTTCATCGCCCTGTTCGCCCTCGCCTCTCTCCTGCACACGTACCAGCTCCTTCGCACACGGACATGGTTCTTGATCCCCTTCTGCGTCGGCGGGTACTTTGAGGCCGCGGGTTACGTCGGCCGGGCGATTGGATCTCAAGAGAGCCCCGATCATTGGAGCGTCGGGCCGTACGTGCTGCAGTCGGTGCTCATCCTCGTGGCGCCCGCGCTGTTCGCGGCCAGCATATACATGGAGCTCGGACGGATCATCTTGCTCACGGACGGGACGAGGCATTCACCCGTCAACCCGAGGTGGTTGACAAAGATCTTCGTCGCGGGGGATGTCTTGTCGTTTCTGATGCAAGCGTCTGGTATGTTCTGTCGGTTTTGCAACCACGCTCTCTGCTCATCATTGACACTCTCTCTCCAGGTGGAGGAATGATGGCCGGCAAGACCAAGTCGTCCATCAACACGGGCAAGAACATCATCATCGGCGGCCTCTTGGTTCAAGTCGTCTTCTTCTCCTTCTTCGTCGTCACCGGCTTAACCTTCCACCTCCGCCTCCGCAAGGACCCCACCTCAAAAGTCCTCGCCAACACCCTCGACATCGCGGCCGTCTGGAAGAAACACATGTACACCCTCTACGCGGGAAGTCTCCTCATCCTCGTGCGCTCCGTCTTCCGGCTGGTCGAATACGGCCAGGGGAACGCCGGCTACATAATCTCGCACGAGGTGTTTTTGTACGTCTTTGACGCATGCCTGATGTTCACCACCATGGTTCTCTTCGCTGTGGTTCATGGGAGCGAGTTGAATGCCTTGTTGAAGGGCGGTAGGGGCAGGGCTGTAAGGAAGGGCTTCGAGGTCTACAGCTTGAAGCAGAACCCAGGACATGGCCTCCCATGATCCCGCAGACAAAAGTCATGGCCCTTTGTTATAGAGTTAGGAGATGGTTATGCAGGGTGCGTGAGAACAACGGCGTTCGTGGTTCAAGGATGCATTGGCGGCCCGGTTCGGTTGACATGTTTCCTGTGGCCAGAATAGAAAGTGCATTATCTGTAATTCATTTAGGTTGGGAGGTACTCGGCATCCCACAAGGCAAAAGACTGTAAAGGCAACAACTACAAGGATGGAAAAGGTCGGACGCGTCGTGTTTTCGCCGTTTTCTGAAAAAGCTCCTCGTTTCTCTATCTCGTCTCGTAAGCCTCGTTGACCGAGGTGGTATGATGTATCGTGGTATCTTCTATATGTAAAACGTTGGTGTACAAACAACATGACAACCCTTTGAAAAGTGCCAATCTTTTGTGGCAAGGACATGCTTGTCATTTGTTGAGGTCGAGCTCTGGACACAGTGTGCCCAACGAAGCGGGCAACCGGTCCATAAGCGTTTGGCTGCTGCCCCAATTTCCCAGATTTTCCTAAAAACAAGACAAAAGTCTTGCCTTGAGCCAAGTATCCCTCCAGTATCCAAGTTGCTATAACGCTTCTCAATGACAACAAAGTGAGTCAAGTGAAAGGAAAGAGGGACCGGGAGATTAGAAGTTCTCCTTGCCCCATACGAAGCTGAAGCCCTTGTCACCCTCGCTGTACATGTTACACAGTATGTGCAACTGCGAGCCCAGGCCCTTGGGACCGCAGAAGAACACGCCCGCCTCGCCGGGGGAATGTAGTTTGCGAATCGCCCGGAAGACCATGTCCCAGTTGGGACGGCCAAAGTTCGTCGGCGTGCGCAGTCCCGTGATGGCATCGGTGTCGCTGCTATTGAGCATGATATTGTTGGCATCTGCGGCGGAGATCTTGGCAGTGAGGTACTGGAGGCAAAACAGTTAGCACAGTTCGGCTTTAAATGACCAGGGGGAAGAGAGAACATACAGCGTGGATCTCGATGGCGTGTTGTTTATCCTGGGCTTCAATGGCCGTGAGCAGACTCTTGAACCACTCCAGAGACCCGAAGTCGCGGCAAATCCAGAAAAAGTAGACTTTTCTCAGGCGCGTGTGGCTGCCGCCACCTTGGCTCATTCGATACCAGATAGACTTGAGAATACTGGCAAAGGGTGTGACTCCAATACCCGCACCGACCAGCACCGCCGTTTCAAACTTGAACACGTCCTCGGAAGCGGATCCGAAGGGCCCGTCGACGTAGATCCGCGGAAGGAGCTTCTGCAACCCCCCTGGAGCCATAGAGACAACTTCGGAGCGAGGCTTTTTGGCACCGTCACCCTTGGCGTCACCACGACCCTTGCTGTCCTCGCAGCCTAGCGCCTTGCCGAGCGCCTTGGTGAAGTTGCCCACCATCCGCACGTGCACCGAGATGTAGTCTTCCTCTGGCGCCGAGGTCAGGGTGAAAGGGTGGTACTGCCAGATGGAGACCTCGGGACAGCAGAGGAAGATATATTGGCCTGCACGCGTCTTCGTCTTCTCCTTGTGCATCTGGATCTCGACGACGTTGCTGGGGTGTTGGATGACCTTGGTCACGTAGGTCTTGTGCCGGCCGCGGATCTCGCGGAGGACTCTCTCCAGAAGGTACGCGAAGCCTCCGTACATCCAGTACTCCCAGAAGACGCCCGTCCCGAAGCAGAACGGAGCGGTGTCGGCCTTGATCATACAGAAAGCGCCGTGGACGGACCAGAAGACGAAAAAGACAATGAAGAGGTGGTGGACGGACCAGAACCGTTCGTAATTGGCACGTCGCGGCTTTTCGATGGACGTGAAGAGCATGGCCATCAAGGAGAAGAGCATGACGTAGCCAGACCAGCCCGGGCCCGTCACAAAGTTGATCTTGAGAAAGCCGACGAAGCCCAGTTTCTCTTTAGCCGCGAGCTGGGCGAAGTTGTTCCAATGCGCAATGGTGTGGACCCATGTGAAGAAGACGATCGAGTAGGCGACGAGCTTGTGAAAGGTCAGGTTCTTGTCGAACGGAACGATGCTGTTTAGAGGCGTTTGGCGCAGCAACGATATCAGCGTCCGACACACAGGGAAGAGGATCAAGGCGACGTCGAAGTGCAGCACCAGTGCGGCCGACCTCGCAATGGGATACGTGATGCCAAAGGTCGCCCGCGCTCCCGTCAAGTTGTCCTTGAGTTGGTAGTTCATGAAGCCGAAGCCAAAGACCAGTCCGTGTACCAGCACGAACACTCCCACCACGATCCGCCGCGAGCCCTCGTTGACCATCCACCGCTCGAACTTTTCTCTCATGTTTAGATCCCGGGGCGCCTCGCCGCTCACTTCTCCAGACAGCAGCATCCTCGACAGTGGAGTTGATCTTGTGCGGTCCGCCATCGAGGAATATGTCGACGACGTGTTTGACCTGACCAACGGCTTCTCGATGTAATACATTGGAGCATTATTGTGCGTCGTAGTGTTGGACCGTCCCAGCGGCTTTTCGTAGAAGTAGGAAGGATAGGGCGGTGGCGTCGAGGTGTTCATGGCGGGCAGACGATAATGTAAGGTCGTAGAGCTGCGGTCCAGAACAACCTGATACGAAATTGTTTCCAATGACGGTCCACTGCACACTGCAATTCGGCAACCGAGGCTGTGGCAGGGTAGAGACTTGCGACGACTTCCCACGATGGTTTCGAAACACTGTCTTGACACAGTATTAGTATGAAGGAAATGACGGCCTCGCTTAGGACTTGGGTATACTTGCCTCGTACAACCAGGATACCCGGGGAACGTTAGCACCACACAAGCCTGTCTCGGCGTGTCAGAAGCGAAACGAGCAGTGTGTTCAACACCAAAAATCTATACAAGAATCCAAAGAAAGCGCACCGGGCCAGGGAAGAAGGGAAGATGATGATCAGCACAAGTCAACAGGACGATCGAGAAATAGGGCCACAATTGTAGTTACCATTTCCCCTCCCCCTTGGGCGCTTCTCGCTACAGAATAAACATCAGTGGCATGGCAGAGTTTGTCGACCTTTTTCATGCAATTCTCAGGGGGAGGGTTGGCAGGTGCAGATCCCGCAGGCCAGAGCCACAGATGGAGCAGCAGAGGTCAATCGGAAGACAGAGTCCAGTGCTTGGATATCCACATGGTCGCTGGAGACAGCGTGACAGGCGTCGAGACCCGGCAAGAAGCGAAAGCCAGACGTAGCCAGACGCTGTGGACGAAGCTTTTGAGTCGGACGTCGAAAGAGGTCGAGAAAAGGCTTTGAGAGACGATGATTTGGCGGCCATGGGCGGTGGATGAGGCCTGGTGAAACGCGCCAGGGGCTGGGAGCCTCCGAAACGGGCCAGCCGACGCCGGAAAACCAACTCTTTGCACGTCCCCGTCGTGTTTGCCGCTCAGCCTCCTTGTTGCCTCCTTGTTTCAGTTGATGCAAGGCTTTCCTACACATACTACGTACAACTCCCACGGGTGCCCACGACGGGCCCATCAGGCCACGCAACCACGATCCCACCGCCATGTCCAGGGTGGGCTTTGTAGAGGCACGTGCCTTGGCGCACTTGGAGCCTGCAAGCTGCCAGTGAGTTGGAGCCTCGTCCTCCATCGCCTCCATCGCCTCCATCGGAGTGCGGCTTTCGCAGCCCGAACAAGCCTTCTAATTGGGTGGTCACTGGCCAGGTCTGGTCCCATCAACCTTGGCGACTCATGCGGTCATTTCGCAGCCTACGAATCACTCTTGCAAGATTGGGGCAAGGCGGCTGCAGCATACATCAAATCTCAGGCGTCAACACCTGTCTGATCTAGTCGAAGAGTTTCGAAATGTGAATGGACGGAGCTGAACAGGTTGATCACGGGGCCAAAGACCAAAAGACCAGAAAAGAAACAAGTAGTGGGGTAAGCCAAAAGCACAGTTTGTCAGTTATCCCTCAAGCACGCCTTGGTGTAATGCATCATAAGAGTTCATCCGAGATCGTGCTGCTGGACATAAACATTCCCCCATAACGTCTGCGCCTGTTTCTCCCGTTGCTTGTCGTTGCACCCTCGGTGTAATGCATGTGTCATACTCTGCCAACAGTATCCGTGGAGTCGCGGCTCATCTAGCAAATCCCTTGTGTAATGGCTGTCATCGTCGCCGCAGCTCCATACCAAACACGGCCAATTCTCGTCTGAAGCAGCAACATCGCCCCTGCCGCTTGGCACTGCCGAGCACAGCTAACAACCACCACCTCCCATCCTGTCACCTGAACTAGATTGCAAACTTTCTCGTCCATTCTCTGGCGGTTGCCTCGTATCGAGCACGGTCGGTTTTGTACACATGAGCGATCTCCGGAACAAGTGGGTCGTCAGGGTTAGGGTCGGTAAGCATAGAGCAGATGGATAGAAGGACTGTTCAATTGGTCAGCCATACGTTTCTAATCAGGCAGGCGGCGACCGTGCAAACCTTTCGATATTGCCAGAGCGGGGCTCCACTGGTCTCGGAGGATATCAAGGCAGATGCTGCCGTTGGAGTTGATGTTGGGGTGGTAGATTCGAGTGGTGAAATTGACCTTCGGTGGCTTGAAGGGGTAGTCTGTAGGGAAGTGGATGGCCAGGAAGAAGACACCGCCTTGGAATGGGCTGTCACTCTGCAAAAATTTGGTCAGTCGCGGAGGTTAACGTAGTCAGGGGTATAATGACTTACAGGACCCATGATCGTTGCTTGCCAGTGGAACTGGTACTGATGTTAGCAAGCGACATCCGCTCGACCGCCGCGTCGGTCTCCGGCGGTTTTCCAGGACTCTTTACTCACCAGGTCGTCTCCCATGGGACCAGCTGAGCATGAGGAGGGAGGATCACTGCGTCCGAGATAATCAGTATAGCCATTCCAACAACCCCGTATGATCTTATCAGGCCCAAGTCGGCCTCGTGCACACTCCTGCCGCACATCTAGGGTGCAAAGAGGACTCACCGGCCAAGATCTGTAAGTTCCTTGTTGATTCGCTTTAGAGCCATGGCTGAAAATGTGAGGTAGAGAGGATTTTTGAGGCCAAAGGTGGTCGATATCGAGGGGGACGTGGGGCTACGATCTGAGTCAACCTGGGTTGGTAATGAAGTCAATAGGATAAAGGATAGCGTACAAACCTGAGGAATGTGCGAAGAGAAGAATTAATTATTAAGAGGTTACGATGAGGTTGTCGCGAGAAAGGAGGCGGTAGTGTCAAGAGGTTTGATCGGTTGGTCAAAGGGTGGTTGTTATGTGGTCAGTGGTGAGAGGGAAGAGAGATCGACTTTCCTTCAGCCGACTGGATCGCAGTTTAAACTGAAAGAAGGCTACGCTTGGCAGACGGCAGGCGGCAGAAGGTGCTGGACGCAGTAACTGAGGAATAGAGGGCGGGCGCAGGGCGAGGGGCACTACAAGTACCCTAGTACCCTAGTGACTTCAGGTGACGCTGTCCCTCAGGCAAGCCGGGCGGGCGTGGGCGGTGCGTGGGTGCTGCCTTTGCCTGGACGCCGGGCGCCCAATGATATCCACTTGGGCTTCAACTTTTCCTTGACTTCGCCACCACCAGCGAGGCGACATTTGCTGTCATTAGATCTCTAGGTACCTATCTGACAAAGCATAACCCGCGACCTTTAAATCCCATCACCAAATACGTATCGAGATATTGGTTGATGAAACTGTCGCTCGTTGATCCGCTCGCCGTTTCTTCCGCCCTTCTGAGTCAGGAACACTACACGCTTACTGGAGCACAGCAATCTGTATTCTCACGTGGCAATAATGACACCATTTCACACCGGTTTATACACAAAAATGAAGATTAAGAATCAAGCTTTTCTCCCGGGGTGTATCGTTCCATTTCCGTGCAGCAAACACTTTTGGCATTTTCTCCTTCAACCACTGGCGAGAAAGAAGGTGTGGCCGTCGAAGTGTTGGATGAAACCGTGGTTCAGATGGCAAGGGCCTTTCAGCATGATTGACCGTCCAAGGATCCGGATGGGATGCGAGTTTGATCCGGAGTAGATTTTAAATTCCGCCTTTGACAGTCGACGCGCCTTTAGCAAAATGCTTGTATCCCGGTAATGGCCCGGCCTAGGATCAAGGCGTGAATATCACTCTGTCCTTCATATGTCTGCGTCACGAAAAGATTTGCAACATGACGACCGATGTGGTACTCATCGCTGACGGCGTTCCCACCGAAGATCTCCTGGAGATGCCTGGCGTTCACCAACGCTCGATCACAGTTCTGTCTCTTGATCATTGAAATCATTTCTGGAGTGACCTTGCCCTCATCCTTCAGACGACCGACTTGATACGCTGCGGCCAGTCCAAAAGCCGCGTCCGTGACGGCGTCGGCTAGCTTCTTTTGAACGAGCTGATATTTGGCAAGCGGATTGTTCTTGAACTGCTTCCTCTCTAGGGCATACTCTCTGGTCCGGCTGATACAGTCTTCAAGGGCGCCCATTGTTCCCCAGGCGATACCATACCGCGCCGAATTGAGGCAAGCGAATGGACCTCTGAGACCTTCAACATCTGGAAACATGTTCTCCTTGGGGACGGGACAGTCATCGAGCTGAATCATGCCCGTTATCGATGCCCGAAGTCCGTTCTTGTCCTTCAGAGGTGGCGTCTCGAGGGTTCCTGGGGGGCATTTTTCTCTCTCGATCAAAAATCCTCGAATCTTGCCTGTTTCTTGCAGCTTCGCCCACACAAGTAGCACATCCGCGATTGGCGAATTCGTGATCCAGGTCTTTGACCCTGATAGCGAGAAGTATCCCTCCTTCGACGGGTGTGGCTTTGCAGTCGTCTCCATTGAACCCGGGTCGGAGCCGTGGTTGGGCTCGGTCAAGCCGAAACAGCCAACCAGTTGGCCTCTGGCCAGCTTCTCCAAGTATTTGTCCTTTTGTTCCTGTGTCCCAAACTCATCTATGGGTCCCATGACCAGAGAGCTCTGGACAGACATGCCTGATCGGTACCCCGAGTCAACCCTTTCCACTTCTCGCGTTATCAAACCGGCAGCGACGTTGCTCACGCCAGCACATCCGTAACCTTTTATTGTGGCACCCAACAGACCTAACTCGCCCATTTCCTGCAAGATTGTCTTGTCGTAGTCTTCCTTGCGATATGCTTCCAAAACCCTGGGTAGCAGGCGCTCCTGGCAGTAAGAATGCGCCGTTTCTTGGATCGCTTGTTCTTCCTCGGTCAGAAAGTTTGACAGGTTGAGCGGGTCTTCCCATTTGAAAGCTGCTGCGGAAGAGGCATGCCTGCGATGGGACGGGCGCGCCGTGGGGGACAGGCGGGCCCGCGCAGCTCGACGAAGGAGGGAGCGAGACAACATAGGGAAGGGATCGCACCGGAAGACGTGCAGAGAAGCAGAAGAGAGAGGAAACGAGACTCTCAAGTTGGAAAAGGAAATGGCCAAATTTGTGGACGTGGAGATCAGCGAGGTGATTCAATGAGTACTATGTATTGTCAAATTGCCGAGGCGATTTTTCAGAGCTCCCGCAACTCGTACCATTGAGGGATCTCCGAGGCGGCAGTGGCGCTCACCAGCCGACTTTGTGGGAGAATGGAGGTTTGCACGAGCTTGAAGCGGACTATTTTCAAAAAAAAAAAGCGAAGGCTTTAGAATTGATAATGGCTTTGGCCGGATGTGCATGAGCGCCTTTGCGGAGTACCAACTACAGTACCTAGCGAGCTAGGTATGTGTCAGGTCGGCGAAAGCAAGATTGCGCTACAAAGTCTTGAAGTCGGCCGTACCCAATCGCCTGCAGCTGCGGAGGAGCTCTTGACTGGTGCGCGCAGTTATGCACGTCATTCACTTGTCGTCCTGCAGGCGCGGAACGCGATTCACTTTACGCGCACTTTTTGACCTCCATCCTCTTGTCATGCGATGCACCTCCAAGGTCCACTCAACCGATCTGTGACACTCACAACGCTCTGAGACGATGGGTATCAAACGTATGTTGCATTCCTTGGCCAATCGTCAAACGTGACAAGCTCACTGCGAACAGAACTCTACCATGTCATCGCCGAGGAGGCACCTGACGCCATCAAGACTGGTGAGATCAAGAACCACTTTGGAAGGAAGGTTGCAATTGTACGTGACCGTGATATCTGGTTGATGCCTCGGACTAATACGGATGCACCAGGATGCGTATGCTTTGAACAAGCTCCCAAATCAGCGAATGAGCGACTGACTCCCACAGATCGATGAGCATCTACAGCTTCCTGGTGGCGGTCCGCTCAGATGGCCAACAGCTGATGTCTGACACGGGTGAAACCACATCCCATCTCATGGGCATGTTCTACCGCACTCTGCGCATGGTCGACAACGGCATCAAACCACTCTACGTCTTCGACGGAGCGCCCCCCAAGCTCAAATCCGGAGAGCTGGCGAAGCGCTTTGCTCGGAAGAATGAAGCGAGTGATCAGCACGAAGAGGCAAAAGAGACGGGTACCGCTGAGGAGGTGGAGAAATTCTCAAGGCGTACAGTCAGAGTCACGCGAGAGCACAACGAAGAGTGCCGGCGCCTGCTCAAGCTGATGGGGATACCCTACATTGTCGCTCCTACTGAGGCCGAGGCCCAGTGTGCGGTTCTGGCGCGTGCTGGTAAGGTGTACGCGGCAGCGTCCGAGGACATGGACACGTTGACGTTCAACTCACCAATCTTGCTCCGTCACCTCACGTTCAGTGAGCAGCGCAAGGAACCCATCCAGGAGATACACCTCGACAAGACATTGGAGGGACTCGGTATGGACAGAACTCAGGTACGGACTCCATGGAACGAGCAATAGGTGTTGTTGATTAACTCGGCCAGTTTATTGACCTGTGTATACTTTTGGGGTGCGACTATCTGGATCCAGTGCCCAAAATCGGCCCGAACACTGCGTTGAAGCTCATCCGAGAGCACGGTTCTTTGGAGGGGGTGGTCGAGTTCATTGAAAACGATCCCAAGAAGAGATACACGATTCCAGAGGACTGGCCATACAAGGAGGCGCGCGAGTTGTTTCTGCACCCAGACGTGCGGTCTGCCGACGACCCCGAATGCGACTTCAAGTGGGACGCTCCCGACGTCGAGGGTCTCGTTCAATTCCTGGTACACGAGAAAGGCTTCAACGAGGACCGTGTCCGAAGCGCCGCTCAGAAATTGCAGAAAAATGTCAAGACGGCCCAACAGTCGCGGCTCGAGGGGTTCTTCAAAACCGTGCCCAAGACCGAGGAGGAAAAGAAGAGCCTGAAACGCAAGCACGACGAGAAGATCGCCGAAGCAAAGAAGAAAAAGAAGGAAGAGGCCAAGACCAAGAAGGAATCCAAGTCCAAGGCACACCTGTCGACGTGAGCCAAGGGAGGCGGCCAGGGGAGCCTGTACCCGGTATATTTGGGAAGTCGGCATGCAGTTTATGACACATGAGGTTATGGGCGAAGGCGGTGTTTTAAACTACCTACTGTGTACAGCACAGACCTGAGGCACTCAGCAGGGCGTTCGGAGGGGACCTAGGTTCGCAGGCAGGAGGGGACGGCCGTCGCTCAAGGTGGCTCACGCCACGCGATTTACTCGGATCATTGCGCTGGGCATAGATTACGAGGTTGAGATAGGATTGGCTCTAACCTGTCCGGGAACATCTCACATGATCAGGCAGATCGGAAGCTCAGAATGCCAAATTCCCAATGGCTGAGCTTGATCCATCCTCGCTCCCGGTCTCTGGGGTCAGCGGCGGGAGCAAACCAGCTTCACAATGAACTGCTTGTAAATGTCACAATCGATTGTGACCCCCTGCATGACTTAAATCCATGACTTAAATAAGCCGAATTCCCTGACAGATGACCACAAGCCACTCTGCATGACTTAGAGCGCAACCTCAGCTGTAACTATATAGGTAAATATGATGGGTGACAGGCACGGATACGGTCAACATCGATATTGCAGCGGCAGAGTCTGCACATGAAGCCCTTCGATCGGGTGCAAAGCGAGCCAGATTAAGTTACGGCATCCGTACACGTCAACAGCAACAAAATCCCATCCGACGCGGTGAGCGGACGGCAGGGAGGACGCCACGGATGAAATAGGCAACAAAACTCAGATGCAGGCTACAGGGGTGTGGCGTGAAGTGGAGTGAAGAGAAGTGAGATGAAGTGAGAAAAGGCCAAATGAGAATGATGAAAATGGCCAAAGTGGAAAGAGGAGAAGAGATGGACAGATCAAGTCACGGTGTTGGGGGGGGATGATGGTGGTGGGAGGAGGAGGAAGGTGTGTCGGTGAGTCGCGCGTGATCTGACTTTGAAGTTTGTGTTGTTGATGATCCGCCCGCCGAGGGAGAGACACGCACCTGGCACCTTTTCCTCCTGGCGGCTGCTTGGGCTGCTTGGGCTGCTGCTTGGGTTCCCAGGTTTTTGAGTTCCGCTGGTCACGGCGCCTGATTGGCTGAAGACCAGCGCAGCTCGCGGGATCAACCACGGATCAATCAGACGTCACATGCAAGGTATAAAGCATGCGCCGTCTCCCCCGCCTCGCGCGCTCGCAGCAGCCCATCGCCCATTCTCATCTCTCATCTTCGCATCTTTCCTCTCCCAACTCTTCATCCAAAGCTCGCCCACCGCTCTCTCACTCCATTGACTCTGTTTCCTCGACCTTATTCACCAGTTTCTCAACTCAACTCACCTTCCACCGTCACCATGCCTCCCAAGAAAGCTGCTGCTGCTGCCGCCCCGGCCAAGGACACCAAGGAAAAGAAGCCTGCCGCCGCCCCCGCTCATGCCTCATACAAAGGTACGTTTGCCCGTCAAGGCGTGGTCGCATCGCGTCGGACTCGAGCCTATTGTTGTCGCGTGTCAATGCTGACTCTGTACATCAGACATGATCAAGGAAGCCATTCTGAACGTAAGTCTAGCCGCGTTGCGACAACCTCGATGCCCCGGGAGACCGCCTATCTTGCCTCCTGTTTGAAGCGTGGGATACGCAGAAGAGACGGAGACAATGTCTTACACCCGTTTTACTGTGTGGCCCTCATGCTGACGCGTCTTGACATGTAGCTCAAGGAGCGCAACGGAAGCAGGTAAGCCTCCGGTCCACACCTCACCGTCGCCGGACCATCCGCGTGAAGACCAGATGCTAATTGACTCCCAGCCGACAAGCCATCAAGAAGTATGTCAAGGCAAACAACAACATCACAGTCACCTCCGAGACCCAGTTCGACTCCCTCTTCAACAAGGCCTTGAAGACCGGTGTCGAGAAGGGTGACTTCACACAGCCCAAGGGTATGAGGCCGCGTTCTTCCATCACCCAATCCTCTTCATGCTGACTTGCTTTGCTTAGGTCCCTCTGGTCCCGTGAAGCTGGCGAAGAAGGAAGCCAAGCCTGCTGAGAAGAAGACCGTCAAGGTTCGTGGCACTGCACATCCGTCGTCGGTCCTAGCATACTGACCATTCTTGAAGAAGGAGAAGGCCCCCAAGGAGGCCAAAGAGGCCAAACCCAAGGCACCCAAGACCAAGACTGTCGCCAAGCCAAAGACTGCCGCCACCAAAGCGAAGAAAGCGACTGCCCCAAAGAAGGCCGCCACCGCCGCTAAGCCCAAAGCCAATACTGCCACTAAGAGAGCACCCAAGACCAAGACCAAGACTGAAGCACCGGTATGAGTTTGAAGTCCGCGTCGTGTCACCGATCGTGTTGCTGACCAGTAACCCAGGCCCCTGCCGTCACTGATGTGCCGACTGTCTTGAAGAAGACCAAGTCAGGACGCGTGAGCAAGCAAAAGACCACCCCAGGCGCGAAGAAGGCCGCTCCCAAGAAGGCAACCACGACGAAGAAAGCCGCCGCACCCAAGGCGGCAGCGGCATAAGGTCACAGCCTGGATCGATACTGTTATGACCTGACATGTGCTGCTTGCTCTTTTGTGTCTTGTATTTGGGATCATGTCGATGGGTTGAGGGCAACAAGCGGTTTGTATGGATGGGCGTCAAATGAGGGGAGAGAACGGTGGCCGGTACCAGTCATTGTCATCTTACAGTCTCTCGCGTCATGAAGGTTCTTCGTCGGCTTTTTACGCTTGTACTGGGTATGTCTTACTGGGTCTCATTTTTGGTTGGTGTGATATAATGGCGTTCGGGAATTGTTTTCGGACCGGACCATGGGAAGTGATATGGGCTGTGTGGATGAGCACTTCAACAAGACCAATGACACCCAAGGGCCGGTGTGAGGGAAAGATCTCTTATCGCGCATTGCTCACTGTCGGCGGAACGGACAAGACGAGCAAGGTCCCCGTGCAGATATCTGATACACAAATCAAAACCTGCCTTGAACTTTAAGCCGCTGCCGCCACCGTGGTAGAGAAGACTCTCCTCGGGTTACTCGATTTAAATCTATAGTAATAAATATGGTCACAGTCACGAGCAGAAATTGGCTGCCCTTACCGGAGAAACAGTAACCGACCCGTACCGCTGGTCTCTCGAGGTGTAGTCGTCTTATTCTATCGACCTTGGCTCCGAACTCTCCTTCATTTTCTCCCCTGTTATTCACTCCTTCCCTCCAGGAGGCACGTTGCCGCCCTACTGCGCCGCTTGGGCTGCCCCCCTTCTTGCGGTGCTTCCCAGGCGTCACCGCTCAATCCATCTCAACTTCAAGTCCCGATTCCTGCTCATCTGCAGCGTCAATTTGGGCTGGCTGTCCGCCATGATGCGCTCCAAGCGTTCCCTAACTTGTTGGGCGGTCTCGTCTTTGTGGACTTTGACGGCCTCGCAGCGATACCTGGCGAAGATGGTCATGAAGACGCTCACGAATTCGACCTGCGACATCTTTTGGCCGGGGCAGGCTCGGGGCCCCGAGGACCAGGCGAGGTATGTGCCTTTGGGCATCGATTTGATGGTCTCCGTGTTGTTATTGGTGGTGGTGACAAGCCAGCGCGAGGGCCGGAACGTCGTCGCGTCGTCGCCCCAGGTGTGAGGGTCCAGGTGTAGCGCGACCGTGTCGATGTAGACGATGGTGTTGGTCGGGATGTAGTACGTTCTCCCCGACGGGGTGGTTATCGAGACGTCGTGGGTTGAGTTTGTCTGCTTGGCAATGTGTGTCAAGGGCGGGAAGAATCGCATCGTTTCCAGCATCAGAGCCAGACAGCGCGGCAGGCGAGGATAGACGTCTGCGTACTCCAGCTCGTCGACGGGTGTGCTACCCACGACTGTCTTGATTTCCTCGTACAGCCAATCCTGCCACTCCGGGTACGTGGCCAACAGAGCCAGCGCGTAGGCCATGGTGTTGGCCGTCGTGTCGAACCCGGCGCTCGTGAAGACGAAGAGGTTCCCCAGGATTTCTTCCTCCGAAAGCCCCTGTTGTTGTTGTTGTTGTTGTTGTTGTTGTTGTTGTTGTTGTGAGTTCTTGGACAGCTCACCGGCGGCCGCGGCCCCGGCCTTGGCCGAGTCAGAGAGCCGCACCAGCATACTCATCAGGTTACTTCGAGGCTCGGGGCTGTCACGTTGCAGCTTGCGCTCATTCTCCAGCATCTCCCTGGTGTGCAGGGGGAACTCGTTCTTGGCGTGCCCGATGTCCTGCCACGACGGTACGAAAAGGGGAAGTGTGAGCAACCTTGCCGGCAGGACTGCCGCTTCAATGAGGTTCTCCACCACCGTCTTGGTCGCTTCCATGTACGTCGTGCGGTATCCATTGGGGTTGTGACGGCTGGACGGTTTCCCCGCCTCCTGTTTCCAGGGCTGGGAGATGCCGAACCCGGCCGTGCCCAAGACATTGATAGCGACCTGCTTCATGCCGCGCATCGTGTCGTCCGTCACCCCTCGCAGGTCATCCACGTAGGAGCCCAGCATCTCACGGGCCTGCCGACACGACTCCCCAAAGACCAACCCGCTGATCTTCTCGTTGATCTGGGGCGCGATCAGCCGCCGCTGTCTCGCCCAAGTCTCGCCGTTGGTGGTGATCAAGCTAGGCCCAAAGATGTTCAACACGACCCCCGTGATGTCCGGGTTGGGGAAATCCTTGATCCGCTTCAGAACTTCCGTCGCCAGTTCCGGGTCGATCAGACTCAGTTCGTTGGACCCGGCCGTCACGAGAATCATCGCTTTGGAGTCGCACTCGTCGAACAGCCGCGTCTTGTTGCGGAATTCGAACCCGTACGTCGACAGGTTGATCGCTTCGTACATCCACCCCGGTAACAACCTTTCGAACACCGGCCGTAGCGGCACCGAGAGAATCATCCATATCGGGTGGAAGTGGTTGAGCGGGAAGATGGCCATGGGGAGCCCCGTTTTGCGCGCCGACAGGTAGTTCTTGAACAGTCTCCAGAGCGTCGAAGATACCCATAGTCCGTACAGCGTCAACAGGATCGAGATCCACGACATTGTTTTCTCGCCTTCTTCTTTTGGGTCTGCAAGATGTGCTTTCTCTTCCCTCTGTCAGGGCTGGCGACGTTGTAGGCGGATTGGGGATGTTAGAGTCCTTAGTCGATATACTCGTATGGTATATTATAACGTGTCGATGAATCCCTCAAGGTCGTCCGACGACCACCTGCACGAATGAGTCCGCCGCCATGTCAATGTGAGCTCTCGAGAGCAAAAGCAGAAAAGAAGCCACTACTGTGTCCTGCGCCGGGCGAAGTACATACATCTGTTATGAATATTATCGCGAAATATTTCCCCCAAAAATAATCCCGCCGGACGCCTTACAGGATGGGGGCGGAAACCCGCGCAATTGTCACTCTCAATATTGAAAGGCGAAGCTCCTTAAAAAGGCCGAATGCTAAGTAGGTACTCGGTACTGGATAGGCACTGAAAGAATCACGGATTGCATGCTGCCTTCCCCATATTATCAGCATCTTTACTCGAAGTCTCGAAACCACACTCCCCCCAATACCAATCGGGAGGCTTACCATTCCCAGTCGATGAGGAAGGGAACGGTAATCGGGACGATTGAGCCTTTTGACCTAACCTGATAAGAATGAAATCAAGCGGTTTGGACAGCATATGGCTTTCCCTCGACGAAGAAAACATCTACGTCCTACAAATGCCAAATACGAGCATTCAAAACGGGTATATTTGTCGAGCGAGCCTCGCCATGCATTGAATCATCAAAATTTTCCCTAAACCGTGGATCGCCCGGTAGGTGCACATGCACACTTCTATGCAAAGCTTCTCTTGTCGTCTCGGCGTCATCATCATCTCGAGAGCGCAATGTCGTCAATCCGTAGGATCATCTTGACCGTCTCAGCTGCCAACTCGATGGCGCTCGTGCTGACAAGCAGGGGTTGGAGCACCTTCTCGTCGGCAATGTTGGTCTTCACGCCGCCACTTCTGATGCTGACCCCGGCGTTCCGCTCTCCCATGTCGTGCCGATGGCGAAGGTCCGTCACCACCTTGATGCTGTTGAGACCTGCGTTCTCCGCGAGAGTGGTCGGTATCACCTCCATCGCGTCGGCAAAGGCTTTCCAACATATCGATTCCGTGCCGGTCAATTCCCGTGCCTGCTTAGCCAGTTGATGGGCGATTTCGATTTCGGGCGCGCCGCCACCGGCGATCAGCGCCTTCTTCTTCACCAGGCACCGGATGACACACAGAGCGTCGTGGATGGAACGCTCCGCCTCGTCCAGCACCAGTGTGTTGGCGCCCCGAGCGACGATCGATACCGTCTGATGTTGTGGCGACGCCGTCCGGATGCCCGTGACTTTGACATACCGAGCTCCCGACGACTGGACTTCCTCCACCAGGTCGGCACTTCCCAGCTTGTCCTCCGTGAAAGTGTCGATGTTGGCAATAGGTTTGCATCCTGTGCTCTTGCACAAGAATTCGACCTCGTCCCGTTCAATGTCCTTGATCGCCATGATCTTCAGACGCGACAGGAAATGTAGAGACAGGTCATTGACCGCGTCCCGCAGGATGGATTTCTGGATGAACAGAACGTTACATTTGGCCTTTTGGATTTTCTTGACCATGTTGAGCAGGTATGTCCTCTCCTCCTTCAAGATCTTGTCCATTTGTCTGTAGTCATTGACCACGATCTGGTTTTCCATGTCCGGCTTCGGCGGGCTCAGCTGGAACTGGATCAGGGCAATCTTCGCTTTCTCTATCCTGGTGGGACCACCACTGCTCTTGATAACCGGCTGGTTGAGGACGAGTCCGTCAATCATTTCCGAGTCTTCGATCGTCCCACCCACTTTCTTGATGATTCGAATGTTCCGAAGATCGACATTCTCAGCGGTTTTCGGGTCGATCGTCTTCAGCACGGCATCGACCGCCATGGGGCCGAGCAGTCCAGAGTGCTGCGACACGATTTTCGAAGAGAGGGACGTCGAGGCGGCTTGTAGCAGGGTGGTCCGGTCGGAGAGCGATATGGGTTGAGACATGTCCTGCAGAATCTTCACAGCAGCCTTGGAAGCCCTCTGGAACGATTCTGAGATGATGGTGGGATGTATGCCTTTGGCAAGTAAACGGTCTGCGGCTCCCAGGAGACTGCCGGCAATGACGACCACAGATGTTGTACCGTCTCCCGCCTCGACGTCCTGCGCGTTACTCAGGTCCACCAGCATCTTCGCTGCAGGATGCATAACACTCATGCTCTTCAACATGGTACTTCCATCGTTCGTAATGAGGTTTTCTCCTTTGCCCGACTGTATCATCTTGTCCATTCCTCGAGGACCCAGTGATGTTCTGATGGCGTCTGCGACTGCCCGAGCGGCCATGATATTCGCCGACCGAACAGCCATCGGCTTTTCCTTGTCCTAGTAGAAACGTTAGGGATCCTGTCGTGTGCACGGGCTGCGATCTGGACGAACCTTGAACGCCGCATTTCCCACATTGCCCTGAATCCCCAGCGCGGCGGCCATGGTGGCAACTCAGTGAGAGGTGTGTGAAATTGAGGGAGGGTGCTGAGCCGGTGTCGCAATAGCTTGCTTGTGGAAGGTCTACTTCATTGAGTGCATATATCAGGCGACATGAAATTTCCACGAAAGTTGGAGAACGAAGCGGGCGGGCTACCAGTGGTGCCAGTGGTGCCAGTCCAGAGTGCGGTCTGTGGCTCGTGAGCTTACATAAGGGGGATTCAGGCACCGCGCTGGCTGCGCGGACTACGAGGTACGCAGTCCTGCATCATTCGCTTTGCTCTCGCATGCTCTTGTCAACACCCTCGCCATCCCGTTCATTTCCAAAACCTTCTCGCAACCTGTACCATCAACCTCACGGTTTCTTGCTCTATCAACCGGTCTCTAGTCCTCTCTCCTAATCTAGACTCCCACTCTCCACAAATCCTTTCAAGATGCCCAGCGCAACCGGCTCGAGCTGGGAGAAGTACCAGAAGAACTTCGCCGATGAAGATGTGCCAGAGAAGAAGATCACGCCCTTGACAGAAGAGTAGGTGTTGATCTCCTTGGCTGCCAGAACTCCCCCCATTGACCTTGTCCAGGGATATCCAGGTGTTGAGAACGTATGGAGCAGCGCCCTACGCTGCTGCGCTGAAGCAGATCGAAAAGCAGATCAAAGAGAAGCAACAGAGCATCAACGAGAAGATCGGCGTGAAGGTATGGAGTCGCGCTTGTTTCGGGACCGCACGCTGACAACTCCTCAGGAATCAGACACTGGCCTTGCGCCTCCTCATCTCTGGGATGTCGCCGCCGACCGTCAGCGAATGCAGGAGGAGCAGCCACTTCAAGTCGCTCGATGTACGAAGATCATACAAGACGAGAAGGACAGCGAGAAGAGCAAATATGTCATCAACGTCAAGCAGATTGCAAAGTTTGTCGTCAACCTCGGGGAACGAGTCAGCCCTACAGATATCGAGGAGGGAATGCGGGTTGGCGTTGATCGCCAGAAATACTCCATCATGCTTCCTCTACCGCCCAAGATCGACCCCAGCGTAACAATGATGACGGTGGAGGACAAGCCCGACGTCACGTACGGAGACGTCGGTGGTTGCAAAGAACAGATCGAAAAATTAAGGGAGGTCGTCGAGATGCCGTTATTATCACCGGAGCGGTTCGTCAAACTCGGGATTGATCCTCCCAAAGGTGCTCTGTTATATGGACCTCCGGGCACGGGGAAGACTTTATGCGCGCGAGCGGTCGCCAACCGAACCGATGCTACATTTATCAGGGTCATCGGGTCCGAACTGGTCCAAAAGTACGTCGGTGAAGGCGCGAGAATGGTGCGAGAGCTCTTCGAAATGGCGCGGACGAAGAAGGCGTGCATTATTTTCTTCGACGAAATCGACGCCATTGGCGGTGCTCGATTCGATGACGGCGCCGGCGGGGACAACGAAGTGCAACGAACCATGTTGGAGCTTATTACACAGCTTGATGGTTTCGACTCGAGAGGAAACATCAAGGTCATGTTTGCCACCAACCGACCTTCGACGCTAGATCCAGCCCTGATGCGACCAGTAAGCCCCGGCCGCAAGGTCGCCTCGCCGTGCATGCCTGCAATTACTGATAATCACCCCAATAGGGCCGTATCGACCGTAAAATCGAGTTCTCACTACCGGACCTCGACGGCCGTGCTGGGATTCTCAGAATCCACGCAAAGTCGGTGAGTAGTTTCTTCTCCAGTCTGTGGCAGAACGATGCTGACTTGAGCAAAATAGATGTCCGTCGAGAGGGATATACGCTGGGAGGTGAGTAGTTTTGCCCTTTGACGGCATTCACATTGGCTGACTGAGACTCGCAGCTCATAGCAAGATTGTGCCCCAACTCGACCGGTGCCGAGCTCCGGTCTGTCGCTACTGAAGCTGGAATGTTTGCGTGAGTCTTCCCCTACCTTGGTGATATTTGGCATTTCGAATATACTAATACGTGGTTGCAGCATCCGCGACAGGAGAAAATTGACCTCCGAGTCCGATTTCCTCAAGGCGATCGACAAGGTGATCAAGGGCAACCTGAAGTTTGGCAGTACAGCGGCATACGCACAGTACAATTAGAAAGGGGTTCTTGAATCGTTTTCAAGCGTGCATTTCCTGGAGTTTGACACAAGGCCGGTCCATCAGACCCGGGTCTGAGGGCATGTATCATACATTTGGACCTAGAACGACGGACATCAGGAGGGATTCTTCGACGCTCGTTCGCTTCAGAAAGTGCGTCTTTTGTGGAACCCTGCTGGTATCTCGCATTCCAACGTAGCCTTCGTTCTGCATTTGAATCCTTGCCCGTGATGTTGTTCAATGGACCTCTACCGGTTCGCGGAAATGTTGCGCCATTGCTCCATGCCACTTCAAGCTGGATTTTGCTTGCTATTTCCACAACACATACTCACAATGTTTGGAAACGGTCCTGCCCTGGAGCATATCAGCGGCGACTAGGTTTCTAATTCAAAGACCCGATCGAGACTGCACGACTTCCTATATAGGACGGACGGTGTTGGTCACGCCGTGGTCACCCCACCACTGCCACCAACTGCCACCAGCCGCCCAAGTACGAGTAATGCACTTGAATTACCTTGTATCCGATTGGCTGCCATCCCTTGGTACACACCTCGGGACTAGACTGCCACTTAGACTGCGGTCTTTGCATCAATCACTGAACCACGCCATCTCGCCCTTCATCTCCATCATCCCCAATCTCTTGTCGAAGCCCAAGCCTTGAATGACTTGTGCCTGCCCAAGATGAGCTGTCTCAAGATTTTGCGGAGCTTAGGTCCCTGCAACAAGGTACATACGAGCTTCTTTCGTCCCCGGTCCGGAACTGACCCTGTATGTGCAGTTCTCGACAAGCTTGAGACAAACAAGCAGACGTCAATTTTCCTCCACGAGACCTGCCGGTATGTTCGGAATCCTTGACTGTGGCGTCTGTCAGAAACTAAGACTCGTCAAATAGCCCGGGTCATCGCCTCTCAGCCTCTGCGAGCCAAAGAGGCCGAATCGTTCCCCTACGGAACCTATCCGATCATCGAGTTCGTCGGTCCCTGTGGAAGAAGCTTGACACGGACTGACCATTCATTGCAGTCACGAATATGACGCCGTGGTTGTAGGTGCAGGTGGCGCAGGTTTACGAGCAGCATTCGGTATTGCGTCTTGGACCTTGTTTTCCTGTTCTCCTCTATTGACGGTGGCCAAGGTCTTGCCGAAGCTGGCTTCAACACAGCATGCATCTCGAAGCTGTTCCCTACGCGAAGTCATACGGTGGCGGCGCAGGGCGGCATCAATGCCGCGCTGGGAAAGTGGGTAGCACCCTTGTTGGCGAAAGAGATCTGTGACTGACGACTGCGCAGCATGCACGAGGATGATTGGAGATGGGTAAGTCCCGACCGCTTGAACGTCGACAGCCTCAGTCGCAATCTTTGGAGGCTGTGGCGCAAGATGTCTGTTTTCCACGACATGTCAACGAGCTAACCAATGGCTTCTCACCCGCAGCACATGTACGATACGGTGAGTCTCCCTCAAGCTCTCGCCCACGGCTCCTCAATGCTAAACGCAGAGTAGGTAAAAGGATCAGACTGGCTCGGAGACCAGGACGCAATCCATTATATGACCCGCGAAGCCCCCCGATCCGTCATCGAACTCGAAGGTTACGGATGCCCATTCTCTCGAACCGAAGATGGCCGGATATATCAACGAGCTTTTGGCGGGCAGTCGCAAAAATATGGGAAGGGAGGGCAGGCATACAGGTGCTGCGCCGCTGCCGATCGGACCGGTCATGCTCTGTTGCACACCCTTTACGGCCAATCTTTGAATTACAACACAAACTATTTCATTGAATTCTTTGCTTTGGATTTGCTCATGGAAGATGGGGTGTGCAAAGGCGTCATCGCTTACAATCAGGAAGACGGCACTCTCCACCGATTTAAAGCGCAAAACACCGTCCTGGCAACCGGCGGCTACGGTCGCGCGTACTTCAGCTGCACCTCAGCGCACACGTGTACCGGTGACGGTATGGCCATGGTAGCTCGTGCGGGTCTGCCGAATCAGGACCTCGAATTCGTCCAATTCCACCCGACCGGTATCTACGGAGCCGGCTGCTTGATCACCGAGGGATCTCGCGGCGAAGGTGGCTACCTCCTCAACTCCGAAGGCGAGCGGTTCATGGAACGTTACGCCCCGACCGCAAAGGATCTCGCGTCCCGAGACGTCGTGTCGCGATCGATGACGATGGAAATCCGCGAGGGTCGCGGTGTCGGCCCGGAGAAGGACCACATCTATCTCCAGCTCAGCCACTTGCCCGCAGAGATCCTCCACGAGCGACTTCCCGGCATCTCGGAGACCGCCTCGATCTTTGCCGGCGTCGACGTCACGAAACAACCGATCCCCGTCCTGCCTACCGTGCACTACAACATGGGCGGCATCCCCACCAAGTACACCGGTGAAGTTCTCCGTGTAGACGCTCAGGGTAAGGACGAAGTCGTCCCTGGACTGTTCGCCTGCGGTGAGGCTGCCTGTGTCTCCGTTCACGGAGCGAATCGATTGGGCGCCAACTCTCTGCTCGACTTGATTGTCTTCGGGCGCGCGGTGTCGCACACCATCCGGGACAACTTCTCACCCGGCCAGACGCAGAAGGAGCTCGCCGCGGACGCGGGCGCGGAATCGATCAACGTGCTGGACAAGGTCCGGAATGCCAGCGGTTCCAAGAGCACGGCGGAAATCAGGGCTGCCATGCAAAAGACCATGCAGACTGATGTCAGTGTCTTCCGAACGCAGGAGTCGCTGGACGAAGGTGTAAAGAGGATCACCGAGGTGGACCAGATGTTTGATGACGTGGGCATTAAAGATCGAAGCATGATTTGGAACTCCGATCTCGTGGAGACGCTCGAGCTGCGGAATCTGTTGACATGCGCGTAAGTACCGGTCGAGGAAATCCCTTTTGTGAGACGAGACACTGACGGCGACATCTGCAGGACGCAAACGGCAGCGGCAGCGGCGAACCGCAAGGAATCCCGTGGTGCGCACGCCCGTGAAGACTACCCGGAACGTGACGACGAGAACTGGATGAAGCATACCCTTTCGTGGCAGAAGACGCCGCATGGCAAAGTCGAGTTGGGTTACAGAGCGGTCACCAGCCACACGCTTGACGAGAACGAGTGCAAGTCCGTCCCGCCTTTCAAGCGCACATATTAAGCAAATAGGCGCACATGCTCTGGGGAGGTCTAAGGTGTTTCGTTACGAGCTTCGCGTTATGTCGATAGGATGGTCAAATACCAAACGCTATAAGCAAATCAATTTAAAAAGATTACCGTGACTTCATCGCTCGAGGAGGATGTGCTCGAGTCTACAAGTCTCGGGCTATCCAGCAATCTCGAGCTTTTTGCATTCTATTCTCCAATAACGTACTCACATCCTATCGTTAAATCAGTCAGTCAGCGACCAACATGAGCACCCTGTATACCAACAGCACAAAGTTGGTCTCTATACGAGATCCCTGAATACGCTATGCCGCAAATACCATTACACATCGTCCGGGTTCCGCAGACCTTTGAGAATTGGACAGTCCTGTGAAGTACTCACCTTCTTCACCCATCCACACCTCATGCAGTTTTCCTGCAGGCACGTCGATGCGAGCGCCAACGCCGAACGTCTCCTTGGTCGGACTCACATCCTCGGGGTACGTGATGGTCAGTGACCCGCGCCGGATCAGGTGCGTGGTCAGGCCGCTGTGGGAATGAGGTGGGTAGTGTGCATAGCTGCGTCTCCTGCTTCAGTAGGTATGCACGGCAACAGACTCGATCGTCAGGCATCCTAGAACAAGGACTTCTGGTTCTCGTGTGTGTTGTGGGAGGAAATCACTCACGGCCCATCTGTCCATGTGAAGACGTGGGAGAAGCCCCATTCTCGCACGGTCTTTTCGTCCTGCGAGCGGGATGTGGTGCGCGTAGACATCTCTTGGGGAATGTTTCTAACAGGTTTTTCTGTGATGGGTTTCAGACAGAGACAAGGGAGATTCGATGATCCGGGTGGTTGCTCAGGTGAAGGGCCAATATGCACAACTTGACGGCGATGCTCGAAGTCTTTGCTGCTTGACGGGGTTTTACGTATGCCAAGCTCGGTTTGGTATTTGACCTTTTTGGGCTCAATGTCTCATGCCGACATCATGCGACAGCCTGCGATAGCCTGGACCTCGCAGAGACGCGCACAACCGGGCAATGTCTCATGCCTCCTTGCCTCGTTGCTCACTCCTTGGGGGCGAGATTGGGATAGACCACAAAACAATACCCTGGGACCGAGCTGGACGACGAATGGAGCACCCGGTGTTGAGACCACATTGCCAATATTTTGCGCAGCCACTCGGGACACATGGCCACAAACTCGAAATACACAAAGAAGATATGGTTATCGGCACAACGTGGTCAGGATATGGAATTGCATCATCATCTCTCTCTGATGATCGTTCAGTCGCGGCCATGACGCGCTCGACGGTGCTTCTCCACATGCTTGAGTGGTCTGGCATTAGTCGCTGGGGGGATGTTATGTGCATTTCAGCTGTTTACCACACCTGCTGAGGCATGTCCGTGGCAACCTCGATTGCAGAGCCGGGAGATGGGAGTGGAGAGAGGCTCTCTTCCTCGCGTTACCGTGGCATTCGCGTCCGAGGTTTCTTTGCGCGTCATGCTGTCTTGGATCGACAGTTGGACAGATTCTGTCGCCGTGGCGACAAAAGGGCAATAAATCGGGACAGCGACATCAATATCTCACCACTTCAATCTCGAGACGATCTCCCCAAGAACGCGTCGCGAGTTGCGTGCGCGTTCCTTGACTTGACCTGATGGAAATTGTAAAGCCACTGCATGTTGACGCCGCGCACCGCAGGCCTTCCGAGATAAACAACAAAGTATCAATTAGAGCTGCATCGGACTCACTGGGCAACGGTTATGGATCATGAGGCTGAACTCAACAAGGCTGCGCGTGGTTGGTGGTAATTGGACGCAAGGCTCCCTTACATCCATCGACCCAGCGTGGAAGCCTCGTGGAGAAATATAACACTGCTCCACGGCCTCATTATTACGGATGGAGAATCGGAGGTCGCTGATGCTGATTTTCGCCCTCACCGAAGCTTACGCGTCGAGAATATAAATCCCGTCCGAGTCTGACAACGACGAGGTGGCAAGGTGCCAGGGACCTGGGGCGGTTCCCAAGCGGAAGATGCAATTTCCCCGGATGTAGCCTGACCCCATCCGCTACGTAATGCAATCACTTTTGTTCGAGGCCGGCCAATCGAGGCGGCGGCGGCGCGGCGTGGACGTTGGGAAAAGTCAACAAAGGGGTAAGTGCTGCGAATGCTCAGGGGAACCGGTGGAGCCATTCCGGCCCGATGGAGACTAGCACCGTCGACGGAGCTATCTCAACTTCGCTCACCCTCGCCTGGTCCTCTCGCCATCCACCCCCCCAGGCTCTGCCATGTCCCAATTAGCACATTGGGCTGAGGACCCGTGGAGGCTAATCGACACCGGCGTTCACCCTGGCAGCTCTCCTAGCAACGGAGAGACACATACGTGGACTGTGGACAGCGGACAAAGGAAGGAACGGAAAGCCACCTCGCTGGAAGCAGGCCGTGAAGCCTGCCACCACCGTGTCTGTATTGGCAACATTCGCATTGAGGGCTGTTCAGGATTCACCAGGGCCTCCAATGACCTCTACAAGACCTCAGGCGTGTCTCCCGCCAGCCAGCCCCAAGGCTGAGGCGCCCAGGATCACTCCCCTCCCCCCTGCATGAAAATGCGTCAACCCACCCTTTCTTTCCCTTTGTTTGCCCCGACTCGACCTTGGTCCTCCTGCCGTACCGAGAAAAATGCCTGGGGCCCCACTCGCAGACCATTGCTGGGCCAGACGCGGCCAACGAAGTCGGCGATCCAACGCCTCGACAATCTGGGCAAGGCAAACAATGCCGGCCCACGGATCCACTCTCATTGTTTCACCTCTATGGCTTACGGTAGGTCATGGGGGCTGAACGATAGTCTATTCGAAAATGGATCTGCTATATTTCCCCCCCGACGAGTGTCTTTCTTTCCTTCTTCCTCTGTCGTTGGTTGATAACCTCCGTCGTGTATCCCAAAGAAGTCTGTGACTTTCATTGCGCTCTTTCGACACACACACACACGCTCTTTTTGTCCCCGGAGGATTCACCACGCTCTTTTATACCGACCGAGACCTTCCTACCCTCGACGTTCATTAAACAGGCCGTTCTCGACCGCCGCGCTCCTTTTGAACCGCGTTGAAAACCAAACCGAATCCTCGAAATTCACGGAAGCAACAAAGCAACAACACTAACAAAATGCAGCTCGTCAAGACCGTCTCCGTCTTGGCCCTGGCCGCGGGCGCCGTCGTCGCCATGCCCGCCGATATCGAAAATGCTGGACTTGCCAAACGTCAATGGTGGGGTGGAAACCGCTTCTGGGAGCGTCCCAACCCGTCCGCCGAGATCACTGTGACGGGTTACGCTCCTGAGCCAACTGGCGGCAGCTGGTATACCGAAGCATCGACCACAACCACGTCCACCACCACATCTACGTCCACATCTACGTCCACCACCACCACTGATGAGGTCAGCGCGACACCTGCTGCCGACTTCAGCTTTGGTGGTTACAACAGGCCCAGCCAGGACTTTACCCCGACCGATACCCCGTCCGAAGCACCCTCGACCCCGTCTCCTACCTCGGCCCCCGAAACTCCCGCGTCGTCTGCATCGGCTCCGGCAGCGACTTCAGCGAGCAGCTCCGATTCTTCGCTGTATGACTACATGTCGGTGGTGTCGGAATGGCGCGCTGCGGGTGGCCTTCCTGCTCTTACCCAGGATAGCACTCTCGAGGCCAATGCCTTGAAGACCAGCACTAACAGCGTCGGCGGCCTGATCCACGAGTTGAACCCCGGCACCCTGGCCCAGGTCCTCGCCCCCGGTACCCCTACCAACTTCGAGAGCGTCTACGTTGGTGGATGGCTCTGCGAGATCCCCACTCTGCCCGGTCTGAACGGCATCTGTGCCACCGAAGCCCAGGGTTGGGATCATTCCGATGGCGAGACCGGGCACGCCCTGATCCTGACTTCGACCAGTTATACAAAGATCGGTAAAAGACACCTTTTCATTGATATAATCTTCAAACCCGGAATATCTACTAACTTTGGGACTCAGGATGCAGCCTTGCGCTGTCAACGGGTGTCTGGGCATGCGAGTACGTCTTCTCCCCCCTTCTTCTCAATTTTTAACATGGACGAGTTCGAAAAGCTAACAAACATAACAGCCTTGCATAGAGAGACACCACGCGCTTCCCTCGCCACCTCTAATTATTTCCCCGACTGGAGGTCACCACGCCGATTTGATGGATTATTGAAGGAGGACAAGGAGGAGGAGGACAAGATAGTATCCTGGGTTGGAAAAAGAAGAGACACCTATGGGCCAAGCTCGGTGGGAAGGAGGAGGAATTTTCATGGAGGACGACTTTTTGTAGAGCCGAGCTGGAAATATATGAAATTTCTTTTTTGGCTTTTACTACTCTATTGCTTTTATTTTCTTCTCATTCTCTCCCTACCCATGCCTTTTTTTTCTTGTTGGAAACGATCCAAATGAGCAAAACGAAGGTTATTATTTTTGTAGATTTAAAGCTTTTTACACAAAGTCCGACCTGCTCTCTCGCGCTCTCTCCCTTTACGAATCACAGCCTGTGTGTAAGAAATGCAGTGTTCTACGCGAGCAGCACACGTGCAGACAAAATATACCCAGGTAACGTAAAGTGGAAGACCCCCGTAGTAGTCACAGCGAGTACCGAGTACTCCGTACGCGCGTGGCATTATTATTGACGCGTTTTGAGCGAGGTCCCACCCCTTCGTCTGCATAACCCACCAACACCCACCACCATCAGCACCCATCACTGACTATCCCAGTGACGTGGGTCGTGTAATCTGCGAAGGAATACTATCATGTAGCCCTTCATTTTGATGGATAAGTAGTTTTTTCCACCAAATAGTTGCCCCCTGCCGAAGAGTCTCCATGTCAAACAACCCGCCCACCCCATGCCCAAGGGCTTCGTGAGGGACGATCCACATACCTAGCAACATTTCGAACCAGCGGAGGTGTGAACAAGCCCTCGGCCTTTCGTCTCTCATAGTCTCCCCTTTTCTGCTTCCGGGCAAGAACAAGTTCGTCGTAAATGTTGCTGAGACTTGTCTGAGCTATGGCGAGTAGCTGGTGCAACACATCTTCACGGATCACGTCGTCGTCGTCGGCGACGAGGTGGTGGATTGTCGTCTTGGCCTTTGTCACATCATCTCGGCGTCGGTCCAGCCTTGATATTCCATCCTGGAGCATTTGCACAAGCCGTCCCTTGGGAAGCTCACGGCTTTCGAGAGACGCTTGTTCATCTCGGGGAGCCAAGGGTCAGGTCTGGCGAATAGCCCTCGCTTTTCTTTGCTGATCCGGTCGCTGGCTTCTCTGTGACTTCTCACCCATCAGACAGGCATACTCACGGCCATTGGTATCATGGAGGACGGGTAGCATTCTTTCGACGTTGTTATTGTCCTGCAGAGGAGAAGCCTCTGTAAGGCTGGACAAGGCTGGGCAAGGCTCCCACTTTGATCGAGTGCTTGGCATACGACATTGATTTGGGCCGCTGTGTTGACTGCAGGTGGTGGCGCTGCAAACCGCAGGCTGTGCAGCTGTGCCACTGTGCCAGGGGTTCGCCGTTCCACCCACCGGCCGACCAATGCAGCTAGCGATGCCCAAACAACGTTGTCTTTCAGCTCTCCCAGGATTTCTATGTATGAGAATGCCATGATGGCGGACGCCAGTTGCGGGTGGGATCCCTCCCCAGGACGATCCTCCCACTTGTATGGCTGAGCAGGTAAATGCTGTACTGCTAGTGACCACCGCTAATGCCAGCATTTCTTTCCAAGGTTCCTGCCCAAATTCCCCCATCGATATGCCTGAACGTCGCTCTTCCATGCCTCTCTTTTACTGATTCCTCATGACTTGACCTCGAAGACTGTTGTCGTTCTCTCAAAATTGCCTCTTCGAGCTCGAGACACCTCTGGCGCCGCCGCAGCCGCAGCCTCTTCCTTTGGCAAACACGACGCCCTCCCACTGCAACCTGTTCTGTTGAAGAGAGAAAGAGACCACCCACAAGATGATGCCGCATGCGATTCTGGGCTACCAGCTCCCCCTTCGTGCTGGAGGTGGCGGCCAGCCCTCAGAGGCTGCCACAGATTTCGCCCTGGAGCCTTTCTCCGACTCCGTTCTTTCGCATCTCGTTTCGGCCGGAAAAGATGTCTCGTCACAAGATAGGGAAAAGTTCACCGATGAGATGTCCTTCTTGACATACATGGCGTCGGGCAAGTCAAATGCAGTGTCAGCCCCGATGGGCAATGATCTGAACTATCCCATGTCCTCTTATTTCATAAGCTCCAGTCATAACACGTACCTGTCCGGCCACCAGCTCTATGGCGATGCCTCTGTGTATGCCTACACCAATGTTCTCAAGCGCCGGTGCAGGTGTTTGGAGATAGACGTGTGGGATGGCGAAAGCGACCCTGAACCCAGCAGCTCAGATGACGACGAGGATAAGTTTGATAAGTCGGAGCCAAAGCCTTCCCACTGGGATAGGGTCAAAGCTCGCGCAGCTCGCATGCGCTCAAGCTCTCGGTCAGAATCCCTAGCCGCCAGCGCGAACAACACCGTGTCCGCTCAGCACTCTCATCCGCCCGGGGCTCAAACCGCAGACGTGCCAGAAGGGACTGCCGACGTGGGCTCTCCACAGAAACCAGAGTCGTCCTCGCTTGACTCGAACCGTCTTTCACCGCATCGGTCCCCCTCACTCTCCAACAAGAGGGAGCCGCGAGTCCTCCATGGCTACACGCTGACTCACCCTATCACTTTCCGCGCCGTCTGCCATGCTATCAGAGATTCGGCATTCGTAAGCACGGAGCTACCATTGATCGTATCCCTAGAAGTGCACGCTTCCCTGGCCCAGCAAGAGGTCATGGTCGAGATTATGCGCGATGTCTGGGCCGAGTTCCTAGTGGACCTACCAAAAGGCACGGACGTTTCCGCGCTTCCTTCGCCAGAGTCACTCCGGAGAAAGATATTGATAAAAGTCAAGTGGGTTCCGGACTCTCAGACGGGAGAGTCCAATGACCCGATTGAGCATGTGAGCTCAAGCTCCACTGATGGAGCGGGGACCGATTCTATAGCGACCTCTCCAGAGAAACGAAAGAAGGCCTCGAAAGTTCTGGCTGCGCTCTCCGAACTAGGCATATATACTCGGGGCTATACGTTCAAGCATTTCTCACAGCCCGAAGCTACTATCCCCACACACGTTTTCAGTCTGTCCGAGAAGAAAGTCCGTAACCTGCATGACGACCCGTCCCACGGTCCCGCCTTGTTCAAGCACAACCAAAACTTTCTAATGCGCGTGTTTCCCAGAGGGACCAGGATTAACAGCTCAAACGTCGATCCGATCTTCCATTGGAGACAGGGAGCACAAATGGTGGCCTTGAATTGGCAGAAGCTGGACAAGGGAATGATGCTCAACGAGGGAATGTTTGCGGGGACCGGAGGATGGATTCTCAAGCCGGAAGGCTACCGCAGTACTGCAACAGCTGGATCCGCCAACTCACACAAGGAAGTGGATACCAAAAGGCAACGGCTAGATCTAGAAATCCGACTGCTTGCCGCGCAGAGGCTGCCCGTCCCGGCCGACAAAGATCTCTCGTATGGTCCCAGAATGAAACCATACGTCAAAATGCAACTACACGTCGATTCACTTTGCACTCCTGACCGCAGCAAAGATTCGGACCGGTTGGGCGAAGCCAAAGACGAAGTCGAACCCCGTGGCGGTGAAGATGTCGACTCCAGCTCTTTCAAACGCAGGTCTGCCGATTCCCGTACCGATTCTCCTGATTTCCGAGGGGAGGTAATGAGCTGGCTGGGTATGTCAGATGTCCTCCAAGAATTGAGCTTCATTCGGTACGTACTTTTTTGCTTATGTCTTTCCGATATCTCTTGGTTCAATTGCAAAATTGTTTTTGTTCCTGGGCAGGAGACCTGCCCAGTTCGACACTTCATGCCACTCTCTGTGGTGGCGAGAGTGCCAGAGGCTCACTCTCTTCACCGCATGTCTTTTCCTGGTCGTGCACTGCTCTTCTTGTACGCCCTTGGTGCTGTTCTCTACCGGCGCTCGTCCGGGTTTCCTGCGAGGGTCTCATTGCACGTTTCGATATTCAGCGCATGAAGCAGCAAAATTACAAAGACTTTGTCGGTGGTTGGCAGGCCGGCTTGTTAAATTACGGCTAGCCACCTTGCATTCATGGCAAAGAAAACGACTAGCAATATGAGCCTAATCAAAGGCTCGAGCTGCGCGTCGCTGCAGATGCAGGACGAGGAATGACTGCAGGAATGTGTGACACGCATGCGATCTTCATGTACGATCGTGTTACACGAGATTTTTGACTTTCGCCTGCCCACCCTGGTCCCACGCCGTGCATATGTGACAGGTCATATTGTGGCTTGCTCGCGTTGCAGAGAACTTGAGCCTTTTCTGACTGGGTGCATAGACTAAAAGTTATGGACGACCGCTCGATGGGCAAAGACAACCTATTGGCATGGGCCTGCATTCGACTCGACCGCCTCCAGCAAGGGTATCGATTCATCCACTTGCTCGATTCGTCCGGCTACCCATCACGCGGTGCATTGCTTGTTCAAGTGTCTAAGCGCACGACTTGAGTGGCCGGATGAGATGTGGAACCCCCTGGTTGGTCTTCCCCGCTCGGGCACAAAAGTCCTCCTAGGAATTCTCCCACCGCTGCTGAACACCATATCCCACGTTTTGGTTTGGTAGGGGAGACATCTGACCTCGAAGAGGTGTGAATGGATTCCACTTGTATTGTCATTTGCAGAGCAACATGCATTGGAACTCATCTTCACTCCCCACCTCGTGCTCAGGGTGACGAGTGCGAGCTACCCCTGGGTCTCCAGGAATAGATCACAGCATTTTGCGATTGGCAGCCAATGAAACGTATAGGACGAACTGCAAGGGTCTTGGTCCACGATTCTGCTGTTAGCGCTGATTTCGACGTCCCTTGGCCCAGCAAGGCCGGGCTTTCCTGGAGCATGGTTGTGCTCCTTGGAGAGGAGATTCGACTATTTGCCCTCATTTAATGCGTCACAAACTTGGCCCCTGGGTCCCCAACACTTTGTGCACAGTCCCACAATGAGTACGCCTCGACTGGTCCACAGATACCAGGCACGGCCTGTTGCAGCGCCTGCGCAGGTGGACCTCTCCTTGATGTTGCTACGAGTACGGTCTCGATGCCGTGCACAGACTTCGAAAACAGGTCAAGCTAATCGGGATGGCATGACCATCCTAGAGACTTCACAGGCTGTCGTTTTCTAGGAGTTGTTTTCCGTACCATTGGAATGCCCTACTGGGTGACAGGACCGGCGGGACCGTCCCTGCCTGATCTGTCGTCGCGCATGTGGCAAGTTCATAATTTCCCATTCAGACACATTTGGAAAGTAGGCTGGTACCTTTCAACTCAAACGTGCCGGTTTGAACAGTGACCCCTGGCACGTCTGGTAAGACTCCTGCATGCTTGAGGTTCGAGAAACACGACTTGTCAACACAGCCGGCAGAGCTTCGTTTCCACACCTCGCACGGGCTCTGGTGAGGGTATAGAGTCAGAAGACTCTGACAGGCCCAGGTTAGAACGACCAAATGTTCAGGCAACATGCATCTTGCGGGGGGATCGAGCTCCTCCTGAAAGTCCTTGGGGTATTCCCAATTCCAGGGAAGGATAAGGCCAGGTTTCGGAGTCGTTCTGTGCGCCAGAGGATATATAAACAAGTCACCACTCCAGCATCAGGTCCACATCTCACTGGTGCAACCTCAGTGCGACTCCAAGGTGTAAGTCTAAAGACCGAGGCCTATATACCCTAACTGGCCTCTTCAATACTTCGTCCTTGAAACACACATCATGGAGTCCACAACATTAAACATTGACAACACTCTAAGCTCCGAATGGGAGGCGGCACATCCCAAGGTCCGGCCCGATGGGTGTCCGAATGTTCTCAGTAGACCGGTAAGTCCAATCAATGGAAAACATTGCCTGAGCAAGGAGCTGATGAGCTCGAGGGGAAGATGAATGGAGTACGCTGCCCTCGTTGTTTGGCCAACGGAAAAGAAGTCTGGGTCATACCGTGAGTTGCCTTTCTCCTCGAGAGTCTCGGTCCTGTTCGCAGACAGTCCTGCGCTCCGGCCACGGCGCAAAATCAGAACAGGCTGACAGTCGCCGCAGTGGGACCCGGTGCCACAAATGCGGCTATCCCTGTGGATAGACGGACTTCAATCCCATTGTCGAATACCAGTATGCTAAAAAGGCTCCTTGTCCGAGGGCGAACCGACTGGTCCGCGGGCTGGATCATAGTGACGTTAGGTGGAAGGGCCCCAATGCTCTGGATGGCAGTAATGGTGCAGCCGTTTCTGTGCGGCGTTGAGGTCGGTATTCATGGGGGGATGCAGGCTTACAACGGGAGGAAGAAGAGAATGGACGAGTCAAAAGACGAGACTTGAGACACACTTCGCATCGGGGGGCTACGTTCTCATATGAGGGGCACCACCGGCTGAGCATCTTCGTGGCATATACTTGTAGAATCAGGATTGCGTAGCGGAACCGAATTTCTCTACCAGGCTGCGCCGTTAGTGACGTAAGGAGTCTGACCCGGGATTGGATTGATACTGCTGATACTGGACATGGGGATGAAGCGCCCTCGATCAGACATATCGACGGAGTCCTACGAGTTTAGTATCTGCGTACACAATGGGAATGGTGTCCGGGGGGAGGAGCACAGACGTTCTGTTACGAGTGGCCGTAGGGGATGGCTCCGTCGCCCTAAAAGTCCCTCAGCGCGAGTCTATAAAATGATTAATGCATCACGGATGGGACGGCTGCAAATCCCTGGCAAGGGGAGCGTGGTAGGGACGGATGGCGACCACCTACGAGTGTTGTCTTGTGGTCCCTAGGTATGGCCTCGATGGATGAGCCGGGATATACCTGTGCGCCAATGTACCTAGGTACCTGTCCAAAGCACTTGAGCGGGAGCCCGATTCCGCCTAGCCTTTAGCGGGAATAAGAGCCAATCAGAGCAGACGCAAGCTGATTGGCACGGACCCCACCTCAAAAGCCAAGTTTCAGTTCGCACGCAGCTCGGTATCTACGTCGTAGGGCATGCAGCCATCCTCTTCCCCCTCGATAGGACAAACACTTAGCCCTTGACTCGGGGATAGCACAGATCCAGGAAGACCATCTTGTCACCCATCGACAACGCAACACCCACTTTGGCAGTCGCACACCGGTGCAGAGTCTGCTCAGATTGCTGCTCCCACATCCATCAGAACCCACCATTTCAGCTTCGGTCATCGCATCATTGGAGGTCGTTTGCCTCACTCGCTGCTTGGCAAGGCTTCAACCACGTCCCTACCATCTCCCGCACCCATCTGGCGAGCTGGAATGAAAGTGGTGGAAGCCAATACCTCAAAACGTCAGCTCGGTAGCGAACCGAGGCCGTTTTCCATTCAACCACCCACCACCAGCTTTCCAATTTGAAGGTGCACCACCTGCCCTTCCCTTGATGCGGTCTAGGTAAGGAGCACGCCTTTCAACTCCACTGGTACAGCCTGGCCGACCATTCTTATCGGCAACACGGATCACCTCTGCCGCCCATCGAAAAAGGTAACTGTGTTACCGATCCTTGGCTCGCCCCGGAAAAGACACGTTGGTGGGATTCCCGAGATATCGGCCCTTAGGGCCCTTGTTCGGTCAAGACCCCACATGTCCTCCCAAAGATACGAGCTCTAACATCCATATTCCTGAAAGACGTTCGGGGCTTGCCATGTTATGTCAGGCCACCAAGACCTCGCAACTATGCCTAAGCCAAAAATTGTTCTTTACGCGGAAGCACTGACCCACATCGGGCAACTGACTCTGCATGCTTCACTTCAAACAGAAAAGAACGAGCACACGAAAATCCTGCTCTCCTCAGATAAGAAAGTCATTACCGCCATTCACGATGGGGAATCGTCCAGCATCTATCTCCCGACCCAGATTTCTGGCACGGCTCACGTCACGTTCCCCATTGACAAGAGGACGGAAATATCGACTCGCTTGCAGATAGACGACGTTGGGCAGCTCAAGCCTACGAGTGAGGGACTGAGCGACGTTGAAGCCCCGTGGTCTGCAGTCAGCCTGCAGGGACATAGTTCCATTTACTGCAGCCAATGCGATGCTGCTCTTCTGGTGACGGACAAAGTCACGACCTGGAAAGATTTGCCAAGCGAAAACTGGGCCGAGTTGATGGACTTTTGGTTCTGCCATAAGCCTCACAACAAGCACTCTCCTCATGATCATGCAGCCGCCAGCAACCTCTCTGCAAAGGGTAAAGTCACTCCCTCTCCCGGCGTGGGTTTAGTGGATACGGTTTCTTTCCTGTTGTGCGCAGAAGATTGTGCAAGCATTGAGGTAAGTCGGACCGCAGCTGAACCTCTGTCAGAACAAGCCGCACACGCTATCGGCGCAAAGAAAGAAGCTTTTCAGGTGTCTAGCCATGAGTCCATTGATTTAGTTTCTGATACATCCGCCGGACATCAAGTCTATGATCGGTGATTTGGTGGCAGACTCAACCTCCTGTTAGTGATGGATGATCTGCCGCCATGGACCAAGACAACATGCCTCCTCATTTCACCTTTGCGCGTTTACAGTGGCATTGCGCGAAGGGATATGCGTGAGGTACATTCCGACTGACCCTCCTTCAGGTGACCAAGGACCCCACAAAGGAAGGCGTCGATATCCTTCGATGTGTTTCTTGCAAAAGCAGCCTCGGATCTGGTGCAGAGGACGAGAAAAGCTGCCGCCTCTATAAGTCCAGGCTGGCAGTGATCCCAGAACCAGGTCAAGCTCCGGAAAGATTTCCCGCGGCTGTCTTCCTGACCGCGCAGCTACTGTCCCTAATTGGGAGCTCGGTGAATCGCAGAGTTGTCGTCCACGACGACAAGCAATCTGACTCCGAGCACGATCGTCCAGGTCTTCTCCTTTGGATCTTCAACCCTGATATCTACTATTCCAGCAGCAAACGTGGACCGACAGCACACCGCGCTATGAAGGTATTCTATAAATCTCTTCCTCACCCGGAGGAGTTTCTGGACGGTGCCGGTTCAAACTGCGAAGAGCTTGTTGTTCCCAACGAGGATTTTTGTGAATTCGAGCAGACCTTGAAAGAAAGCACAGATATCCTCCCTCCATCGGCGCGAAAATTCCAGGACTGGGACGTCGGTCTTCTGGACCGGTGGGAAAAGAATGCGACAGGTTCCGCCAAAATGGACGAAAACCCATTGAATAAGAAAGTGGAAGAAGGATTCGAACTGTTCAAGTTGCCTGCCGGAATGCAGGAACTTTATCTCTAAGATCTCCATCTAGGACGCCGGACGCCCGCACCGACCCTCACAATGGGTGTTCCTACCGTCCGATAAAGATCTGATATCGGCCAAAATAGCTCTGGATGCCGTCCACCTTATGAATGTCGGGCGGATGCGCCCAGGTATAGTGCTGCTTCGACATCACGAATTGCAGAAGTTGGACAGCTTCAACGTCCAAAGAGCGAAAAAGAGTTACTGGCATTCGGTGCAGAACAATATGCCATGTTACGGCTCATCTATCTTCGGCCTGGTGCTATTATTGACGGCAGCAATAGCCTCGGGTCGCCTGCCGGCATTTGGTGAGGCGTGCCTGTGTCGACTCCTGCACAATGGCAAGATGGCATATTCGACAAATGCCGTGGAGCTGGCAGCTGCGGTTTCTTGCTGCAGTGCAAAAAGTAGTGCGCCTGGTTTCGCACGCATTCTGCGGCTGGCTTGTAAGCTTCCCTTTCCCCACCAATTGATAGCGCGAAAGCGACTGCTGGGCATTCAAGGACCTTTACATGGACGCGGAGTGTTGGAAACCCATATGCTGCCCTGGTGACCGATCATCTGTCACAATATGATGATACGGCGGCTGAGAACTGCGTCACTGAGCCATTCTCTCGGCGTATCTGGTCTGCTGAGCAAAACACTGGCCTGCTGTGTGGAATGATTATGCGCAACCCGAACACAGATTATCTTGTTACGCAAATGATATATAGAGCTTCACTGTCCGGGACTACAAGACACGTTGGGTCAACATGACTGTGTTTATCGGATCATGCATCTAACACCCTAGTTGGCCTGGGCGTGGGCTGCTTGGCGAAAATGAGCCTCATTGTACCACACACGCCTCACTCTACATAATTGCTTTTGTAACGCTAACGCAACACTGTCTCGACCTCACGGTGAGCATTACTTGATGTTGCCCAGTTCCAGTTAATATGCGATGCCCTGTTTGAGCTTTTCCTGCGTGCCTGGAAAGCAGTCGGCAAACCTACTCCTTTTGAACATCCTGCTCTAGACCAATTACGGATTTGCAGCTTGGCCATCTCGACATCACGGTCCGCAGAAAGCTCAATTGGAGCTCGCTACCGTCCTCAGCCTTCTTCGTCCACAACTCGGAAGCTCCCCTTCACCATGAGTGCCCTCAGACTGTCCCGAGCAGCGCTACGCGCCAGGTCTGCCGTTGTCCTCAAACCGATCCAACGAAGAGGGTATGCCGACGCCGTCTCCGACAAAATAAAGCTCTCCCTGGCTCTTCCTCACCAGGTACGTTCCCCCACGATGCGCTGGCCTGCGAAGCAAGAAGCGTGGAGGCACACTTTGGCTTGAAGAATTGAACTGATAATGTGGTCGATATCTAGTCCATCTATTCCTCACAAGACGTGTATGTTGCCCAGCGGCTTCGGAACTCGAGAATCTCCATTCGAATCCTCGTTAAGGTCCGAGCTGACACTACACCTACAGTGTACAAGTGAACATTCCTGCCGAGTCCGGAGAAATGGGTATCCTTGCCCAGCACGTTCCCTCCATTGAGCAGTTGAAGCCGGGCTTGATCGAAATCATCGAGGAGAGCGGTGGGAGCAAGCAATTTTTCCGTACGTTCCACTTCTGGAGGGAGAGGGTCCGCAACATGGGATATGAGCATCAATGGCTGACACCGAATGATTTGCTGCCAGTTTCGGGAGGTTTCGCCGTCGTCCAACCGGATTCGGTGCTGAGCATAAACGCCGTGGAAGGGTTCCCCCTGGAGGACTTCAGCGAAGAGGCGGTCAAGTCACAAATAGCAGAGGCCCAGAAGATTGCCAGTGGAAGCGGAAGCGAGCAAGACATCGCGGAGGCCAAGATTGAGCTCGAGGTGAGAAAATATACAATTGGCTTACAGGTGAGGTACTGACTGCCTTTCACAGGTTCTCGAATCATTGCAGGCGGCAATGAAATAAGAATTTGGCTCACTACGCTTTGTACATATAGAGTAAGGCAGAAGGATAACCAAAAGGAGTGCTCTCCGAGTCTCAGATGACTTGAATTGATCCATTCTGCACGCGCTGCTTGATTTCGTGCCCTTCTCTTTCTCTACCATGTTTGAGTGCGGAGCTTATTCTGCTCTTGCCCTGCGAAGACCACCAGAGCATGATGCCCTTCAAGTTCGGTGTACATCTCATCTGAAAATCCTGGTTGATGTGGTTCCTGCTCCTGCCATATCGGAGCTTGGTTTCCTGCGCTAGAACCTCTGGTCAGGAACGATCCTTTCCTTCCTCTCTTCTCTCAGGGTACGTTCATATTCTTAGCTGGGATTATCATTTACTTCTTCCCTCAAAGCGTTGCGGTCACCATAATAGGTCCCTTATCAACATAGCTGCCCTACTCATCTCCGAACATGGATAGCTCGCACAGGTCTGTTCTGTCGTCTCGCCTCGCTGGCCACCTTGCTAATGAATCTGCAGTCCACAAAATGGCACAGTGGCCAACCGTATTCGAGTCTTCCAGGACGTCCAGCAACTCCAGACACAGATCCCCTCCTTCACTCTCCCTCCTCGCGCCCTCCGCGAGGCCAGAGACGCCAGTCTGTTCTCTGGCCAAGGGCGAAGCCGAGTCTCCAAGTTTACCCCTCCAGCCGGGCGAGTATCCATGGATGGCAACGAAGGTATCGGAGGAGATGGCCGTCCTTCCGGGGCCTCCCAAGGAGACAGGCACGAGATCGTTCCTGTACGGCCTTTCACCAGCATGGACGGACCTGGCGACGAAAAACCTTCTGTCCACTGGCCGGCTCTGCGCCAAGTCGGTCATCAACTCCGCCGCCAACATCGCTCCATGGAGAACGTTGCAGATGATCCTGCGCTGGAGATTGCCATGGCTAGATCTCGACTTCGTTCCGTGGCTCCCACGCAAGCCACTGTCCAGGAAGAGCCATCACGGGGCCGTTCTTACACGATGGACGAGTTGAATACCATGTTGGATGATGCGATCAAGAATAGCTCACCCCAACCCGAAGTCACTTCCAGCGAGCAGCCCGTCAATCTCGCCCCAAAGCCCGGTTTTGTCCTTCGTCGAGCATCCACCCGGCAAGCTCGTCGTCCATCGCAGCGTCGTCCTCGGTCCCGTGGCGTCAGCACCGAATCTGTTGCGCCTCGTAGCAGTGAGGAATCGACGAGAGTAGCTTACGAGGGGGAAAAGGAGACAGAGCAGCCAAGACAACACGACATGAGCAGCAAACAACCTCAGAAGCCAGTGTCTCCTGCTGCTCCGTGGTCGAAACCACCTGCAGACCCAGCTGGAAGTCCTGTCAAGCAAAGAGCTGCCATGTTTGAGAGCCTCAACAGAAAGCCCACCGGTCATGAACAAGTTTGTCAACATTTTGGGCACGAACATGAGCCATCACATCAGCATCAGCACCGCCCTACTAAGAAGATCCACCGTATCAAGTTTGGAGACACGATTGAAGAGAGGCCAGGCACTCCCTTGATTCCCCTGACATTGCCGACCCTCGTCTCGCAAGAAAAGACCAGCAGACCTCCGAGCAGCATGAAACAAGAGCCTGTTGCCTCTGAACTTCCCTACCCTATTGAAGAAGAGACGGCAAGCGACGATGTTTTCAAGGAAGGGAGGAAGCCTTCAATAAGCTGGCCTTTCCGATGGAGCATTTTTAAAAAGGGAGCCTCTGCACCAGCTCAGGAGACCGACACGCCTGCCGTTGATGCAGGGACAAAGGACGAACATTATCCCACCACTCGACCTAGTATCGTGAGGAGCAAAGTTCAGGATCTGCTGCAGGCTGCAAATGAGAAAGACGATGCAGAGCAGCGACGGCGAAATGCGGAGAGAGATCGTCTCAGTCGAAGACCAACTCGAGCTGAAACCCCAAGAAGGCAGACCGAAGCAAATCGCGACGAGACAAGACAGGAGAAAATGGTTGATCCGAAGCCAGAAACTCCAGGGAAGGAGCTCATCCAGAAGATGCCCACAGAAACAGACGATAAAAAGCCACCCCCTAGGACTCCTCTTCAACGTGCCATGTCGGAAAAACAGGTCCTAGCACCACCCACGCGGGCTGATCAAGAAGGTGAATCAGGATCAAGCCCGCGGAAGCCTCCGCCTCAGACTCCCATTCGTGGAAGGTCCATCTCCACCCATCGGCCCTCATTTGGGGAACAAAAGCGCGCTGTCCAGCAGCAGTTCAGTCTGAGTCCTGGCCCAAGCCGCAACGGTTCAAAACAACGTCAGGGTGTCAAGGTTGAGGTCGAGATTCGTGACAGCCCCGAGCGCGAGGCTAGAGAGAGGGGGGACAAGATTGTGATCATCAGGGCAGATGTTTCAGAGGTGGATGGGGGAGGTGCTGGGTCACCTATTTGGGAGTCAGCAGATTGACACGACCTTTACCAAGACGTAAAGCTTCCGGCTGATGAACCAGGGTAGCAAGTTTACATAGGATAAGTGGGATTGGCGTGGATGCTGCTAGGCCAGAAGGAAAGGAGGGAAGTTATTGTCTGTTCGGTATGGGTATAATTATGTCTTAACAAGCGTAGGTGGCATACTCTCAAGCAGCGTTCAACATAGACGATGGGACTGGCAGAGCCATGGTCAGATTGATATCGGTTGATCCAAAGAGCTTCTCAGCTGCAAGGACATATCGCTACGTTGTCCTGTTGAGCGAGGCAAACAGTACGATATATATCATGACAAGCTCAACAACGCATGTGGAGTACATTTGACTTCCACCAGCATTTACTAGAAGGGATCCCTCTCCTTCTCCCCTACCTACCCCACCCGTCCAGTCCAGTCGAGTCGGGCCCAGTCCAGTCCTATTCGCCGAGTAGTTTCTTGAGGTCCGGACGCTGGTTGATCTCGTCAATCATGTCGCGGAAGTTGTCGTCGTCGTGGTCGTACGCCTGCGCGCGGAAGAAGGGCATGTTGTCGCGGAGCCAGGAGGATTCGTTGCCGGCCTTTGCATGCATGCGTGAGCAAGGTAAGTAACCAGGGCAAGAAGAGTTTGAGAAGAAGAAGAGAAAGAGAATGGAAATGGAAAAGTAGAGAGAATAAAGAAAGGGGGGTTGGTTGGAACCAGCTTCCGCTATTACCACACTCGTGCTGGGTGTAATCACTTACATCCGGAATGGTCACGCCATTCTCCCTCGCGGCGACCATGGGGTAAAAGACGATAAAGTGCATCCTTTTCGCCGCCTTTTCGACCTTGTTATCCTTTCCCTTTCCCGGCGGCGGTCCGAGCACGGTGGCGTCCCACTCGGCCTCAAGCTTGGCCGCGAGGTCGTCGAAGACGGCCTTGGTGCGCGCCGGCGATGTGCGGACCATGGCGAGCAACCGGTTCGGGCCCGCGTGGTTGTGCGGCACGGGGTTGCCGGCTAGGAAGTACGTGTTGTCTTCGTCGTCGACATCGACATCTTCGTTGGCGGTTGATGTGGCGGCGGCGGCGGCGTGGCGTGGGGATGATGCCTGCAGGCGGTGGAAACTGACGTTGACGAAGAGCGAGGGGGTCAGGAACGTCGTCGAGTGGAGCCGCGTGATGGCTTGGGCGAAGTGGTGCTTTTGGCTGCGTGTGAGGGGGTAGGTGTGTTGGATCTATACACCCGTTTAGTGTCAACCACAAGTGTCAAGGGGGTTTGTTGGTGTGAGTTAGGTATATGAGCAAAAAGTAATGGAGAGAGAGAGAGAGAGAGTAGTCATTGCATGGGACATATGGGATAGGAGCTCACCTCGTAGAAAGGCATCTTGATATACCTGGTATATATATATCTTGCCTCTTTCTCCCGACTTGATATCAGAAGTGATAGGTAGTTCAGGTACCGATCGGGATGAGTACTCCCTACAGATACTCTAGAGGGGAGTACCTCGCAGTGTACTTTGTACAAAGTACGTTTGAATGTCTTGCTGTTCTGTACGGAGGAGGCGACGAACGATGCTTTGAGACAGAGATATAGAACGATGTATACACGAACAGAGAGGTGTGGGGGAAGAGAGCTGGTTAGATATAAAAGAAGAAGCAAGGAAAACTGGAGCAGTGCATTACGAGAAATACTAACTCACAGACAGACAGACATACATACCTTATATACTCCGGACAAGCCTTTGCACTGTAGGTGCGTTATATGTTAACTGCGTATTCTCCACCTTCACTGAATATTAATCAAGGACATCTGTCATCCGCATCTCTACTTGGATCGGATTGGAGAGAATGCCATGGTGTACTGGCGACGATGCATGGGGTAGGCGGGAATGCATCAGCCCATTCGCCCTCTTGCCCAAGCACTCCGCAATCCCGCCTTGCCCTCCATACATCCATCCTCTGGCGCCGAGGGAAGCTGGGGGGAGGCGGGGACAACGTGGGTTACACTTCGCAGATATCTCGGGAAGTCGTATCGAGAGTATGATGTGGTTTGTAGTATGCCTCAAGCAGTCACCGCGGGCAGGAATGGTAAGGAAAATATTGACATGATCACTAAAGAACTCATGCCTTCAGCTTTGTGGCTTCATCTTCCCTCTATCAAGGCCAGCAGGATTGCACTCAGGAAAGGCAGTGAACTTGCTTGATCACTCCATTAACATGGCACACAGAATATGGTGCAGGAAGCCGCCATCTGAAATTGTGACTCGCTCACGATCGATGACAGCAAACTCTTCTCAACAGGGCCCCTACATGAAATCCCCTTGCTGTTGTCCACAGGGCCCGACATGAAATCCCGACAAGATTTGCGCCAAACTCCCACCACCCAGTTATTACACTCAGACAACAATGCTCTCTTGTCTCACACAGATCAAACTGTCACATGTCGTTGCGACCGCCATTGTTTCCTCTCTTTAGCTGCATCTTGTTCTTCTTGATATGGCGCGTATACCAAAATCCAACTCTTGAACGTCGGTCACACTGCTGCTTCCTGTTTGCCCTCATTCTTCTCCAGCTCTTCGACAACATCTGAATACCCCTTTGATCGCATTTGCAGAGACAGGAGTGGTGACCAAAGCACACAGGATGCCGAAGAATACGAATATTCCAAGCGCAATGTATATCCCCGTGGTGTAGGCAGAGGACGGTGGTGGGTTGAGGTTGTTCACAGTGGAGGACGCCGACGTCGCTGAAGAAAGGTAAGATACAGTGGAGCTAGGCGACGGGAATGACGAAGGCGATGTGATGATGGTGGTCATAGACAGAGATGTCGCCAGCAGAGACGAGGTAAACGACGGTGATGGAGGAGTCGGGCTTGACGTGTCGGCCGTTGTCGAGCTTGCACCGGCGCTGAGATCGATCTCATTCACGGTCCATAGTGACGGGCCTGGGTGTTGGGAATCTTCACTTCGCCATTGGACGCTCGGGGTTTGCATTGGCAAACCGTCGGTGGTGTTGGACAGGGAAAGAGTTATGGTGTCCATGATGTCCACAGCTGTTCTGGTGAACCAGGATCTGGTGTTTGACTCTACGGCCGTCGCGATGACGCGGTGACTGGAAGGGGGAAATGGAGGATGGGTCAAGGAGCAGGAGGTCTGGTCGTTGTCCTGCACTTGTGTCAACGCGGTCGCTATCGCGGTCGCCGGGTGGATCGTTAGGGCGACCTCCAAGTTCGCAAGGAAGGCACAGCTTGGCGGAGGAAATATGATGAGGAAGTCGCGTTGTGTGATGTTGTTGAGATTGCCTGATTCTTGACTGCCAATCTGTTTCCGTTCCCAATGAACTCAGTTGGAATTGACGAGCTCAAAGTGAGCACGGTCTGGGTGGACGCGAGGGAGGGAATGACTCTTGCACAACGCGGTACCTTGAATTTGACCGATGGCACAACACTACCTGAGAAATGAGGAGGGGACAGGATTAAACATCAATCAAAATAAAGACCAAGTCGAAGCCAGTGGCTACATGGCAACAGGACAGCAGGTGGTGAGTGAATTGAGGTCATGCGGTTGGGTATCTAGCGATAAGTGAATCGACGCATGAACGCACCCACCAGCCAAGTAGAGGCCCGTTCAATGCGGCCCTTTTGGAACATCGTCGCTTGCATCTTCAATACTGACTGGTTAAACCCGCTCGAGGGATGAATACTAGGCATCCTGCTCGAGAGCGACGTCTGTTGCTGTGGCTGGAGCGGCGGCTTCACGAGACTCGCCACTCTCGCCAGTCTCGCCTTCACCAGTCTGCCCTGTTGGGCCAGGATTTTCCGATATTGCCGGCTCGCCTGAAGCCGGCTGACCCTTGAGAGGAGCCTCGTCTTCGGCATCCATTTGGAGCAAGAAAGTTTCCCACAGTTCGATCAGCTGTTGGCCGTGTTAGCAAATATCCCCTCTTCTTGAGACAACCAGACGTACCTCTTTCTGAGCCTCAACAGCACCCTCCAAAAAGGTCTCCACGCCACTCTTGAAATCTTCCACCTTCTCCCGCTCAAATCTTTCCAGCTCTCCCCTCATTAAACGACCCATATCTTCAAACAACAACCGAGCTTGATGCGCTTTCTTCTCCGCGTCGCTAACGCTGGCACCGACTTCGTTCAGCTTGTCTTGCTGGCTTTTGCCCTGCCGTAGAAGTTTCTCGTGAGCACTTCGCCGTTTGGCCAGTTCACTTTCTGCGGAATGCCACGAATGGAACGCCTTTTGCCGCTGAGCGAAAGCTTGCTTGACACTGCCAATAAGTCTAATATACTCATCCACGGTAATTCCCAAGGTTAAAACATCTTGCTGTGCTTGTCTTTCGTAGAGCTCTCGGATCCTCGTCTGCACGTCCGACAGCCCTAGCAACGGACCGGAGAAGGCGGGGGAGAGGTCGACCTGAGCGAGGCTGTTGACCGACGCGGCGAACTCTCCTGCGGCGGCGGCAAGACCCTTCCGTTGGTCGACAACCGTGTCGACCGCCTTCATAAGCGCCTTCAGCTGGTTTTCTAGGGCGTCAAGGTAGACTCTGCGGTCATGGAACCAATCGTCGTGCTCCACGAATTTGCCGCTGGACGAACCGACGTTGATTCCGATAGCACTCAGCATACCCTTATTCTGACCCAGATCCGGTTCTCGGTTCTCCTTGTTCTTGACGTCAATGTTGAAAGCATCACTTTCGAGGAAGATCTTGAGATCGGCGTCGTGATGGAGGATGGGATGAGCGGCAATCTTGTTGAGCATCCGCTCCAACGCCTGACGTCTTGACTCGACAAACTCGCTATCAAATCTACCCACGGCTTGCTTTTCGGGAGGTGGAGGGATGACCACGCCAGGGTTGTTGTTGTGCAATACGTTATAGAGCCAAAGAAAATCCCGATACCGACGTGTTACGGTAAACTCGGGCTGTTTGTATGCTTTTGAGGTTGTCTGCAACCGTCAGCACCCGTAGCAAGCGCCTAATCCGATTTACATACCTTTGTGTGAACTGAGTAGACAATGTGACTGCTGGTCAAATCCCCGACCTTGTGAGGATCGCCCACCAGGATCTCGAAGCTCGGTTTGGCGGCCTGTTCCACGCTCACACTGGATGGGGTTTGTCGGATCGCAGGAGCGCTGGTCTGTGGCTGCACCGGCGGGGGACCCTTGGGTCTTCCGACAGGAAGAGTGGTATCTTCATACTCCGGACCGCCCAGACCAGGCGAGGTCGCAGAAGGCTGTCGGTTCACTCTTGCTGTGAGCTCTTTCCTCGGCGGCGTCGGCGCCTGATCTACAGAAATGGAAGATGCCGCTGGAGCTGGATCTGCTCCCAAGGGCCCGAGAGGATCTAAGGAATCATCCACAGCTTCGAGCTTGGTCGGTTGTACTTCGATCTTGCGGGCTGGGATTTTTCGAGACGAAGGAGGACGCGGTCCGGAAGAGGTCTGTTTCGTGGAAGGGGGGGCTAAATTTCAGATGAGCATGTTGAGCTCAGCCAGAAATCAAGAGTATATCCATACTGTCATTTGGTTTGGCCGAGCTGGCCAAATCCTGCGCATTCGCATTTTCTGACGGCGACTGAGATGGAACGTCTACCCAAACCGGTCAGCGTAATCAGCAACAGCATACCCAAGAAGCAATCGCCTACCACCCCACGGTGAGTCATCCATCTTTGCAGATATAGAGCGTAGAGAAGGAGACGTAAAATCGCTGTAGATCGACGAGGTGGTTATTGCCTGGACCTTTGCAATGCGGAGGAAAGCCAAATTCGCCAATTCCCCGGACTCACGTGTGATTCGGATGCAGGCTTGCCACTGCGGGCCTTCTGTTTTCTACCTAACAAGCTGGTACCTACAATTCATAGCCATTGTGACTTTGCGTCCGAAGAGGACGAGAATAGTATGCTTGGGCTATATCAGCAACAACATGTTGTGATTGTTTTAACAACTTCGGTCGCGAAATATGGCAGATCCATCGGTGTGCTACGTTATCCAGCATATTCCTCGTGATTGTACAAGTATACAGCACCGCTGCTTCGGACTGAGCTCATCTCTTGATGGACAAGCTCAACCACATGGTACGCCCCACGGCATAATCCAAGAGGCCTCATGACAAGCAATCTTGTAAGGCTCCGGACCAACGCCAAAAGCGCAATGTGTAGCTAGAAACGCAACTTGATACAATGCCCAGTGTCTACCTGGTCGCTCTTCCGCATGTAATGTACATTGGCCAGTCCGTCTCTGCTGGTCGTTCTTCTATGTGCCGCCAGCTGCAATGCAGAAATGCTCAAAGTACATGCACAAGCTGAAGCTGGTCCTACTTTTTCCCACTCTTTTTCGGCGGCGGCTGCGCGTTTTGTGGACTGCTTTCCTGGCCGAATGAGCTGACAAAGTCCAATAGGTTCATGTCATCCTCGGCAAACACGTTCTGCTCCTCCTCAAACGACGGTTCCTTTGCAGGGGCTGCTCTGCTCCCTGACGGGGGAGGAAGGTTTGTGGTAGGGTCTGCGGGGGAGGTTGCGGCGACCTCGTCGGTCTTCCTTGCTGTCTTTGAACTATCGAAGCTGGTGCCGAATCGGGCTCGGAAGCTTGCCAGCCTTCCTGACTCATCGTCTTCGACATTCAGAAGCTCCTTCGAGGTAGGGTTCCACAAGGGAGAATTTCTGGTGTCGCGGGTCGATCTGTACACCGGTATAGGAGATGTGGTCCGCATCGTGAAAGCACTACCGTCAGAGAGTGTGACTAGTTGAGTGAATGTGTATGGTCGTTTCGGTCGCTTTATGAGTCGCGCGTGCCGACATGCTTGACAGACATAGGTGGTAGAGGTGGTGGCCGAGGGTAAACTGGGTAGCGAATTAGGTCGCAGGCAGGGGCGGAGGGCGACCGACATTGTGGTCGTTAGGTGTGCTCTTGACGGATGAAATTGACAAGTAAGGTGTCAGTCAAGCAATTGATTTTCCTCGCTTTACAAATTAGTGACGGTGTTCGTACTCGACATTCGACGATATACTATTTCGTGAAAAGAGGTCGATTGGAACAACGATCAGTAGCACAAAGATTTCCGCCAAAGTCGGGGAAAACTGCAGAGCACTCACCCTCTTCCGGCATAGGGTGATGCCGCCCTATGCTCCACCCCAGCTCGCGCGAGCCGCGGAAGTTAGGACTGGCACTATCGCCTCGGCTTGAGATGGTGCGACGCTGACGGAAGGTCGGTGCACAGCACATCCCCTGAGGGTCTTGATGATTGGACTTCCTCAAGACCCCTGCAGCAAGTAGGGACGTGTCCCATTATCGACCTCCCAGGCGTATATTGAGTATATTTGTAGTAGAGGTTGTCCCTAGGAGACCTAAGGTACCAAGAGGAAACTCTGGGGGCAGTCGGACGACGAGCTCCCACCTCCACACGGTTTCCCCTAGGCACTCTCAGAGAAACAGTCGAGCTGGCTCGGAGTGCCACGAGGAGCTCAACAATCCAGTGATCCTCTCACGTTGACCACGCGTCAGAGCCGCGAACACCACCCTGACGAAACAACCAACATCACAACGGAGATATCACTTTTGACGAATAATCCCAGCCATTTTCTCCGCTTCTAGAAAGTAAGCTATGCCGTCCAGACTGCACACTATACTCCCTGCGTTGATAAACAGGAACTTCAGCCATTTATGCCGGCGCGAATGCGGCGAAGAGAGTCAAAAAGATCGAGTCGAAGCGTATGGATGATCGGCGTTGAGGATCCTGAGGATATCGGAATGGAAAGCATTGACGAAGAGGAGAATCTGCATAGCTGGGATGGGGTCGGATGCAAATTGCAGCCTCGGCGTTGGCATGTTGTGTCTTTGGCTCTTGGCTATCTTGTTTCGCACCGAAGATCCCGGCGAACTTATCATGCCCAAGATGTTGCGGGTAGGGGTGCAACTTGTCGTCGCAATAATTTTGGTCCTGTTGCTTTTGGTGGACGACGACCACTTTGATGCCGTCCAGTTGCTCAGTACTGTAATGGGCTTGTTTTGTTTTGTCACGGTATGGGAGACCGTTGGCGGATTAATGAGAGGCTCAAAGGTATACAAAAATGGGAAAGGGAGGAATTTGCAGTCTTTGAAGGTTTGATTCGGCATTCTTTCTTACCATGGACCTCAGTATCGAATATGATCAGGTCTATGCTTCGTGCTTGTAGGACAAAGTTTGCAGGTTTTCTCTCAAGTGTACTTGCTTCGCCAAAGGACCAAATGTCTCCGCAATGTCATCTCACAACTATCCCCTGATCCTGGCAAAGTCTCTTCATGAATGGCCCGTCTACAGGTTCACCCTTTGATGAATATGTGAAATTGTGCAAGTTGGACAAGTAGATCCTCATAGCTGAGGACAAATGTGTCATTCTTCTGGATGTGACCGATGTCTCGCCGAGGCCGGAGCCTGGTGAACCTTGAATGAGTTGATCGAGCAGCTTGACACTGTGCAGCGTGGCAGTGACTAAGCAGTATCGTTGATGTTGACAATGACCAGTAGCTTTGATCTCGTCGAGCTCCAGCAAAGAAGTATAACAAATGGTGTCTTGGTTTAGACCCCTCGCTCACCGTAAAGATCTGTAGCTAGGGTAAAAAAGTAGAATAGTTCCGCGCGCCTTTTCTTCCCTGAGACAGGTCACCGCCAGCTGTGCCCTGCAGACTATGTCAGAATATCGAGGTCCCTTTTCCCCTTTCCCTTTCCCTTTTCTCTTTTCCCCTTCTGCTTGTCTGCTATTGGCTCGGAGATTTGACCAATGGTAATGATCAAAAAGTTCATAATCCTATTGGCTTGGGAGTGAGACTAATGGGAATGACAAGAGTATGTCCAATCCTATTGGCTCGGCGTGCTTTACCCCTTCCGAATGAAGACGACAACCGACGGAAATGGAATGAGCATTCTGGGTCTCCAAAAGGTTGACCATGTTACAGACCATAAGCCTAGGAAACAGAAGTGGGCCCCCTTTTAGTCTAACATCGGTACAGCGGTATTCTGATGTCTTTGCAGATCTCGAGCAACTACTGTGTCGTATCTAGATTGGAATCACGGCAGCTTCAACGGATGTTGGCCAAGGTACTCCTCAAACGTAGTCAAGCTGCCCCTCGCCTGCTTGGCCGTGTTCTCGACCATCTCTTCCGTGCCCGGTCCATAATATCCGTACTCTCTGTAATACATCATCATCTCCACCAGCTCAGCCGCATGGCCAGGCGGCAGGGCATTGCGCATCGTCTCCTCGGGTATCTGCTTGTAGATGACCGTCTTCCCCGTGGCCTGGCTCATGATTCGGGCAATCTGCTCCATGGAGTACAATTTAGTGGCTGCCCGGAGAACCTGGCCCTGAAATTTGTCCGGCGCCGCGAGGATGGCGCCGATGAACTTGCCCGTGTCTCCGACCACGTCCAACAGCGGGACCTGGGTCGTCGGTTTGAGGACGTTGGAAAGCTGATAGGTCCCGTCGCCGACTGGCCGAGGAGCGATGATGGCCTGGAAGTTCTGCATGAAGAAGCCCGGCGCGAAGAATGCGGATTTGATGGACAACCCGCGTGTGTAGGCTTCCACGTCGGCTTTCGCCTCGAAGTGGGTCACCTGGGTGAAGACATTATGGCTGATTTTCGCGATGCTGGGGAGCGTGCTCCAGATGAAAAATTGCACCCCCTCGGACACCGCGCTGTCGGCGATTGCCTTGCCCTGTTCACATTCCTGCTCCCTGGATAACCCTTCAAAGGGGCTCGTCATGGCGAAGACGGTGTGAGCTCCGCGCAGAGCAGGTCGTAGGGTCTCGGTTTTGGCGAGATCTCCGCTGACCACTTCCACGCCCTTGTCTCGTAGGGAGCGCGCCCCAGGCTTGGAAGTGTCTCGAGTGATGGCGCGGATCTTGTATTCTTTCGCGAGCTCCGCGTCGTTGAGGACGTACTCGATCACCGAGCCGCCTTGCTGGCCAGTGGCGCCAAAGACCACGAGCAGCTTGCTCATGTCGCCGCTCTGTAAGAAGGAAAGCTCTTCTTGTGTAGAATGTGCGGGGCTCTGGGGTTTTACGGAGTCAGGGACTTCAATTGGCACGTATTTCCATGTCTTCACACAGGTTTTTATCTCTGACAAGAGTGAACGTACCCCGAGACATTTTTTCTTTGCAGAGTCTTGCACCTCCTCCCGAGTGTCCTGTGCCACCTCGTGGGGAAGCCCACCAGAGCAGGGCCGGAAAGTAGGGTCTTGTTGCCGATTGGAAGAGTCCCGACCAAGTCTCCTTTACAGCTGAACTAGAGTAATTGATTGATGCTTCGGCAGAAAAGACCCGGATAGACTAACTAATCGGATCCGTGAATGTGGTCAATTACATCCGGACGATCGAGATGCCGTCAGGGATGTTATTCATTACAGGGTAACGACAACCTTTGTTTCCAGACTGGAAGGCGACCGGAGTCGCAGCAAGTAGTAAGGGCTTAAGTAGGTTCATATCTGTGTACATACAATATATCTTCACATCTTCCTATGTGTTTTCTAAGTCATACAACGAAGTGCCTCCAAAATATCTAATGCGCTCGCGCTGGACACAGTGACAATGGAACAAGTGAAGTCCGAGATCCGCCCACCGGTGCCGACATATCCAATTGAGGACCTCCCAGGCACGCTCCCTCTGGCTCAAGTTGACCAAAATGTCGATCACGAGGCTGCAGCCGTGTCCTTGCTCAAGGACCTAGAGCATCTGAATGCAGACAGTCTTGCGGACAATGCCATGTGGCGAGATGCTTGCTCCATGACCGGCACATTGCGAACATTCAATGGCCCAGAGCAGATCGTCTCCGTTTGGCGGAAGTTATACGCTGAGCGTCGGCCACACGAATTCCAGATTATAATTGGCTCGTCAAAGGTTGTGCAAATGGGCGACGGGTACTCCTGGGTGCAGGCCAAGTTTTCGTTCAAGACCGCCGGTCCGCCGGCGACATTGTCCCAGGGCCAGATCGGCATCGTACCGGACCCCACCTCCACATCTGGATGGCGAATCTGGTTGATAACGACGGTCCTTGAGCAGCTCCAAGGACGTCCCGGGCCTGACCAGCTCCAGGTGGACCCTGTAACCCGGCCGGAAATGAATGGCGGACCCGACGGACAATTTCTCGAGTGTGTCATCATCGGTGCTGGATTCGCCGGGCTCTGCCTCGCCGGTCGACTCAAAGCAATGGGGATAAACCACGTCATTATAGAGCGTAATGCTCGAATCGGCGACAACTGGATAAACCGATACGAATCATGCACATGTAAGATATTATACTTGTCCTCCCTCAAAAGAGGAGCAGTTGAACCCGAGAATGGCTAATCATCCAACCAGATCACACGTCAAAATACTTCAGTACTCCGTTCCTTCACTCGTGACATCGTTGCAATGCATTCTGATGGTCAATTGCAGGCGACCTGCCGTTTGGGAGAATCTTCACAGACGGTGACTACCCTTATTACTTGGGATCCAAAGACCTGGCGCGCGGGTTCCAGGAATACGTGGACAAATTCCACCTGGTATGCTACGCCGGCCAACTTCCAAATCTTAGTCTTCTGTCCGTTGAACTCAGCTAACGCATGGCCGTTATTCAGGACGTTTGGTTATCATCGGAGCTACGTACCGCATCGTTCAACGAAGACGACCAAGATTGGGATCTACAGGTTGCAGCTGGGGGTCGGGTGAAAAATGTCAAGTGTGCCCACCTTGTGTTCGCAATAGGGATAGGCTGGGCGCCGACGATACCGAAACTTGCCAACAGGGTACAGTTCAATACTTTTGTTCCGAGCGAGACAATCTCCGTACAATTAACCGGCATTCGTCTAGGAATTGTTCAAAGGCCGTGTCCTTCATTCTGCGGACTACAAAGCTTCGCATGCGTGGAAAGGGGAGGCTGGCGTCGTTGTCGGCACTGCAAATACCGGTAAAACTGTTGACACGGCCAGGATTGGCATCTCGTGCACGACCGTTACTGATGGCACCTGCAGCTCACGATGTAGCGGCCGATATGGTGGACGCTGGACTTTCCTCGGTCACTATGGTTCAACGATCACGTACACGTATGTATCCCATCTTCTACAAGCCTGTTGGTGAACATGAATTGACGAGGGAAAAAAAAAGCCGTATTTCCAATCGAATATTACCAGAAATGGTCAAACTGTGAGTAACATTTCCTTGTGCCAACAATCAATGAAGGATGGAAGAGAAGCCCCCTCTCTAACATACCTTTTCTACCCCGTCAGCCATATATAACACAAACACCAACCTGCCGGAAGCCGACAGAGACCTGATAACAGTCCCTTTGGCGGTGATCCGTAAAATGAGCCTGATTGGCACAAGGAGGGCTGTGAACCAAGACCACGCACGATTCGACGGATTAGAGAGTGTCGGTTTCCGTGTTGAACGATACTGTGATCTTTGGAAGGCTTTAGGAGAACGACTTGGAGGCCACTATCAAGACGTGGGATGCTCGGCCAAAGTCGCGGCCGGACTGGTATGTATTCTACAATTGTTCCCGTGGTCGGAGATTTTCGTTTGTTTTTTTTTTCAAAAAGGGGGGGGGGGGAGGAAAGACAAGACGAGATTCCCACTAATTTGCCCTCGAACGAGCAGATCAAGGTCAAAAGTGACGCCAAAGCCGTCTCTTACATCAAATCCGGCATCAAGTTTAGCGACGGGAGCACACTGGACGCAGACGTCATTGTCTTCTGTACAGGGTTCGAAACCAATATCAGAAAAGAGGTGGCCAAATTCTTGGGTCCCGAAGTCGCCAATAAACTGGACGATTGTTGGGGAATAGACGACGAAGGCGAGATTCGTGGCGTCTTCAAACCTTCAAGCTGTAAGAGCCTCTGGCTGCCCACGTTTCGCCCCCTTCCCAAAAAAGAAACCTCTCCTGACGATCGTTGCAGGCCAAAATCTCTGGTTCACAGGAGGCGGAGTCCTCCACGCGCGATATTATTCCAGATTCATAGCCTTGCAGATCCAAGCTTCCGTCGTAGGGCAACCTCTGCCGGTGTATACGAAGAAAACAGAATAGATCAAGTTCCGTCAAAGAAACCGTGCGGCGTTTGAAGAATTATTTGAGAGCCAGGGTCATGGCCAAAAGACCATGTATGTTCCAGGAGTAATATCCAGCCTTTTATATACACTGTCACTGTGACTGTCACCCGATTGCGCTACAAGGGATCGACATTTACGCGGTTGTCGTAGGTGGGTTGGCACCTCAAGAACCACGACTGTACCTCCTCGTTGAGCGCACTCATAAGGTTTCGTTTGATCCGTTTTTCAATTCCCCTTAATGTCAACTAGTTCTGTATGAACGGGATATTGAGTTCCGAATCCGTAAAGAAGTCGCTCAGTCCACCAAAAGGATTCCCTTCGAGAGAACTGGGAAACTGCTCTTCTTGCAGTTCGGCGAAACTTCCAAACACGTCTTCGTCCGGAAAGGGCCACGTGGACGACCGGCGCGGCGAAGCCGACGGGAGTTGCTCGTTGTCGGGAGAGATTCGTGGTGTACCCGGTTGGCCAGAAGCCAATGTTTGTACGACCTGCCATATTTCTTGAGTCAGTCGAGATAACTCGGCGATCCATGGGACGCCTTGCATGGCTTGCAAGATGTCCAAAGCATTCCCCAACACTTTGGTCAGACTCTCATTGTGGTCGTGAGCGGGAAGCGTTTTTGCGTAGAGTACCGTGACGACCGCTCCGAACACATAGGTTGCATTGCACCACCTGGAGGCAGTTTGTCAGTATTGGATCTGGAACAACCACGTCTTGGACCTCAGAGCATACCACGTTCGGAAGAACGGTCGATTCAGGAAAGTATCGTACAGAAGTCGAATGATCTGTTTGCAAGCGTCGAGACACGCATCAACGCTCTCTGCGTACGATGCACAGTCGTTCTGACGGACCGCCAACACGAGAAAGGGACGATGGAGAAGTATCCGTGTGTGATGAAAGCCTTTATCCGCTTTTTAGTATGCTGTTTCTACAAGTGTTTTGGCATTGCCCAAAGAGAGGAGGTTGAAAAGGCATAAAGAGAGAGGAGGAGTTCTTACGTAGCTTTGCAATCAACTTTCGCTTCGTGGTGGACTCACTCTCCATCAGAGTCGTCTTGCCCAGGTCGAAAATCGGTAGGATCTTGGCTTTCCATTGCAAGAGGGCGGCTTCGAGCTTTTGTGCAAATTCGAATTTGTGCCTCGGAGAAAGACTGGTCGTGGGATGATAGATGTTGTGGCAGATGATTCTGATAATACGGGCCAATTCAACCATTGACCTTGCCCAGAACGTGTTTGTGGCATCTTCATGCTCATATTTGGCGGGCATCGGATCCTGGCATATCTCAGGTTAGCTTGATCCCTTTCCCCTTGCATATAGACTGAAGAAAATCGACGTACCCCGAACTGAGCCAAAAAAACCGGGTAATGTCCGGGCTCCTGCATGAGAGATTCACGACCTAGAATACAGCTGATCTCTCTGTGGTGGGGATTAGCTGTCAAGCTCGACTTGTCCAATGGCGGAAGATTCGTACATCTCATGATGATAGAGACACCTTTCCAGTCAGCATCTCAAAAGGTAAAAGATTTGACAGGCAGGACGCAGACCTACCACCAAGTCCGGATGGCTTCGACCGACATCATCTGAAGATCCGGCTGGCTGGCACTGCCCATGGCGAGTGCAGTCCTGGCCGCTATGCCACCAAACATGTAGCTTTGGTGAGGAATGAAGGCATACTGGCAGTAAACAGACTGGACAATTTCTATCTTAGTTGTGTGATTCCAAGACCCATAACGTTGCGGGCAGACATACCACCAGAAGCGAGGCTCGGATTACCTCGAGTGACGATGCTCCCATGAGGCTTCCCAGCCGCGCTTTAGCCTCTAGGAAATATTTCCTCGCGAGAGGGAGAGTGAGATGCGGCGGTCTTTCTCTGCCGAGGAAGGGTGAGACGCGACTGCCAGAAGAAGCGTGATGCTGCCTGTACATTTTATCAAGAGCTCGCGTAACGTGGTCTTCAGGCCCGGCTACGAGCGCACCAAGCGCGACCACGATGTCGTACAGCGCGAAGAAGCTCGAGGATTCCTCTTCGAATCTCTGGCGGGTGAGTGCCAGGTGCCGTTTCCATACCTCGGATTCGCAATGGGCCAAAAATGCGTCCATATCCAAACAGAAGTAGATGAGGTGAAGATTGGCAAAGTACGACCGGATACATTCTTTCTCAATCTCGATCGCTGCGGTCCTACTTTCGGCACCGAGTGCCGGATCTCGCTGATAATCTGGTAGACCCAGAAATGATCGAGAACCGTCGCAAGGAAATCGAGCCATCGCTTCGGCTGTCGTGGTGGACGTTCTGAACCAGTCAAACACGGCCGGATTCTCGGCTTCGACAGAGCCAGACCAGCTTGACGTAGCTAAATATCTCCGTGCCGATGGAGATTGACACGGCGCTGTTGCCGCAGGGGTTTGTTTATCGGCGAGGTTCCCATTCTGCATGGACCGGACACGGCTATGCAGTTCTTCGAGGAAGTGGGAGGTTGATGCACAGCCATAAAATTCTGCATGTTGGTCTCGAGTGACGATGGTTCCGTATCCGTTGCATGACTGTACCGTCGTCTGCGACTCGTCTGATCGGGTTAGAAGACATGGCTGACTTGCACCCGTGGACCCATGAGTCGTCCAGATGGATAGATTTGGGGTTGACGTACCATCTTGTGCGACATCACACGCTCGGTCGGTCTCCTCGGGGCCATTTTCTGGACTTTTCGTCGCAGGTCTTGTTTGTCCCGCTTGTTTGGGAATTATATCATGGCCAAGCGAGCCCCGTTCTGCGATTTGACCAGTAAATCTACGGGGAGAGCCATCACGCGTCGATTCGGCTGGTTCCACAGAGCGATCATAAGGCTGTTGCTGAGTGATATGTCTTGTGTCGACATCAGGATCCACGCATGTTCTTTCGACAGCACTGTAAGACACACCTTCGAGAGGGTTTGGACCTGCTGGGGGCAAGGCACCGCAAAGGCCGCTGTGCGGCTTTGTTGCTAGCAGATGGCTTCATTCGATACAGACACTGCATAGAATTCTCTTCATGTGACACCATCATGTTCAGTCCGCGTCATTTTCTCGTCCAAGGAAGAACCACCTTCCACGTACCTATGCAAGCACTGCATGGCTCCCGTTCATCACACTAGGCCAAAAGTGAGCTTAGTTTTGGTGAACCGCGACCTGTTCGGTTTGCCATTGAGCAGTATACCTTTGCCTTTCGTTTCCTGCAAGACTCGCACGCCACCGTAGCCCTCGGGGGCTTTCTGTACTCCATTCGGGAAGAGAGATACCAACAAGATGGTAGGTAAGATGATACTAATCGCTACTGTGAGAAGCTAATTTGTGTCAAGGGCAGGGTCTCAAATGCACTGATTCTGTGATGCGAGAGATCACTCTCGGGCTAGTGCAATAGCCTGGAAAGCTCGTCTCGGCCTCGAAGCAGTAGTGCGCCTTCAAAAAGCCGCGGAGATCGGGGCAAAACCGGGTACCCCACATGTACCTAGTACTTTCGGCATTGGACTTTGTCTTGTACCAACCCGTGCGGGGGGCGGATATAGGCAATGCATGTCAAATTAGCAGAATTCGTTTCATCGCGGTACGAACTCTCAAGCTGAAAACCTTTGTACGATCCGAGGTCATGTGCCCCAGTAAAGCTCGGTGAATTGGTCTTTCGGTCATGGACAATTGCCAAACTCCACCTCATGCGAGAGAAACCGGACCAAATGGGATTCGAGAGGTATTTGCGATTGGACAGCTTTCCGGTGGTACCGACCCACCGTCTCGATTGTTCTTGATCCCGGTCACGGTGTGGAAAATGGAGCTGTCCATGGTACATGTCTTTTATGAAAAACCATCTACACGAATCTTCATCTCCTAAGATTGCGTCTGTATAACTCAACATCTTAGACAAACGGCAGGACCAAAAAGGAGTCGTGTTTGCCCCCAGTATGAACCTCGTGCTCTCCCACATTCTCGTTATTGAGTGACGCCCCAGAGATCCGATCAGTTTCTGGTAAGCTCATGTCGAATCCCGATATGCGTAGTGCGATTCCTTCACCTGGGGCAAAGACCATCCCCATCGGCCACAGCGTGATTTCGAGGGGTACAATTGTCCCTGGCGGAATAGCTTCGCGACGGTCGTGCTTGTAGAAGATCTCTTGATCGGTCGAAAGCTCGTCAACCTTCGTAATTCGATGTGAAGCGCGCAGAATTCCCTGTGGCCCCAGGAACTTGGCTATATTAAGATCAGGGACTTCCTCGATGGGAACCGGGCAAGGATAGTTAAGATGCTGGAGAAGTTTGCCGTCTTTGGAGACCTTGCGGATCTGTACCACCACATCAAGATCGTCGTGGTCCTTACAGGACACCCAAAGTTTGACCTTGGCATAGCCTGCTAACTCGGTGTATTCAGCGAAATGATAAGTGAAGTCCTATGGGATACGTATTAGCAGCCTTGTCTTGGTGGGTTTTTGAAACGAAACTCTCGCAGATAATCTGAAACGTACCGAGATGGATTTGGGATTGGTGCTAGAATGCGAGACCGTGGAGTCCTCCTTGACTGAAAGTTTTTGCAGGGTCATTGTCGAAGCATCAAGGTACAGCTTGGTCAACCTGACCCGAGCCAAAGGCCATTCATGCTCAGGACGTTCACGGACAGTCTGAAGAGCGCCGCCACCAGCTTCGAATCCAAGAAGTGAGAGACGAACTCGTGGAGTGTCACGCTCCCAGCCGTTCTCTATTCCTTTGAGAAATCTGTTGAAGTACTTTTCGAGATCATCCACGATTTCGGGGCGGTATAGATCGTACCATTCGAAGTATGGATGGACACGAAGCCACTTTTCAGGAGTTTTTGCTGTCCGAAACGTATGGAAGGCACTGCGGCTGTGAAGTTGGGACGAATATGATGCGACAAGATAAAGAGGAACATTGATCTTCTCGGTATGGATAAATTTGCTGTCCCAGTAGTCGTCGTAAAAGGGCCGCTTCGCAACCATGGCTGGGAGATTCTCTGCCGAATTGGGTCCAGCGAACCCTGCTAGTAGAAACTTGTGGAGGTACGGATTATGCTTCCTTCCTCCTCGATACATGGTATCACGATAGACGTCGTTACGGCCCTCCCATGGAGCTAAGGCTTTCAGGGCCGGGTGCTCCAACCTGGAAGCATAGTTGATCTGGGCGATGGACAGCCACGAGTTACCCGCCATTCCCACCGAGCCATTGTTCCACGGCTGCTTCGAGATCCAGTCAATGGTATCATAGACATCCTCGGCCTCTTGGTGGCCCCAGAACACGATGTTGCCCTCGGAATGATTGGCCCCGCGGGCGTCCACATTAACAATGGCATACCCGCGATGAATCCAGTCGGCCGGATCTGGGCCTTCGAATTTCTCATAGCCTGATGTCTGGTCCAGGCGCAGGCCAACACGGAAAGGTGCCATGACCTCATATTGTTGTCCTCCGCTTCCAGTCTTGCCGTAAGGGCTCCACGGGATTATGGCTGGCACTTTTGTTCCAGAGTCCGAGTCAACTGGACGAAAGATATCCGCAAAAATCTTGATTCCGTCGCGCATAGGGATGGCGACATCTCTGTCAAAGATTGCTTCCACAGGGAAAGCTCGACGGCCAGGAAAACGAGTATGACCCTTGGGCAATATTGTCTTCCCAGGTTGAAAGGGGTAGGTGACAAAATTTGGATGTTCGCCTGGGGGCAAGAGCTTGGCCCATTCCAAATCCGGGAACTGTTGTTGCGATTTAGACGAAGCCATGGCGAATGAGGTATACCAGCTTTCAGGCCTCAGATCAAAGGAACAAATATTTCAAGGACCAAGATATGGGTAGATGATTAGCATTCCGGGGGTGTAAATTGGCAGAGCTGTCACCAGTTCTGTTCCCCACTACAAAGAGAGACGATAGGGTCCTTTCGGCGCCTGAGGACAAAAGCTGTACATATATCGGCTCTAATGCTACCGGCCATTCTGGTCCCAAGACAATGTGTGCGACATGGACATGGATGCCGAATGTCTAGCTCGTTTGTACTGGAACAACACCCAATCGGAACTCAAGGAGAATATAGAGACACGTTCTGTGGGGAAGCGGGAACTGAACCAATCGGACTCCACATTTACAGCCTACAGGTTCAAAAATAGGTGATGCCTCAGGAAGAACTGCTTTGGCGGCGGTAAGAAGGGTGAGTTTTCAAGAGTCGGACAGTTTTCTGCCCAAGGGCAGAATGAAGTCGAAATAAGAGCTTTCATGAGAGCTCTGAACACAGACGGAGCAGCAGAGGCGGAGTCCTGTTGCGCAGAGATCATCGCAAACCCACGACACCCAGGCGAGAGATATCTCATTACTATCGTTTAAGGCAGTCTGGTCATGCGAACTAGTTGTCTACAATTCATGGCACGTCACGGAAGAGGCCGTTTATGCCTTCCGAACGATGCTCCATATGGAGCGCCGAGGAGCTATTTCAGCAGGACGTGCTAGATCAATCAGCTCAACCACAGTCAATCGGTACCCTGTGCCTCTGCACTCGTCGCTTGAAACACCAGCAAAGAGTAGTCCTTCCGATGCTGATTTGGAACGCAACAACCCAATGAGCTAGCACCAGATCGCATCCAGTTGGAGCCTCGATTTTACTTTCATTGGACTCGCGGAGACCTTTGCTCCCTGCTAATATTGGCCGCCAAGGTTCCCGATTGCTGGATCTAAAGTGCTAGAGCAAACCAGTGGCACGGTGCAAAGGGACAAGCAGTGTCAAGATGTACAGCCACGGTCAAGAAAAGACGGACGAGGATTTTGGCCGCTCCGGTGCCATTGCAATCCCTTCATGAATCTTCAAAGTGCTTTCGTCGTCGGTGCGGCTTGGACTGACTGGCGGCGTCAACCTGGAATGCCTTTTTGTAATAGGGCAATAACCCACGAGTCGGATGCTGGTCCTTGGGTAGTGACACATCTTAGACGGCCGGACCAAGCCGAGCTCAGCTTGCCTTCTCCTGGGACAACCTTCTCCTGAGACTCCATCCTCCAGGCCATGGCTGTGTGGATGAGAGCAGAGTGCGATGACAATATTCATTGGTGATAAGCGTCGGACCCGCCATGACAGGGAAATAACAGCAGCGGATTGTTTAAGTTGGTACTGTAGGTAGACCGAGTGCAGTCATGATTATCGTCGGTCTGGTGGCTTGGTCGGAGTGGTTTTGGACCCAGCCTCGTGCTCATTGCGGATTATTCTGATCACAACTTTTCGGACTTCCCTGGTGTCATGGAAAACTATCAGCGACTGCGCATTGTACTGTCGTCAGTGGAGTGGTTGACAGGCATTTCTGTCAGGATGTTCTGACACTATGGCCGCGAGATGAGGTGAAGTTGGTGTAACACAGACGCAGACTGGCTCTTTAATTTCAAGACTACACAGGACCAGGTTTCCTCCCATAGACATTGTAGCTGAACTATATTAGTCTTTGCACACTCTACCATTAGCGCAGACTTCAAGAAACTTACTAGAGGACATAACTGTGCATTTTTGGATTTCGCAGTTCGCGTTTCGTCTCGGCGATCAGGATTTGAAGTTCGTCAGGATTGCCGCCGAGCAGGGTGGTGTACCCGCGGAGCAAGTAGGCGTCCAGCCCGTTCCTGAGGCTGAAGTTCTCGTAGGCGCCGATGTCCTTGAGCCGAGCATCTCGCGGCCAGATGCCCTGGGGGACCTTGTAAATGGACTCTGTGACGTCGACGAAGCCGGCGCGCTCCATCTGCGCCTTCCACAGGAGCGGCGCGTTCAAGGGTGTACCCATCGCCTCGGCCATCTCGAAGAACAGTCTTTCGACTTCCTTCAGGTGCGAGTTGGCCGGCAGCGTGCCGTCGTCGGAGGTAGGCGTCGGGTACATGCCCCCGATTTCCATGTAGGCACCCGGCCGAAGGTGATGGAATGCCTGCCTGAACAGCCGGTCCCAGTCGCGAATGGCCATGATGAGCTCGCGAGCATGTATAAAGTCGAAGTTGTTGGCAGGGAAAAGCCACTCGTCCTCGATATCCTGGACCTCGAATTGGCAGTTTGGGGGCACCCATTCGGGCTGCACGGGCGCGATGTCCACGCCCGTCACGACGGCAGTTTCGTACCGGTCGGCGGCTTCTATCGCCCAGATGCCCGACCCGGTGCCCAAATCCAATATCCTCGCCGGGGCCGGGGGCATCGGAGCGCGGTGGAGTAACCCGCCGATAATGAGGCGAAACTTGATGTGCTGGATGTTGTTGCGCTCCTGCTCCCTTTCGTCGATGGGGAGGCCGTACATGTTTCTGCCGTAGGCGGGGTACTGCCGGCCATTTTCCTCAATGCCATTACGGATGTGCGACGAGATAGAGGTCAGATAGCTGCTCGCATCATCGGACAAGGAGCCGTACGTCTCATCCTCAAACGAGTCATCCTCGTCAACATGGATGACTTCCTCGTTGTGGGCTGCCATTTGAGCAATGGAGCCACTTCTGCGCGTAGGAGCTAGCTGGAGGTCTCTAGAGTAGAAAGCGGAGGAGAGTGTTGGACGGCGGAAGCGAGGGGCGATAAAGGCGCATATCCCCGAGCCTATTGCGAACTAGCATCACGATGCATCGACAAGCCCACGTCGCTTCCTTTCGCACCGTCGCAAGCCACGGCGAAGATTGGAAAGGAGGGGTCGTCGGCTCTGCTGCGATAAACCTTCTCCTGCTTCTTTAGAACCGCTTCCGCACCGGGCATCCGCGAACTATCATGGCGCCACCCTCGTTGCCTTCACATGTTGACATGAACGTCATTTCCAAGCTTTTGCACGATGTCAATGAGCATGTGCAGGCTTTTAGCTCGGGAGAAGTCAAGACACGCGAAGCAGCGATTCACGCTTGTCGTTCGCTTGCCTCGGCCTTGGAAACTCCCAGTGAGGCAGTGGTGAGAATGACATGGGTCGAGGTCAGTGTGCAGTGCTATCATCCTTGACATTGGTGTTTTCTCTCTGACCTCGAGCGACTACAAACAGCCCAGTCATCTTGCGGCGCTACGCATGGCTGTTGATCTGCGGCTCTTTGAGCATCTGGCAGCAGAAGAGGGCTGTCCGAAATCCAGTGCCCAGGTTGCAGCAGCATGCTCAGCGGAGCCATGGTTGGTTGGTTCGGCCAACCCGTTTGACAATCCATTTCACGCTTCTTGATGTTTGGCAGAGGGACTGTCCTCATGCTGACACGAGCTTCCACTCCCAGGACGGACGATGAAGCATCTGGCTGCGATGAACTCTCTTCGTCAGGTCGATGCGGATAGCTACGTGCCGAACCCGTTTGCGCAAGCCATGACAAAACCCATGTTCAGAGAGAGCGTTGCTTTGATGTGCGTTACCTGACACGGAAGGGGAAGACGAAGCCCTTACCATGAAAGTGACTGATATCTGGCCCCTGTGGAGAAACAGGCACGATACCTGCATCCCAATCAACATGAAGACGGCCGAGTTCTTTGCAGAGAATGGCTACACCAGCCCAACTGATCCCCTCAACACACCAGCGCAACATACATTCAATGCGAAAGACAAGACACATATTTTAGACATATTCGCGCAACGTGGGCAGACCCAGGGCCTTGCCAGTATGATGGCTACGTGGATGCTCGATCGACCACACTGGTCCGACGACGACTTGGGATTCTATCCTGTGAAGCAGCGACTGATACAAGGCGCAACCGGGGACGATGATTCAGTCTTCATGGTCGATGTCGGAGGCAGCACAGGGCATGATCTGGAAAAGTTCCTTGTTCGTCACCCGTTCGACAGCTTCCCAGGGCACCTGGTCCTTCAAGATCGTGCTGAAGTCATCGAGTCGATTCCCAAGGACAGCTTGAAGACCGGGATCCACGCGACCGCCCATGACTTTTTCACTCCACAACCGGTACAAGGTAAGTGCAATAACAATTCTGTTCTGTACATAGGGTCCTCTTCCAGCTTGTAGCCTTTTATCTGATTTGCGCGATCAACGGCTGGCAGGGGCGAGAACATATTTTTTACACAGCATAATCCATGACTATCCCGACGACAAGGCACGGTTGATCCTGAAGCATCTCGCTCGAGCAATGAGGAAAGGGTACTCCAAACTTATCCTATGGGATTTCGTGCTTCCAGAAAAGGCCGTCGGCTCGACAATGTCAGCTCTCGACTGGGAAATGATGTCCTTTTATGCCGCAAGTGAGAGGTCCGAGGGTCAGTGGAAGACATTGCTCGAAGATCCCGAGATTGGGTTGAAAGTCAATGGGATCTGGAGCTACAGTCAGTTTGACCAAAGTGTGATTGAAGCAGAACTAGCCTGATAGACCTGGTGTCCAATACGGCAGAAGGTGAAAGCTCGTAGAGAACATAGAGTGACTGAAGCCTTCACTCCAGGCCTGTGACTCCCTAGTAGTACCTTTGATATGCCAAGCCTGCGCCCACAATGCGGGTCCCTCGCCTGCGCCGCAATGTTGTAAGTGGCAGCTTGTTGTCGTCTCCAACTGCGGCTCCTCCTGGTCTGAAAAGTATCGCTTTGTCCATGCAGTTCTAGATCTCTGGCGGAGCATCTACCTTTGCTCCTCTTTCATGGTCTCTATCGCAGCCATTCACCTCACCCTCGGCGCAGTCTCTCGCCTACCATGTCCTATCCCAAAGTCGCCGCTGATTTCGACGCCATAATTCAGGCTGGTATTTCGCTCTCCGTGTCGGTCTTTTGCGCCTCATGGTCCGCTAACTGCGTTTGTTTCCAGACCGACAGCGGAAAAAGAATGAAGCCCTAGCAAACGAGATCTTTGGCAGAAATAAAGCGAACAAGAACACCCCGAGAAGCGCAAGCAAAGGCCCTTTGAGGACGCCCGATCTTGCGAGTCGCATCACAAAGGTATAATAACCAAGCAGAATGTCCTGTCAAGCTGGAAAAGCGTTGGGAGGCATGTCGGACTCATTGCTGATGGGAAATGGGTGGAGTAGCGATCTTCATCTGTTACCAGCTCAGGCTCTTCCCGGAACAATGTGTTCACTCCACCGTCAAGACCGTCCTCAACGACCCCTCAGAATGCACGCTCGTCTCGTCTCGCCTCCGCGCTCGAGTCGTCTCAGGCCAACATCGTATCCTCTCAGACAAAACCAAGAGGGTCAGGTTTAAGCATTAAAGGCAAGGCCGGCCCCTTCGTGGTGGAAGCCAGCAATTTTGCCCCGGGTACAACGGCGGCCGACATCAATTTTGCCCTACAAGGTGAAACGCTGGACGAGAACGGCATGCCCGCAATGCTCACCTGTCGCCTTACTAAGACAAGCCCGGTGGTGGTCGCGGAGCTGGTGTTTGCTGAAAAGCAAATCGCGGATCGGATCATATCCACTTACAACAATCAAAAAGCAGACGGACGTATCCTGCGACTTTCCCTCAAGCGACCTGGCCTAGGTTATACGCCTGTTTCGCAGCCCAACCAACTGGACCCCGATGCAGCGCTCGAACCGCTGGGATCAGAAAGTCAACCTCAGCCCGAAGATGAGAACACTATGGAGGATGTGGTGATGGAAGCAGAGGGAGCGCCTTCCTATGACGATCGACGCAACCGGGAACCCGGAATCGCTGAAGCGGATGTTCAAGACGGACGCTACGGCTTTGAAGAACCGCAGCCTCCTGATGCCCAGGCACGCCACACCGACCGGAAGAGAGACGACGATCGACGAGACCGAGACCGGGACCGGAACTACGAGCGCGAGCGTGACCACGAACAGGAACAGGAACGAGACCGCGAGAGAGAACGAGAACGAGACCGGGAGCGCGACCGTGATCGAGAACGAGACCGGGACCGGGACCGGGACCGGGACCGAGAACGAGATCGAGACCGCTATGACCGTCACGACGCTCGACCAGCAGGACACGGCTCCTACCGTCGTGGCGACAGATCCGATACCTACAACTCGCGGCCCTCGCACTACGGCAACGGTGTCGGCGGCGGCGGCGGTGGTGGTCCCGGACCTGGAAGAGGGATGTTCGGCGGTGGTGGTCCTCCGGGACTATTTCCCAGAGGTGGAGGCCGAATGTACGGCGACGGCGGTCGGAGAGGCGGCGGACCTGGCGGGTTTGGACTGGGGCCTGGAGGTTATCCAAGGAGAGGAGGGTACTAGTAGTGATTCTCCTGCTCACCTGTGTGTGTCTCTCTCTCTCTTGACGTCCTGGTGGGGGTTTAGATCGAGCTGACACCGACGAGAGGAGACTGCGGCGCCGTGTGGTGGATGCAGCCCAGATCAGCCGATATTGTCTGTGTGTGTATACGACTTTTCCATACCGATCCAGCTTGCCAGGCAAAAACCCCGAACCCCGGCCCAAAATCTTGTCCTTGTCTCAACCCGCATTTTCGATGTAACTTTTTTTTTACCGAACTGCTGAATTCAGAAAGGGGGCCAACAAAAGTTACCAGGATTGGCTGGCTGGACAGAGATTCAAAAAAAAAACCCCCAAAAAAAACCAACCAGGTAGAAAGAGACAAAATAAATCGGAAGAAAAGACAGAAACAGATTTCTTGCTGAGCCCGTTGATAAGTACCTAGGTACCTAGGTACTTACCGAGTACCTCGTACATGAATCCGTTACCTAGGTATTTTTTCTGTGGTTTCCTGTGTTTCTCAACCGGGCTTGCTCCCCCGTCAATGCCGCTGCGGCGGGCTGGGCTCCTTCGTTGACAATCCATGAGCTGCGCTCGGGAGGAGTTGATACCTAGGCCTCTTGTATTCTCGATTACTAGGTTACCCAATGCTACACTGCCGGTCCTGAACGTGTGCCTATCAGGAGAAAATTGAAAAGTCAAGAAAAGAACTCATCGCGCATGTTGGTCAATCACTCAAAAACATGAACCGATCTAATGCCAGGTTTCCGTCTCGCCGTCTCCGCGAAGCTGCAAAGCCCACCCGTCCCTCGTCAATCACCCGGTAAAAAACGCCTCGCTGTTCTGTTCGGTACAGTACACCCTGTTCCATGCTTTGTCCTGTCTCTTGAAACGCATCCCAACCCAATGTCATCAGGCGTGACTTCCACTACTTCATACACTCACTCCGTTCGTCTCAAACAGAGTAAAGTCATCTGCTCAGTCGCTCTTCAACATGCTCTCCACCAGATCCCCGAGAGGACCCCAGTAATCCTTACCCCCACCCTTTTCAAGTTCATGCTCGTCCACAAAGAGGACGAAATGCTTGAAACTTGTGTTCAGGTGCGGCTCCAACCCGAGGTGCACGATCACTTGATAATGGTGGCAGTAGATGTGTGCATAGACCCGGTAGAGACGCTTGAAGAGTTGTCGTACGGTAGATGGGAAATGTTTGGGGAAGGGGACCCCGATTCGGGAGGGGAAAGTGCTCTCGTTGTCGATATTGGACTGCACCCAGGTCATAAGATGTTCAATGTACTCGGGGGCGGGCATTTTGGTGGGTTTGGGGAAGCCAGTTGCCGCGTCTTGCCAGAGATATTCGAACCTGCAAGCAGCGTTAGACAAAATCACAACATCAAAGCACGAAGTAGACAGGGTCGACATACTCATCAGTGGCCTTCATCTCGGGGCATGATTGCGGTGAGCAGAACTCGGTGATTGATCCATAGAGCAGGTTGATCTGGTTGTAGAAATCGACCACTGTCGGCCACCATGGCACTTGTCAGCGTGTTTCTTCCGCGAAATCTCTCCTGCCACTGTCTGAGAGGCGTATGTGGTTACCGTTGACCGCTAGCCACTCATTTAGATCTTCTCCCTCGGGCAACTTGACGGCCTTTCTCAAGCTGCCACTTCCCAGCGTCGCCTCGGCGAATTGTCTCAGCTGATAGCTTGAGGTTCCCTTGTTGGCGCGTTGCGGTTTGAACTGGCCTCGAGTGCGGGCATTGCTAGATGGTGAAGAACAGCGGTCAATATTGTTCTGGGAAGGAGAAGGAAACAGGCCCAGACGCAGGAGTTGGACGGCGCGGGAAGGCGTGCTGGGTGATGAAGTGGCAGTAGTGGGAGCCTCATTCTCGTCGTTTCTGCCACACGAGGTGTAGGAGTTGATGGTAACGCATGAAGATGATTGTTTCAAGGTCAAGTGAGGGGAGAGAGGTTGCGGAGAGGGAGAGGATTTGAGAAACTCGTACATGGTGGTCAGGAACGAAGCCATGTGAAGGACAGTGATCTCGTCGTCGACTGGGGGAGAGTTTGCAGGCTCAAATCTCTGTTGGGGGACTTTTCTGCCGCACATTCCAAGAGTCAGTGGTCAAAGTGTCCTGCGGATGTGAAGTTGTGTCTGCTGCCGCACTTACAGAGAGTCGAGTCGAGCGCTGCCTGCGTTTCTCGATGGCGCGGTCAAAAGTGCCTCACGACGTTGCTCGTGTCGGGACGGAAAAGAGATACAAAGAGTGTGTAGTAGGTTGCCCGCACAGTGTGAAGTCGCTCTGAAAGACCACCCCTGCGTTCATCATCATCATCATCAATCGGAAATCCTTCTTTGCGGGAGACGACAACCGGAGGTTGAATCCCTTGGCGGCAACGTAGCCACAGCAACAGGGAGAACTTCGGCTTGTCGGCCTCGTCCATGTCATCAATCCAAACAAGTCAAGACAAGCCACCAAACATTACTATCACGAAGTGTAGAGCAAAGACACGGTAACTTGCATTTCAAAAGCGCACACGCTCCTGAGGAGCACCATATTGATATTGAAACTAACAGATGCCATTTCTATTTTGGCAGTTGTCCGAAGAAGCCTCGTCTGCCTCGAATTATTGTGGCTCAGAACAGCCCTGGTTTTAGCCTTGCACAAAGCCGAGGGACACAGCTTGCCCGTCCCCTTGTAACTTTTCCCTGAGAAGCATTCATGGTGGCACCATCTGCAGCCCAAGCCTAACCACACGTATACCGCGCAAGACATCCACCTTGGTGAAAAAGACGTACAGCATATAATTGTCGCAGAGCACCGCAAGTTCGCTAAATACCAAACCTAAACCCAACCACTTGAACGCTCACAACTTTGGTGTGGTCATGAAATCTTGGACAAGGTTTTGGACCTCATTCTCCAGCTCCTGAGTCTCCTTGTGTGGATCATACATTTTCCCCTTGATCCATGCTTCCAACTGGCTGTCGCTCATATCGCGCAGATGGTGCAGACGGTCCACATTGTCTTTCTGCGCCGCTCGGATGACGTACAACGCGACGCGAGCACTCACATCTCGAATGCGTGTAACTGAAGGGTACAGCAAAGCCTTGTCTTTCTCCTCCTCGGTGATCATGGTCGGCAAAGCTTCGCCAGAAGCATAGATCATGTTGGACGTGACTTGGACGGCCTTGGATAGAATGGTCCCAAGGCCGATGCCCGGGAACACGTACATGTTGTTTCCTTGACCTCCATGGTACATCTTGCCTTTGTGCATGACGGGATGGAAAGGAGAGCCAGAAGCAAACAGTGCTCGGCCGTCCGTATGGACGATCGCCTCCTCAAAAGTGCATTCGGACTTGGAAGACGGGTTGGATAGTGGGAAGATGATCGGCCTCTCGTTCCACTTCGCCATCTTTTGCAGGATCTCGGGGGTGAACGCGCCTCCAATCGTGCTGAGACCCATGATAATGGTGGGCTTGACATATTCAAGAACGTCATCCAAGGTCTTAAATTGTTGACCGTTGTTGTCCGTTCGAGAGAAGTAGATCTTGTGTTCAGCGAGCTTGTCGCCCCGGTCTTGAGTTACAAGGCCCTTGCTGTCGACGAGCCAGAAACAAGATTTGGCCTCTTCCTCGGTCAGTCCTTCATGCATGAAGTAGTCGACGATCTGCTTGGCGACGCCAACGCCAGCTGATCCAGATCCCAGGAAAACGGCACGGTGTTCTCTGGGCGCAAGACCGGACTCCTTGATGGCACCAATCATGCCTCCCATTATGACAGCGCCAGTCCCTTGGATGTCGTCGTTGAACATGGCATAGTCTTGGCGGTAGCGCTCGAGGGAGGGAAATGGGTTCTTCCAGTCTTCAAACTGGATGACAATGTCGGGCCAACGCTCTTTCAGCGCTGCCATCAGCTCATCGAGGAATTCCTGCTCCTCCGCTGCTGTGACCTTGCCTCTCCGGCTGCCCATGTACAACGGATCTTCGAGCAACTCTTTGTTGCTGGTGCCCAGATCGATGGTCAACGGCAGGGTGCCTTCCGGCCTAATACCTGCGCAGCCGGTGTACAATGCAAGCTTTCCAATTGGAATGCCCATGCCGCCCACTCCCAAGTCACCCAGACCGAGGATGCGGGAGCCGTCAGTAATGACGGTGATCTCAACGTTGGATTGAGGCCAGTTTTGGATGATAGCCGAAAGGTGGCCTCGATCCTCGAAGCTGAGATACATGCCCTCAGCTTGTTGGTAGATTTGGGACCATTTCTGACAGGCTTCTCCAACGGTGGGAGTGTAGACCAGAGGGGTCAACTCGGTGAAGTGGTCGGTCAACAAGCGGTAGAACAAGTGGACATTATTGTGCCTGATGGTGCTCAGGTGGAGAAACCTCTCAAGATCCGTGGTCTTCAACGCCAATTGTGCCAAACACCTCTTCTTCTGAATCTCATAACTCTCTGCCCGTGGAGGAGTGAGACCATAGGTCTGGAGGTACTTCCGAACGGGGACAGAAAGAGAAGTGTCGAAGTGCGCCGCTCGATTGGGGACATGAGCGGTAGCGTGGGTGTACTTGGGACGATGGGTATGAGAAGTCTGAGGGTTGGTGACTGAGGTCAAACTACCAACCGTTTGGGCGACAGGAGCGTCAAGAGACGCAGTGGAGGACATGGTTGCAGAGTGGACGAGGTTGAAGAGGTTAGGCCTCGACTTTGGGTATCTGGAGATGTTGGAGAGCATTCGGAGGGCACAGCAGGAAATGTGACTGTTTATCAATAGTCCGCAGAGTCCAGACTTGTCTCCGAAGCGACACTCGGACCGGCACCAACACACTGGGCTCAGTCTACAATAGCCTGGGAAATGGCTCTCCGGCTTGCAAGTGGACTCGGGAGGAGACACGAGGATTGGTAAGGGAACTTATCTCCAACGACGTCAAACATATAGGGAGGTGTCAGCCCATGGGATAAACCGGGTGGGAAAAGGATTAGACAGAGAAACGCGGCGTCCAGGGCGAATAGTCGCACCGGACTAGTCACGGAAGGCGCACCATCAACACTTCTACCGATCATTACTGACAGTGGAGAAATGTGTGAAAGGGGCAGGAACGGATATGAGACGGTAATCAGCCGTGCGACAGGTGCGGTGAGAGGGCCATGTTCAATCTGTGACGCTGGTGAGGCGGTCAATCTGGTGAGCCAGAAGTTGTTGAAAACTCAACTTTTTTTTTTTTGTTTTTTTTGGAGAAGGACCGGACGGAGGCTGGATGAATCATACGAGTAAACAACAGGCGAGCCAATGCAAGGGCACAGTTTCCGGAGTGAGAAAGAGTTGAGCGACTCCAATTGGAGTCAAAAGGCGCGCGCAGCCAGCGAGCCAGCTGAAAGGGGCAAAAAGCTCTAAAGTTTTAGGGGCATCAGGGGTGCATTAGGCACCTTAGGACTCTGGGAGCAGCCGGCGCACCCCTAAAAGGCTCGTGCGCTCTGGGGCTTCCGGCTGGCGTCCGCCATCCCCAGTAATCCCAAGGGGCTAGGTTACCAGACCCGCCCCAATGGGGCCCTTGCGGACCTTCGAGCCTGATCTCGGCCTCCAGAGACGCTCCTCGCGGCGACCGTTTGGGGAAGCAGCTGAGGGCGAACACGACAAGTGTCAGCGGACAACAAACCATGCAGCGAGGATTCCTGTACCTCAACTACCTACGGTATTCGTCCTAATCCGCGTAACATGTCACCCGTTCCGTTCCTGATATTGAGGGTCCTGCTTCGTGCTGCGTGCTGCGTGCTGCGTGCTGCGTGCTTGTCACTTCCAGAGCGGCGGTGTCGGATATGCTGTAGACCTTTCCGTCCGCGGCAGCTAGGAATAGTTCGTCCCAATCTCCAAGGTCGGCACACGGCACATCTCCGTCCAATGGCCCGTGTCTATCATGCGTGTCGGACTATCAGTTGCCGGCACTCTGTTTCCAAATTGGGCACCACAAGGCTGCCGCCCGCGGTCTCGAGTCATCGGTGAACATGGCGGTCTGTCAAGTTCCCGAGTTCTCATCGTCGCTTGACCTTGTGACTCATTAAGCGTGCTGCTTTTCTTCCCCAGACTCAAAAGTGCAATGTAGACCGAATCATAGATATTCGTGGGCTGGCCGCTTATGCAGGAGCTGCAGGGAAAATGCGGAGAGATACGAGGGCTTCGGAAAGTCCTGTGCTTCAGGGAGGCCTGGCCCACGATCAAAGGACCCGAGTTAGCCACCGTACCAAGTATGTACGAGCATGGGCAACTTTTTACGAAAGACTGGTACCCACTGTGCTCTACATATGGAGTGGAGTGCATGAAGTCGTACCTAAAGTACCTAGGTACTCGTACTCCTGTACAAACATTCAACCCTTTCACGCTTGCGGACTCAGAAATCGTGTGCACTCAACCAACATCCGTGAAACACCATCGGATAGACATTGATTGTACTGTCCAAACCGCCATCTGACGTATACTATGAAATCTAGGTCCGAGTTTCCCAGACCTCACCACTACCTATGTGCCAGGCTTCTGGTCTATGAGCTGGTTCAGAGTGTGTATCTGAAGTCCAGGAGCCCGGCTATGACACGCTTTCCTTGCGCAACCTGCCTGTTTGCATAGATAAAATATACCACCATGCAGCAAGTAATGGTAAAAACGATACCACTGGCTCTGTGGACCATATCAGCCGATGCTCAACAACTAGCCGAGAGATCGCAGAATGACAACAAGAGACAAAAGAGGTGACTTACACCATACAGGCGATCATTCCGGGTAAGTATTTCGGGGCATCTTGTGATCTAAAGACCAGGGCGCCGATGATGCCGCCGAGGCCTCCGGTAGATATCAGGACAGCACTGCAAAACATCCGCGTCCAATGGCCACGGATATTGTTGGCTTGCCACGCCATGACCGCCGGAATGTTAGAATTACAGCCTGCAGTGACGAGGAAAGTACCGAAATACTGCACACCAGGGGTCCTGGTCCAGGAAAGGAGGCACAGTCCGACAATGGTCTGAACGGGGTTCCAGAGCAGAACCGGGAATCGGCGGTGGATCTTGTCGCAGAGCCAGCCCTCGAAACACATCTGCACGCCAGCAAAAATGTAGGGAGGAGTACTCAGAAGTTGGGAAACACCGATACTGAAGCCAAGCTCGTGGTTCAAGATCTGGGGCAGAAAGTAGGCTACCGCGTAGGCGGGCATGGTCGAAAAACTGTCAACAATCGTCTCATCAGTACGAGGTTTATCATGGGGCGTCGCCCGGTTCGTTGGACAAACAGCGGGTATGCAATACATACCACCAGATCATCCCATAACCCCAGACTCTCAGATCCAAGGCCGGTCGCAAGAATCTGGCGAGATCAAATTCCTGGTCTTCTTCAGTGTCTCCGCGGTCCCTTTCAACCCGCCGAAGCATCATCGTCGCTTCCCTCTGTGTGAGGAAGTTCCACGCCTCGTGCGCGTTCTGGGGATAGTCGACGAGGAATGTAAAAGCAATGGCCGCCACAACAATAGTCAGAAGGGCCTCCATGATGAAAATCCATCTCCACGCGGCGAGGCCACCGACTCCCTTCATTTGCATGAATGCATAGGCGAGCACGCCGCCCAGAGACGAGCCACCCAGACCAATCATATAATAAACTGCATATCGCTGATGGACTTCGTCTAGGGGGCCCAATGAGTCAATGGAGGCCGGAACATGGGAAAACTCGGATTCTTACAGCGCGTGTACCATAGTGACAACAAGTATGCGAGCGCAGGGAACAGACCTGCCTCGAGAATGCCTAGAATGATTCGAAGACCAATGAGTACGGTCCAATTGTGCACAAAGCCGAACCCCTTGATGGTAAGAGTCAGATATTGCAGTGAAAATGTGGACAATGGCAAATAGACTCACCAGCATAACTAGCCCCCAAGCCAATGTGATGGTCGGCAGAGACCATCTGAGTCCAGCTTTGCGTACCAAGTATGCACAGGGGACCTCGGCGACGATATATGGTGCGAAGAACGACAGCACTATGATAGACTAGGACTCGTAAGTGTGTCTTCTCAGTACCGGAATGGGCTTTGCAGGATAGATACTTACGTAGCGAGTTCCGATGGTAAGCTCCAAATCTTTGGCCATTCTTTTGAGGCACAATGTTAGCGAAAATTTATGCTGTAATGCTCGAACTCAAGCAGTGGAAACACGACGGGAATGCACACCCGGTGCAACTCACCCAGCGATGTTGGCGTTACTTAGGTTTGACCTGTCCAAGAGACTGATCATGACCAGGAGAGCGCATACGGATATGAGGCGTCGATCGACCTTGTGCCTCACCTTGCGTATTTCGTCTTCGCTGAACTCCTCATCGTCAACCGGTACCCGTTCGAGTGTCTGAACTTCCTCCGCTATGGAGAGCTTTTCATGCTCCCGCGGGGGCATAGCCTCCAGTGTAGACATGACTATGAGAAGAGAAGGCAGCGTGCTATAGCTGTATGTTAGCGACGGCTGAGACAACAAAGGCACAGGAAGCAAGTTTCTTTTGCTCTCTAAGTCCAGAACATTTCGCTCCACCAGGTCTTTATACAAATGACCCAGAGCTCATGGTACCTGGAACGTGCCCCCAGCCCGCGCGTGGCATGAAATCCGGGGAAAGAAGACGCGGGGGTATTCGTGTCCACCAATAGCGAATTCTGTTCTTGTGTCCTTGCCGACTGAACTTACGTTGACCTTGCCGCTGCCGATACCGAGCAGTGCCGAAGGTGACGCCAGGGTCTTTCTGAAAGCTGAAGAAGATATCGTCGAAGACTTTGGAGAAGTTCACGGGAAGCGTTCCCGAGAATTGACACCTATACGCCCCTCATCGAGCTTGTCAATCCTTCCATGATGCCGGTCAGCCGCCTAACGGCTGTGAATGGCGGCTTGACCGAAGAGGGCAGCAAAGATGGACTTTTCCATTATAGATGCTTCTCGGCGAGGAACCTCTGTACCGTGCACGGCAAGACCTGGTAGATCGGGAGACGGCACCTCACGGCTACAACAAGCTCCCACCAAACACTGAAAAAGTGACATGGCGCCAGGTAAAACCACTCCCTCCGGTCGCTCTGGTCACAGATGAGAGAAGTTCCTGGACGGTTTTACACCTCTGGGAAGTAAGAATCAGGTGATGATTGGCAAGATTCGGTCGCAAACATGTCGTCGAAGCCGGGAAAAGATGTCAGTGTACAAGTTTCCGACGTCAGCCACAACGACGAAGGGATATGCGAAACAACGCCTCTTCTAACTTCCTTCACGAACCCACCATTACGATCGGTAAGATGACATCAACGGTTGTGCTTGGGAGATATCACTCATTGTGTGTCCAGGGGCCGAGCAAGACCACCGAAGGGGACGAAGAAAATCAACAGGCTATCGAGGAGGGCGGCAAAGACAATGAAGGCAGATCTGTTGCCGGAATCATTTCTGTTCTACTAATCGGTAAGTTGCAGCGGTGAGACGACAATGTTTAGTGTAGAAACACTGATCATTATGAACCTGCAGGCGTTTTCATCTCCCAGGCCGACAGTAGTCTTATGCTGGCCACATATGGACGCATCTCGTCAGAGTTCAACGATCTGGAATCTGGGAGCTGGCTGATGATCAGTTACATGCTGGCCCAGTGCGTCGCACAACCGTTCGTAAGTCGGGATAAAAGTCATGCCCGTCCCGCGTTCGACGGCTAACATCATGTCAGTATGGAAAGCTGAGCGATATCTTTGGGCGGAAGCTTTGCCTACAAGCGTCGTATACCATGTTCACCATTGGTACGTTCGGCATCGCCCTGGGCCGGTCCCTCTTCCAGGTGTCGGCTGCTCGCGCGATGCAGGGTTGTGGCGGTGCAGGCATGGTGTGTATGGTCTCAATCATCCTGACCGATCTTTTACCCGTGCACGAAGTGGCAGTATATCGCTCCTACGTCAACATCATGCAAACCGCAGGGCGGAGCTGCGGGGGAGCTGTCGGTGGCTTGCTTGCACAGACAATCGGCTGGAGATGGTACGTGGGATCCTATTGAATGCTGACGGTGATAACGAGCTGACACGGTTTCCGCAGGGCATTTGCAGGCCAATGTCCAATCATACTGTTTGCTCTTTGGCTGGTCGTGAGGCGGCTTCCAGCTTCCACTCAGGAAGTGTCTCACGAGCAAAGTATGACGGCCAAATTGAGACGGATTGATGTTCTGGGAGCGATTTTCATGAGCCTGGCCATCTCCTCCACCCTCCTGGTTCTCGACTTGGGCGGCCAAAAATTCCCATGGAACCACCCTGTCATCATCGCTCTTGGGGTGCTTGCGGTTACAAGTGGCGTTTTGTTTATTCTCGTCGAGAAATTCTGGGCAAATGAACCTCTCTTTCCACTTCATATTATGACACACTATACCGTGGTCAACTGCTACGCCATCATCGCACTCCAGAACTTGACGCAATCAGCGGTAAGAGGCCCAGGTTGATCTTCTGCAAGGATGGACTGACATGATCTCGACAGCTTATGGTTACAGTACCGTTGTATTGGCAAGTCGTCAAGAAAGCCAGTATGGCAGAAGCCGGGCTGTATCTTATCCCAGCCATTGTTGGCAATACTCTTGGTGGGCTTCAGACGGGCCGACTCATCAAGAAGTAAGTTGGGAAGAAACATACTATCTTCTCGGGCGATGACTTACATGGATATAGATATGGTCGTTACAAGTTTCATTTGATTCTGGCATCATTACAGTCGATTGTGTGCTTTGCCTCCTTGATCGGCTCCTGGGACGGACACAGCAACTTCTGGTCAAGCCTCCTCATCTTTTCAGGCGGCTTTGGGACGGGTATTGCTCACTCGGCCGTGTTTGTGGCGCTTGCGAATGGTGTAGCCGCTGAGGACACAGCAATTGCAAGTTCAGGCTTCTATCTAAGCGGAAACATTGGCTTGGTCAGCGGCATCAGCGCAGGAAGTGCTATCCACCAAATCACTTTACGCCGTGGACTGTACCGTGTCCTCGAAGGATGTGATGACGCGAAAGAGGTATTCCGATCACATCGTGCATTTGAAGTCACAACTTGAGACTAATACTGCATCTCAGATTATCAAGAAGACTTTACAAGACATCGACTTCGTCCAAAATGCCAGTGACAAACTTAGACAGATACTAATACCTGCTTACGTTGAGAGCTTCCGCGCAGTCTTCTGTAAGACCTCCATCTTCTTCTGGCCAGGGATGTATACTGACTTGCACGAAAAGTTCTAGGTTTGGCGTGCGCCGGAGTTGCTCTTGTCTTTGGAGTGTTTGCCCGTGAAAGACGACTCGAGGGAACTAGGAAGTGAATTTGGACGTGGCGTTCCTTGCAGATGATCCTAGGCCGTACAGCTCATTCGTTACAAAAGAATCAGGGTGAGATAGTGGTAGATTCAAAGCAGGATCGTTGCACGGAATATCTTGACCGACTGGTTCGACAGTTTATACCATCTGACTCGAGATGGCACTGCTGGTGCGATTTTGCCATTTTGGCAACATCACATATGGAAAACTGGTGACAGGGCCTAGAATAAGCTCTTGGTGCATAGAACCCCCATATAGAAGCATAACCCCATGAATATAGTCCTGTTCTGCACTCGTTCGACAAATGTAGATGCAGTCTCGTTCGACAAATGTAGATGCAGTCTCGTTCGACAAATGTAGATG